GCCATCAAGCACTCGGAAATCAGTCCACTAATGGTCTAACGCCCCATGATTTCGGCACTTTCAACGGTAGCAGCGGGTACCGTCGTGGTGGCGGTGATGATGATGAACGGGATATGGAGGAAGAGCGTGACTATGAAGAATCTCGCCCCCTGAAAATGGGACGGATACCAGATACCAGAGCCCAGTACACGTTTATTCAGCCCAACGACACAATCAATCCTAGCCATACCAATAGTACTAATAATAGAAGATCTAGCCATCAACATCAAGGACAATCGCCGAATATCCAAAATAGATATCCTGGACATCAACATAACAGTAGCATGATTCAACAACAACAACCTTATGCCCCTCCACCAACAAGTCCATTATTCAATATCCCTACCGCGCCGCCAGCACCAGGACCAGCACCAATATTAGCACCACTCGCACCTAACATCTCAGTGCCATCACTGTCTTCGAAAGAGCCTTCGAAGAATATACATCAACAACAAATCCAGCCTGAAAACAACGTCATAGAATGCACAGTCGAACCAACTTCGTCATCATCTTCATATTTTGCGCCTATGGCTGCACCTGTTCCTTTAGCAGGAGTCCCGGAAATAGCTGGTAATGGACTGATCAATCCTCAAGACATATCCATTGCGGATTTTAAACAGACGAAACGTGGAACCGAATCATGTGATATGGTTTTGGAGGATCCTTATCAATTGTATCGATATTTCGTAGCCCATAATGATCGTCCTACGATGCATGTAGTCATCGCAGGGCATCATATTGAAAAACATGAAACCTTTGAGACAGATTCGGACGGACACCGTAAACCTGTCACGAGAAACGTGCGTGTGGATGATTTCAAGATTGATTTCGATTTGACCCCTTATATCTCTCCCAGAGGCACGCTTTACACAGCTCCGGATCCAAAGACTGGCAAGACTTTGACCATCAGAGAAGCGTTGGAGCAGTATGCAGAGGATGAAAACCCGTTCAAAGAGATGCATATGCATAAGGTAAACAAATAAGAAAAAAAAAATTAAAAAAGGACCTGCATAAATGTCCATGCAGTGATTTATTCTCTAACAAATTCATCCAATTTTCTGTATTAGATGGTAGCATGGGATTTTGAAGAGTTAACAAGGGCAATTACACATGCAATCCGATCTGTTCATTACCGCTACACGATCGAAGTCTCATACCCATGTACGAATAATGTAGTCATTGCAAAATCATCCGCACCACTCGCAGTCTTTATGCGGAATGGTTGGACCAAGGCCTTTTGTTTTCTCTCTCTTGTGGGGATTATTTTCTATCCTGCTGTAAGTTTTTTTTTTTTTTTTTTTTTTTTTTTTTATTTTTTTTTTATTTTTTTTTTATTTTTGATAATATATACATTTGCGATTAATAATAAGCATACTAAAGATAGTATATTTTTTATGATATGATAGCGTGAACTCTACAAGAAGGTCAAGGACAAGATTCTTAAATCCGAGTTTGAAATGACAATCAGCACTCGAGATTTTTATACACAGAATTACTGGAGTATTGTCGATCAAGTGCAATATAGATAGTGTAATGATAATAATTATAACAATAATGACATTTTTTTTTTTTTTGTAAAATTATTTATTTTTATGTTTTTTTTTTTTGTTCTATAATTGCTCAAAGGACGAAAAGAGAGATGAATGGAAGAAAGTGAAGAATATATAACGTTTCCCTAATGCATGACCGTATCCAGGGTGCAGGATCCAAAAATAGGAAATGTCACTCCTGATGACCTAATAAAAATCCTTATGCCTTTAAAAATCTGATAGCATATCCTTAACAGCCTGATAGTACTCCGCTGAAACATAATCCTTCATCTCCTCCTTTGTGACCCAAGCGAAATCGACAATCTCTTGATTGTCCACCTGAACCTGTCCAGCAAAGATGTGTGCCTTCATGAAGAAAACCTATCGGTTAAAAAAAAATGTCGCGAGTGAGAAGACAGTTGGTGGGGGAAACTTTTTTTCCAATACAGGTTACATATATGTATGGAAGACGATTGTAGGCTCCTTTGAACGTTTTGTGCATTGGTTACCTTGGTGCCTTTGAGTGGAATGGAGGTTGCAGATGTAGTGCCTTTAGGGTGTGAATATTCGTAATGTCCAATTGGAACACGACCAACAAACCACAGATCCATATTTCCTCCGCACTCTTCCTGCAGCTCACGGTTAGCAGCCTATGCAAAAAAAACAAAAAAACAATGTATGCATTAGATGAATATTATAAACTAAATCAAGCAAATTTAGGTTAAGATGATCTATTGCCACGTTCAATTGCCACGCACAGACGCATACACATCGAGTTTGAACTTTCATAGTCTAATAATAATAGCCTCAAAAACCTATATGCTGACATGCCGATCATATATCTCACATAATTGTGGTCTACAATATGTATACCAAAAATATTTTTACCTCCTGCAAATTCTCGCAGACATGGACGCCTCCTTGAGGGAATTGCCAAGAATGTAAGTCTCTAGGTTTCTTGACGATCAAATACAAGGTTCTCTGTAAAGCACGCTCCAATGATCTGATGTCGTTTTTACGATCCGCCTCTGTGACACGGTCATTAAACTGGACTTTGGTTTCAATTGCTGCTACACGATCTTCCTCTGAGATATCTACTGTTTCTGATTGTGCTGTTGCTGATGTACTTGATGCTTCCGATGATGAAGATGAGGCATTTGATCCAGCTGCTCCCTCAGCCTCCTGTTGTTTCCAGCGACGCTCTGCAACTGATCCCTTCTTGAAGTAAAACTCGGCAGCAAAAGGAGCAGCATTGTCTCGTTCAAGACTCTTTTGATAGGTGAAGTACTCTTTCTCAAAAGGCGTGAGATCACGGAGGATCAATGGTTGACGGGAGACAACAACTCCTGCAACGATACGCTTTCCATTGATGATAAGATCCTTGGTTGAATTCACAACAGCTGAAGATGTAGTCGAAACATTAGACTTGAGAGGCGCTTCCGCTGCTGCTGCTGCCACACCAGTCGCAGAGGTGTATGATCGAGTAGCAATAACAAGACGAGCAGGAATGGCTGGTAAGAAGCAAGGGTAAAAAATCAAATAAAAAAGAGGCAAAAAAAGTCAAAAAGGGCTGGTTGCAAATGAAACGAGATTCCCTGAATGCCTTGCCAGATCGCATTCAAAAAGTCATTCACTTTTTTTTTTTTTTTTTTTTTTAAAGCCTGCTAATCTGGTTCTTCCTCATGAAGTCGCGTTGATGTTGCATGCTTCCTTGGTAACAGCAATGTGTACGTGGTGTAGTGTACCTTGAATCTGTGAGCGTGCGGTAGTGGATAAGGTGCAGGCAGCGGCCCTGAAGACCTGTCGGCGCAACATGGACGACATGAGAATATATTAATGATATGAATGGTCCACAGGGAAAACCTCTTTTGTCGGTGGCTGAAAGACTGCGAAGGATGGCAAAAAATAAAAACAAAAAGAAAGAATTAGGAATGTTCCTAATGAAGTTGTTCCCTTCCTCTACTTTCGTTTTGAAAAGGACAGTTTACTTGCACAAGACAAATGAAATAAAGTCCGAGGTAACATACAAGGGATCCCGGTGGCTTACTATAACAACCTTTGTTTATAACTGATCACTGAGCAGTCACCATGAACATTTAGACTTTTTTTTGTAAAAAAAATAAAGGGACCTCTCCTAAATGTTTCTTATTACCGTACAGATACTGACAAGCATCACATTCAACCATGTTCAAGTTTAACTTTACTGTAAGGCTAAGGGCAAGTTAGATGATAGATCTCTTTAAAACCTACTTGGCCTAATCTTTTTTTACTATTTTGGCCTAGGCTGACGATCTCGAGGTAGACGATCCAGAGCTTGTTGCTCAACAAGACGAGGATGTTGCAGATGAGCTTTCTAAACCGCTCGAATCCTTGTCAGTATCGCCAGTCTCACCACCATTACATTTACAACCTATCTATCTCGTTCCAGCGTCGCAGCTGGATCTTCAATCTCAATCTTGTCTTCAAAGTCTACCTCTTACTCTACATTATGAACTCGCTCAGATCCCTGTCTTAAATCATGGAAACGCCGCTATAGATACCAAAACGACAGACCATCATCAACAACGGCAGCAGAAGGAAGGCGTAACAATATACAAACGAAACCTTGAAGACGTCAAGTTCCAAATCGCACAGGAAGACGATGATTTTGATAATGCGGAACTAACTCCTGAAGATAATAATGATAAGAATATCTCTGAAGGGTCCAAGGCAAAGAGTACAGTAACTTCAATTCCGGGCCCAGGAGGCGTTGAGATGCTGGCGTTAGCTGGCAAGAGCGATTTAGTTAAGGGGGTATATGAAGGAGGTCTTAAGACATGGGAATGTGCTTTGGATCTAGTAGCCTATTTAGCAGAACAGAAGGAAAACTACGATGGAAAGAAAGTGCTTGAGGTAAGTAATAAGGAGTACAAAGTGGAGAGTACGTAAGGAAAAAAGAAGGAAATGTCATGGAAACTTTTTGGTTTTGATTTTGACCTGATTTCAATTTTCTTTTCTAACTGTGGGCAACAATTATTTATCTTCATTTTAATGACTTCATAAAAAAAATAAAAAAATAAAAAAAAAAAAAAGCTTGGTTGTGGTTCAGCATTGCCAGGAATCTATGTATTGACTCAATCAAAAACCGTCACTGTGGATTTTCAGGATTATAATGATCAAGTTCTCAAGCTCGTCACGCTCCCAAATGTCCTCTTGAACACATACACTCGCCCTGACCAGCAACCAAACCAGGAAGAGGAGAATGATAATGGCGATAGTGAACAAAAGAAATGTAAGGAGAAAAAGGATACGGCCGAAGGCAACGAAGGTAGCGATGATGAGGAGGAGGAGGATGACGAAGACGAGGTCCCTGAAGCAGATCCTGCAGATGGTGACTTTGATGCCGTGGAGTTAGATTTACCTTACACAGAAGAAGGAAAACTAGAACTGGTCAAGAAGGTTGAACAGCAAAGTAGATTCTATATGGGTGATTGGTCTGGTTTGGTAGATCTTTTGGCTTTCGACAAAGACGGAGATAAGTATGATCTGATCCTGACAAGCGAAACCATTTACGCAGAAGATTCTCATCATAAACTATACTCCACTATCAAGAATTCTCTCAAACGTGGAGGCAGAGCGTAAGTTCATGCTTTTTTTTTTTTTTTTTTTTTTTTTTTTCGACTATTGAATATCATACTGACAGATAAATGATTGCTCTATTTTATCTACTTTCTCGTGTAATAGTCTTGTCGCTGCAAAATCATTCTACTTTGGTGTCGGTGGTGATATCTTGTCATTTAGGCGGCTCATAGAAAAAGATGATGTCTTTGATGTCAAAGTTGTCTTCTCTGCTCAAGCGTTTGTCCGTCGTGAGATCTTGGAATTGACATTTAAATAAAAACCTATATCCTATCCAAAACGAAGCACATTAAAGCATTTGAAAGCATATTCCAACTTGTAATCCTTACTTCTGCCCTCAATACATCAGTACATGCTTATTTTATTTTCAATAGAAAATATAGGATGAGACTCAGAATGGGGAACTGCATAGGGGTGCATAGAGCGGATAGAGAGTACATCAAGATAAAAAAACTAATACTATTGAGCTCAATGCTGAACCTGGGACTCATATTTCAAAGGAAGAGCATAACGGTATACATCGGTATATATAGGTAATGGGTCCATTCACCAATATTATCCTGTTGGGAAAAGTCGGCAATAGACAAAAAGAACAGTGATGGATGCGATGGGTGGTTTTTCTTTTTAATGATGAAGTATGCATGCTGGAGAAATTAAAATACTGCTTTGTCTATCTATCTAGGCATTTATACAGTTAATCGAGACGAGAAGAAGTTGACTAACGAGCTGGGAAGTTCTGTCTCCGTTGCTATATTATCTTCCTCACCATCCATATCCATATCTAAAAAAAAAAAAAAAAAAAAAAAAAAAGTAAGCATGTTAAGAACAAGTTAAGGCAAGAAATAAATGCGCATAGAACTTGAAATCTTTGCTTTTACCTCCCGAAACAGCAGCAACCTCGCCATTAGCTTGCTCTTCATCTTCCTGCTCCTCTTGCTCCTGTTTTTGCTGCTTCTTCTTGGCTTTGACTTCCTCTTTCCCTGTCATATTCTGGGTCAGCAATTGGGCCATGAACGCCTCAAACAACGATGAGACTGGCGCCATAACATGTGAAGGTGCATCGAACAAAGGATTGCGCACCATGTTCTTCTTTGACCCTGTGTTCCTGATCGCATTCTCTTTTTTCTCCTTCTTCTCCTTCTTGCTCTCTGCCTTGACTGAAGATCCAAAAATATCGGTCACTAATGACTTTTGCTTTTCAACCTCCAGTGCCGCTGCTCTTGCCTTTTCCGCAGCCTCCTCAGCTTCTGCCTTCAGATCCTCTGCGGTACGTCCGCCCAGGACCTCAAGATCGAAATCATAGTTCATGATCAAAATAGGTTCTACTACATCATTTTGGGCTTTTTTGGACGGAGATGTAGGGTCTGGCATGAACGTAACTGCGCGAACCTTCTTGCTGATGGTCTCCATATATACTGGCTTGGGACTCGTGGGCTTGAAAACAATTATGGTGTGTTGTGATGACTCTTCTTTATGCTCAGGGCAGGTGATCATGAAATGAGGGGTTGTAGACGAAGCCTTCAGAGCCTCAACATTAATTTGATAATTCCACCATACTGAGCATGTCAGTAAGTTCCAAGAGTACAGATGATCCTTAGTGGCAGCAATAAGAAAAGGAGAGTTCTTGATGAAAACCAAATGCTTGATAGGTCTCGTTTCTGGAGGTTGCGTCAACACTCCTTGAAGCGTATTGAGGTAAGGATTCCAGAGAGTGATAATCTGGCCATAGGCGATAGCGAGTAACGATCCATCTGATGAAAATCCAGAACAATAGGGTACCATGTCTCGGTAAAATCCAGTCGATCTGCAGCTCCAGGCGCGCTCCGCCTCAATGCCACGACGTGACTCCCCTTGATGAGTAAGCTCCCAGACCTTGAATGTTCCATCTAAAGAAGTAGTGACGACCATAGGTGCATGATCACCCTCACGAGGGTTAAACACACACGAGGTTATTTCCTTTGAATGGGGTGTATCCACTCGAGTATTAAGAATATAAGTACGAGCATCCGAATCATATTCCCAGAACTTGAGATAAAGCTCAGGCGTAGTTTCCTGATCGTCACGACCATCGACAGTAGCCATCCAGCGAGCGCTCTTGTCATTAGAAAAGGCGCAGTGCATAACGCGAGGTGGGATGATTTCTTTCTCGTCAGTGCGCGAGACTTTATTGCGGGGAGTGACTTCCAGCTCCATAATATGCTGCTCTTTGATTGGATCATAAAATTGAAGCGTGCCAGGTAATCCATTAAGAACAACATGGCCATTACGTGGCTCAATTACCAGTCCTGTAGAAAGAGGGTTGTGAAGATGGTTTACATGAGCTGTGTGACAAGAGTATAGTCAATAAAATAAAATAAAAATAGTTAACACTTCCAGTACAGTGATGCTAATCGTAGGTATAGGAATGCACCTTTTTTTTTTTTTTTTTTTTTCACTACAGGGGATAACATACAATACTTAAGTCCTTGTATAGCGATCTTGATCTTGAGGTCTATGCTCCTAATGACATTGACTGAATTATCCTGTTGTCCGATCGCATACAGGGACTGATCAGGCGACACTGTGATATGCTTAATTTCTGACCCTAATCGGGGCAAAAATTGCTTGAAACCTGTCTGAAGCTGCCAAATCACCAACACAGATTCCTCTCCTCCTGAAAGCAGATAGTTACCATCTGATGTGAAAGCAAGAGCTGCAACCTGGTGAGCATGCCAGTGCATAGTTGTCGTCACAGGCCGGTCAATATTCTTTCCGAAACAGTACCACAATGTAATGCGTCCACGTTCATCTCCTGTAGCAATGCAGCCCTCTGTAGGATGGAACGCCAAACATGTAATCTTCTCCGGAGTCACATAGCATCTAAACCGAGACTCATCGTTTTCAGTCAGCCCACCTTCCTCAATTCCGTTTCCTGCTCCAATATGAATGACATGCAGTTTGTTACGAGCTGACAGAACCAAATGCTCTCCATCCGAGGAGATCGCCAAGCCTGAGCAGCTACGAGTCTTGAGCAAACGAGTCAGTCGCTTGCGTGTGTTCTTGAGCGAAAATCGCAGCAATACTGAGTTTTGCTTCACACGAAGCTCACCAGCTAAATTGGATGAATTAAAAGAAAAGAAAAAAAATCAGCAATTGTGTATCCAAAGATGTGATTTTAAATACAGATCCTCAATGGATCACCAGAATCTCTTTATAAAATGTACTTACTTTTCCTAGCCTGAAACTGCTGCTGTTTCTTGGAAGTTTTTGTAGTGGTCAAGTAGACGTGGTTTGGATTGCTTCCAGAAATTACCATATGGGTGATTGGTACAGTTGTATCAAAGGTTTGTAATAGAACAGCATCATTAAAGTCCCACAATTTGATGGTTCCATCCAATGAAGCAGAGTAAAGCTGCAGAGGGTTCTTTAGGTTAAGCATGACACATGTAACAGTGTCTTTGTGTCCCCCTTCTTCGACGGACGAAGATAGAATACGGACAACCTGACCCGTCTCTACGGAAAGAATGCGGATCGACCTGGCATTACATGAGAAGAAGTAGTTGGAGTCTGAAGTGAAGACCACGGGATAGTCTGACAGACGCATGGTGGGGAAATAAAAATAAAAAGACCAGGCTTAGTTATTCTAAGCTAACAAGGACGATAAAAGGAGCAGTGAGGTAGACAAATGGTCGACCGGGTAATCAATCGTTAGAGAGGGTAGCAACCAAGCATTGAACCATGCAAAGTTGGTTTACAGGTTGGGAGGGCTACTTTGTTGAATGTGACCGTTGGCTTCAGGCTTTTTTTTTTTTTTTTTTATGAAAGCCACTAACAATAACATATTGTCCTTTAAGTTCTGACGCTTGGTTGGCCCTTGCACATGGTCACTTAACCAAACTAAGCTTACCTCCATTCAATAACAACGCTATTCCTTTCACTTTCATCTGATTCCAGTATACAATGGCTGTCACAACACGCAAGCGAGCTGCTCCAACGACAAAAACTACTCCAAGGAAGGCACCTGCAAAGCGCGTAACAAAAGAAAAACCTGTGGAGCCAGCGTCCGAGTCAGAGTCTGAAGAAGAAGGAAGCGAAGTGGAAAATAAGACTATGGATCAAAATGAACAACAAATTGATGAAAAAGAGCCAAAGAGCGGAGCCACCAAAGATAACGAAAGCAGCGATGAGGAGACATTTAAAATTCATGTCCCAAAGACACCTGCACAACCTCGAATCACACCAGCTACTCTCCCTTCCATGACATTTGAAGACGATAGTGAAGATGAAGAAAGTGACGCCGCACCCGAAGCGGAGACACTCTCCAGCGCCAAGGCAAAAGTACTGTCTGCCCAGGATAAGGAGAGGTCGTTTTTGTCAAAGTAAGCAACTTCATTTTTTTTTAAAAAAAAAAAAAAAAAAAAAAACATCGTTAGAAGCACCTTAACTCATATACCTCTATTCAACTTTTCTCTTCTTCATTCTAGAATTCAGGCAGAGCAAAAGGCAAAGAAAGTTGAGCGTGAAGCAAAATTGAAGGAGCAGAAGGAGCAGTCAAAAAAGAAGAAGGCGGAATTGAAAAAGACAAAAGAAGTAACAATAGTAGATAAGGAGGAAAAATATAAAAAGGAAGATAAAGACGGAGAAACAGAGGATAATGAGAATGAAAAGGCAAAGGACCCTTCAACGAAGCCTACTCTTCCCACCATGCTACCCATGGACATTTTGGAATCAGTAGCCCAGATGGAGGATATAAATGCGGCTACACCAAGTACGAGTGTTAATAAGAAACATATGCGGCCCGAAGACTTTGCGTTGATGGAATTGGAAGCTGAATTGAAGGCTGAGGCGGCAAAGAGGAAGAAGGTGGAAAAAACACAAAGGAATGTTGGGTAAGTGATAAGTGATCCGTGCATTGACTAGATGCTGTGGCTATCCGTTGACATAGTTTTATGTAACATTCAAGGAATATATGGTTAACATGCTCTATCTTTAATTTTTTATGCTTATTCTCACAGTCCTGTGACAGTAAAGGTCTTAGATCAATCTAAATTTGCCAAAGGTCATGCCATTCCTGAAACCATTGTTGATTTCAGAAAACAGCATTTCTTTGGATCAAAGATCCAGCGTAAGGATGCAGTCTTGAACATGTCTCAAAGGAACATCGGTGCTGCAGGGAAGTTTAACCGGCGCAAGTAGATCGTTTCCAACACAGAACTTTACATCATTCCGCAACTCCACCATTACAATATTTTATACAAATTCATTGCATTTAGATATATACTATATAAATTTTTTTGTCATCATTAACTCTTTAACTATTAATACAATTGGCTTTCATTTTTTCCAATACCAAATAAACTTTTTTTTTTTCAAGTCTCCCTGATCCTACAGCAGAATCTCATGCCAAAGGACAGAGTCAGGATTCAAAGCCTTGAACAACTCTATATCAAAAGCTTGTCCTGATCCATCCTGGTTGCTTTTCATCAACCGTTGGCACATCTTATCGATTGCAATGACTGACAGGACTGTCTGTATGTAAGCATCGATCATGTCATCAACACCTAATCCGAGTTGGTTGAAGTCCTTGCGATCCATCAACAACAGTCTTGCAGCCTCCGTGCTCCATTCTCCAGAAGGCGATTTGACCGACAAGTTAGTTCCTAGCATCTCCCATGACGTAGTCGAAGGGTCATCTTCGAGATGGCGGATCAAAGGCTTACGTGCTCGACGAGCATAAATACAAATGGGCCGGAAGCCTTGCTTGTTGCCAGCAACCATCATGCGAATATCTGTCACGAATGTATTATTTTTCTTGTTGGGAATTGTTCCAACATGGTAAAACTTTCCATGCCGGGTGATCGAAGACCAAGACGCATTTCCAACGAGAGACTGGACGATATACTTGTCATAATGTTGAGGAGTATCCATAAATTCCTGGAGCTCTTTCTTGTTTGTAATTGTGTAAACTCCTTGACCTAAAATTTTAATTTTGTCAAATTGATATACCATATATCAGTATGTAGTAACTTTATCAGAACAAGCACTATAAAAGTAATTTACAACATACCAGCATTAGAATATGGCACTTTGACAACAGCATGGCCACCCATGCTATCAAGCCATAGTGGAATCTCGCTTTTAGTAACGTTATTAATAGTCTCTGGCACGCGAACGTGCAAACCCGAATCGGCCAACTCTGCATTAAAGAATTCGTATGCCTTAGCTGCCATCATCTTGTTGCGGCCTCCAGCCAAACATGCGACCGTCTGGTTCATGACTACAGTTTTTGTGTACAATGGAAAGCGGTTCCATGGCTTCTGAGTGACATATCTAAAGCAAGCTCTGATTGAGTGCCATTCTAATTAATTCGATGCGTAAAACATATGAGTTAGTTAAAAGATATAAGTTGAGCTAAAGTGAAACTAAACTGAGACCACGGAGAAAAGCACTACCTTTTTTCTCATCGCGAATGTGCATCACCCTGTCAACCCACTTGACTGGAGGATCCTGGTCATTCTCATAAAATTCAACGAGCCAGACCTTTTCCTTCATAACTTCCGCCAAGGTACCAGCATATCCACTAGCTTCCATCATATTTTTGTCACAAACAACAGCTAAACCTCCTAGGGACTTGTCTGCTGTATCAATCATGTCCTTGAACGCAGACTCGAGCACTAAACGGTATCCTCCATGCTCCTATGTTCAAGAGAAAGCATAGTGATATATTATAGTTGTGAAACAGAGTTAGTGGTTTTTAATTGTCATATCACATAAAGCGTTCAACAGAATACTAGACATACATCCGATTCAGATAAAAGTGGCATCGATTTTTGGCCAGAAGGACACGAGTTAGTCTCCACGATAATCATTTGACGGTGGCCATCCGCAGTTGTGACATTAAACAGATCAGAACCTGTAATCAAAAAAAAAAAAAAAAAAAAAAAAAAAAAATTAATACAAACATATTCAAATGCACGCAAGCTGACGGATAAACAAAAAGGAAAAAGAGAAATGCTCCTATCAAATATAATCCTATTCCCTCATTGTATTGCGACTGGTTGAGAGCAGATGAATATGTCCTTGCATTTCAAACACGTTTTCCCTTCCTCTGTCTCTTTTTTTTAGTATGAGAAGAAACGCGCGTATCATCAGAATTGGGATCGAGCGCGTGTACCATCTTTTTTCTGTTGTTCTTGCAGAATGAAACAATGAAACACAAACTTTTAGGTAGGACGAATTGTGTCCAAACCTTTTTTTTTTTCCTCTGGCGTAATTACTACCCGTGGTCATTCATGTCTATGACCGAAGCGTGTCGATTCAAAAAGAAATCTCAATTTCCTCTTTTTTTTATACCTCTCTCCTCTCAAAAAGAAAAAAAGAAAAAAAAAAAAAAAAAACGAACAGTGAATAGCGTAATTTCGACGTGAACTTGCCTGCCCACTGGAAATGTTTTGGTACATAGTTGAGACATTTTCGTAGGACATCCTCGTTGACCAGAGGGTTAAGGTGCATGTATCTTGCAATGATCCTCTCGTTGCCTAACGAGAAGAAGTACCCGACCATAGGATGGATTTGTGCGTTCAGGACACGGGGGTAAAAATGCTTCTCAGGCTCAAAGTGCTCGCTTGTCACTTGGTGGCCGTCTGGCGTCGTTTTCTTGGGCTTAGGTTCCAGATAGATATCACTGATCTTTTGTGCAGCTGCAGAGATAGCAGCCAAGTTGTTAGCCAACATGGTATCTTCGTCAGCCTCACCACTGATGTTGCTATTGATACTGCCTTCTCCTCTGGTTCCACCGTTACTCTGGAAGTCATTGTTGTGTTGAGCGACATTCGCAGTGGTTAAAGAACCGACTGTAGAACCAGAATCGCTTAATGAGTCTTGATGGTGGTGCCCGTTTGCTGAGGCGGTACTTTCGAGATACTTATCAAGCTTAGATGCAATAGATCCAGCTATAGATGACAGCCTGCTCTTGTTAAGAGACCCACTTGATGTTAGGGAGTCTGCGCGCGACTTGTGGCCAGTGGGAGGGGCGGGTCCAGGTGCGTTCGGAGACAGGTGGGCGTTCAGAGGTGGAGTGGTGTTTCCTCCTTCGAAAGGTTGATCCTTGACAGGATTCCATGCACTGCGAGCAGGGTCAAGTGGGCCGATAGAAGCTTTTTGATTGCTGTCTATGGCAGAAGAATTGGAGGCAGAGCTCATGATAAATTTTTGAACAAAAGAAAACACACAGACAAGTGGAAATAAGCTCAAATAAGGTGAATCAGGTGGGGGAAAAAAAGAAAAAAAGAAAAAAAGCAAATGAGATGGAAATGAGTAGAATGAGGGAAAGAGATGCAAAAGAAAGTAAGGGAAGAAAGCGAAGGGAAGGAGAAAAGAAGAGAATAAGGAAAAGGATAGTAATGGTATATATATATTTAAAAGAGAGGAAAAGGACATTAAGAAGGGCACTAGCACTGGCCACCTTGTTCATTTACTTCTTTTGCCTTTTTTCACAGCTATTAATGACGTGGAGCTACGGGCGATGACAGGTGGACCATCGGTGATAATGTCGACAGACGAACAGGATGTGAATCCTTGTACATGTGTATCCTGTGTATAGTAGACGTTTGAACATCATAGTGAGATAGCGACAAAAATACATTTTTAAAAAAAAAAATTCCAACCACCTCTACTCGACCATAACTTTCACCAACTAGCTTGTCTATCTTTCTCCAGCCAATCAATCTGGTTATTCGCGCCTACACGCACCATTCTACCAAACTTTGATAGAGGAGCAACCCTCTCCCTAAAAAAAAATAAAATAGAAAAACCCCACTCAACAACACTATTTTACGTTCTCTTTGAACTGAGTCCAGCAGACATGATTCATTCATCCAGTGGGAAGCCACAATCATTGTCATTCGAATCGAAACAGCTAAATAATCCCCAATATCAACGCCCTACATTGACTTTAACTTTTTCTATTATTCCTTCATTTTATAAGTATCGACAGCTCAAAATATACAAGTAGGAAGAGATCGACTAACGAAAGCAGCCAATATAGTACGCATCGTCCGAACCTCTTTGCTTGAAATTGAACTTGATAGTGGTTCAGCCCCTTTGCAAAAGGTTATTTTATTTTGCTTTTTTAAAACATCCACCCATGAGCGTAACGCAGAATTTTGTAACCACGAATGAAATTGATCTTGGCGGCAACATGGGCCTGAATGTTCTAATTTGTGAGTCAAGCTCAAGGTGATACAACATGCGGAGGTAATACGCGTGTACAACTTTTTTTCCTGTATGATAGAGCCCTGCCTACATGTCTACATGAAGATGTTATAACCAATCATAAACCACATGCATCCTAGCATCCACCTTCATTCATTTCCTTGCGAACGTGCAAAATTTTAAAAAAGATCTGCATTGTTCAGTGATCTTGATCAGTTCTCCCCGTACAGTGTCAAAGGTCTACAAAACATGGAAAGGTAGCTTTCCAATACATACTTCATTATTGCTTTTACTATTATTATTATTATTTTTTCCGTTAGACATTATGGATACACTCTTGAAAACGACCAACCTATCTACACTCCCTTGTCTATATTTTAAAGATCTTCAGGGTTGATTTTTTTTCCTTCTTTTTTTATATTAATACGGATGTCACCAAAGATTCAATAGGGAATGACAAACCTTAAGGTTTGAATATCTGTGTGCATGTGGGTCTGACTGGTGATACAATGCAAGACCTGTCCACAGGGACTCAGGTCACTACGTCAACGTAGACCAGAAGGGCTATTGTTCTCCGAGAACAAGTAGTGGAATATGTTCATAAATGGTGATTCCGATCATGGTTGGACATATTTCACCCATATAATACAGCCAAATGTCTCTATGGACAAATGTTCATTTTAGATTTTAATACACCAACCAGGATTGCCCGTGCTAGAAATATAAAAGGAGGTACATGAATAGAGATGGAAGGGACAGAAATTACTTGAAAAAAAAGGGCTGCGCCAGATCTAATAATCTATTCGATGTCCATCTATACTAACTTCAATGAACTCTTTGACTGACGTTCATGATGCCCATACCCGTCGTTTGTATTCCCCACATCCTTATGCCTCAATAACCAACATTTGTTGTGGATTGTTTGCATCATCTCTTTTTTATCTTTCTTGTTCCACTTTCGGATTCACTTGGTTCTGAAACCAAACTCAAATTCAAGACACACAGTCACTGAGCGTGTGCAATAATGCTTAGCCCAGCTTGAATCAACGATCGTACAAACACTGACAATCCATCTCTACATAAAAATACATTTATATTTATAATTTTGTTCTGTTTGAATTACCATCAATTTGAGTAATGAAAGACATGCCTTTTTTATATCTCTTGCTTTCTCTCTTTCTCATCCTTTACCCTAACGCTCCTGCCACCACGACTAAAAGGCTTGTTAGGATATATCTGTGGCTATAGATATGCTATGTTTCTCATCCTCTCATCTCTCCTTCATTATTAGATCTTCTCTCTCTTTTTCCTACTCCTGTTTTTTTTTTTTTTTTTTTTTCCCTTTCTTAATTTATCGTCTTTCTTGTACTCTGTCCCTCTAATACCTTTCTACCTCACCCTGATCCTATGCCTTCTTCGCCTTCTTCAAACTTTTAATATTAAAACTCTAAAATCTTTGATTTATCCACCAAACAACGCCAGAACTATATAACAAAGAGACACAAAAATGCCAGTGCCAATGGAGGCCCATTCTACACCCCTTATCCAGCATTCATCATACCCCGCTGTTGCTTCTGAGTAAGTCTTTTTATCAACTAAAAAAAGAAAAAGAAAAACTTTCCTAGTTTTTCTGTTCGTCATAGTTCTTTTCTTTGTTCTTAAAAGGACGATATACACGTGCAATGAATTGCTATTATGGTTTTCTATGGTTGAGTACTATTTCAATGACGCCGCCTCTAAGAAAGAGATGACACAAAGTCAAGATAGTAATGACATAGAAGTTTATGGATGTGCAATGAAAAGTAACTAGAGATTTGAGGGATAGGTATTAAGGTTGACACTAGTCGTTGGGATGATTTAATCCTCAGTGTGCACCATCAGATTATATCATGGCTATATAAAATTGAAACGCGGTGTTAATCTTAATTTGTCTTGGTGTCATGGAATCTGATATTGCATTGAAGAAATGGTTGCGGGACCCATATTTCGATCTTTTTATTTTTCTCTTGCCTTTTATCTGCTTTTTGTTTGCAAACACAGTTAATCCCTTAGTTGCTATGAAGGCTTATTTGGCTATTAAGCTCTAAAAGATACCTGTGTGAGTGTAACATCTCCGTAACACAGTAAGGACAATTGACGTAGGAAAAAAAAAAAATTTAAAGGCGGACGTGAACGGCAGATTAGAAGAAAGAACGCCCGGGGATGGGGGCTGTGAGAAATAATGCAAAAAGCAGGCGAACAATAGAGGACATCACTGCTGCTATGAGGAGATAATGTGAGGCAAGCATGGTATTGATATACGGGCTATGATCCATGCATTTCTATTTACCTTTTACAATGCTTTCACCTCCTTTCTTCCTTCCATCAGTTTTCCCCTTCCTCCTTTATTCAAAATCACCTTTTTTTCTTATCATTTCTTGACATCTATTCTTACTATGACAACTTCTTCAGCCAGAGACACTTGTTTCGCTCAGGATGTCGCAAAAAATGACGATCACGCAGATCTTTCCTTCCAGTCCCGCCCTCCCCCTATTAGCCGCTCTTCAACCTTCACCCGTCAAAAATCCTCGCTTGACCATCACCTCAGCAATCCTTTTGATATGGAGAGTCCATTCCAGTCATTCCCGTGGGATAATAACTTCTCGCCATTTTTCTCTGTTACTAATAGGTTCGAGAACGACTTGAGTGGGCGGCTTTATTCTCCATCTCTGTCTACATCCCGCAATAGCTATGAGGCCTATCCTTTTACTACTGTAACTTCAGCCCCAGCCCCAGCTTCCACAACTGCGTCAACGGACGCACGCGACTTTGAGACTGCATTCTGTCGCGATTTTTATTGCTGTGGTACAACCTTATGTGATTTACATGACCTTCTACAACACTATGAGGAGTGCCATGTACGGTTCGAAGAGGAAAATGAAGACGACGAGGGTGACTTTCTAGATGAAGACGACCTCTTTGGAAGTGGTTCCTCTGGCGCAGACTCTGAATACTTTGATGAAGAGGGTTGCTGGAGTGAGCCCGATTCTGCCCCGGTTAGTCCTTCCCTCTCCACATCTCCACCTTCGTCTCTGTCAACAGCACGAGAGAGTGGCAGCAGTAGCAGTAGCAGTAGCAGTAGCAGTAGCAGTAGTCGGAGTACAAGTGTGCCCAGAAATGATAGCGGTGCCGCAGCCGTTGCTGCAGGATCGAATGCAAATGCACGCTTGTTGAAATCTGTACACAACCCCCCATCAATGATGTTACACACCCAACAACATCAACATCAACAACATCAACAGCATCAACACCAACATCAGCATCACAATCCTCGGCAGACACGACACCCTTATCCATATTCTGGTTTCAACAATCCCACAACATCTGCTCTCCAAGCCCTCTCTGCGCCGTATGGGGGCATTGATGGCCACAGTGGGCTGAACAAACGAAAGGCTGGGGTCTCTTTAGCTGATCTATATGTCGGAGGCAATGGATTTGGGCCTGGAGATACTACAGCTACATCGTCAAACATAGCCCTGCAGGCCTCTACTGCTGCCGTCACCACTAATAATCATGGAGAAGGAAGCAACGTAGGTTTTGAGGCGACCATCCCGTTTGCCAAACGTCAAACTCTTGAATCTAACCGCCCGACTGGCCCGTCTATGTTTATGTCAGCAACAACAGCTAAATCAGCGATAGCAGCGGCTACACATCTATTTGCCACTAACAGGACAGTCTCTGAGATGTTTCCTGGCGTAGTCATGGGTGGAGATGGCAAGCCAATTGGACCATTATCCAGTGGCAAACATTTAGCACTATTTAACGAAACCCTCAGCCGAGGAGGAGTAACAATAGGGGATAGAGCGATACCCTTGGCCCACAATACTGCGCAAGGTGCCGTCGACTGGCTGCATCGTCATGATGATGTCTTTAATATTCTTGAAGACATGACCAAGGTGCCCAATCCCTCAGACGAAAACAAGCCGTACAGGTGTACTATTCCCGGTTGCGACAAGGCCTACAAAAACCCCAATGGTCTCAAATATCATAACCAACATGGCCATAGTTCCGCAAATTTAGGCGATGCAGACAATCCAGAGGCACGTCCCTATGTCTGCACGTTCCTTGAATGTGGTAAACGATACAAGAACCTGAATGGACTCAAATATCATATCGAACATACACATCCAAATCTAATTGCAGCCTTGAAGGCACATCAAGCTGGACTCACAAACCATCCACTGCTGATCAATGGTGCTTATGTGAACCATCAGGCAGCTGCTATGACGATGGCAGCTGCCTTAACAGCAGTGGAGGTAAGTCCGGTCATGGCACTGGCAGCAAACGCAATTTTGACTGCTCATGCAGCTGTTACAGGCTCCGAGAGCACAACAGGATCGATTGAAGGTGTCTCAGTTTCGGAAGCCGATTCAGCCATGACTTCAGTACCCATGACTACCGCACCAGCCATCACAAGCACACCGTTAGGTCAAACTTTTGCGACAGCTCCTTTTCCTTCAGCATTATTAGCAACTAATAGTGCCGTCCAAGAGTCAAACACCGCTGCTAAAGCATAGTCATATTCTAGCTGTCAAATACAATAATAATAAAAAAAGTAAAATAATAATAGTAATAATAATATTGATAAAAATAAAACTAAAAAAAAAAGTATGAAGAGACGTTTCTATCATTATTTCTTTATTAATGTTCTATACTACTACATATTCTTAAGGGCTCCTTGATCCATTAATATTTCTTCACAAAAGGCCCAGAACCGTGCAAGAGTAGGTTTGATACCATAAAGCGTGAATCGGCTTCGGGTATCTGGCAACATTGGGTATTGCAGTCTCGGGATAGAGCGAATGGTTTCGCCAGATAGGAGACACTTTAGGACATGAAGCGTGAAATAATGAGAGGAAAGTCGTTTCCACAGGACAGAATATTGAAAGAAAATTGCCGATGCTGGTAGCGGGGAGTTCTAAAATTTAGAAAAAAGGAAAGAAAAGGATGAAGAATATGAATTGAGAGTCCAATAAAATTTAATGTCTTTTTTGATTTGCAGTAACAGTAATCCGGAGATACTCAGCGATTAAACACATACGGATAGAAGTAGGTAACTGACAGATCGAGGTATCTTTTCTTGCTCCATCGGCATCTCTGTCGAGGTGGACTCTGAGAATCCATTGTACGGTTCTAAATGTTGCTGTCTTAGTGATTGTATATGGTGACTGAATGAAGGAGGCTGCTCAAAATAAAGATTGGAGTGTCGCTGTCGATGTTGACTAGATCCACTCATCCCCATATTGTTTCTGCCCAGTGAGTTATATTGCTGTTGGTGCTGCTGTTGATGCTGATATTGATGGTGCTGTGCCAGAGGCTGTCGCCGCTGGTGTTGTTGCTGGTTTTGGTTTTGATGCTGATGTGGACTGTCGACAGATACAGATCTAAAAGAACTGACAACCCATCTAAGCGGCGTTGCTCTGTCAAAGAAGAACCTCTCGGGGCACACCTCCAGTCTTAACCCACCAGGTAAACGATCTGGATCTTTAAGCCGAAGCATAATTGCAAATAATGGGAAATGATTCAAACAAGCTAAAACTGTCTCCATAGTTGCTTGCATGCAAATGACCATAACTCGACTCTAAATTAATGAGCAAGTTTTTTTTATATGTGGAGTAGTTAGTACAATGGGGCTATTAGGGGGCTTAACAAGAACTTTGTTTTTGCAAAGGTACCTACCAACGCAAACGTCAAATAGTAAACAACAATCGTTGGAAAGAGAAAGGTTAGTAATGTAAAGAGGATGGTGCCAAGTAAGAGCTGGTCTAGATCATAGTCGCAAGAATCAATTCGGTGGCGAAGTGTATTTCTCTTTTTGCCTCGGAAGAGATTGAACAAAGAGTATAGGATCGTTAGCTGCCAATGAAAGATGCGCGCAGCAACCATATAAAACCAGTAGATATGGATAGTTGTAAATGCCAAGAGATCAGATATGAGCGAAAGAGACATAGTAGCACCAAATGCTCCAGACAGACCGATCATATTGATAACTACAGGGACCATAGGCTGAAGAGAGATGATGAAGTCTAGAGAAATAACAAAAAATGGTATATTCGTGTCAGTGCCATAACGAATTAATATTAATAACAATAATAATCGTAAAAGTATCTTCAATACCTGCCCATATCTCAATAAGCCATTTGAAGAGTTGCCCTAGAAAGGGATTGAGTTCCGGATTCAATTTGAGTCCGGCAGGGTATTCATTTTCAGAGGTAAGCCATTCCAAAACTGCTGAAATAGAGTCAATAGTATAATCCTAACACGATGTTGGTTTCAGAGTTATACACATAAGATCTTAAAAAACAGTCCACTGTCTGTCTATATCCAGTATATCGCCTTACCTTAACATAACGCTGCAATACTTCTCCCATGTATTTGTTGTTGCTAATCAGAAACGAGCCAAGAGCCACTCCTATGATAATATCGTTCGCGACGAGCCACATGCTGTTATAAAAGCTATATATTTCAAGTGAATAAAAACTCCTTAATACAAAGAAAAGGGGGAAAAGCCCGTATCTTACATGCAATCATAATACTTGAAACCCCCTGCAAGTACCAACCTAATGTACTGAGCCCTGGTAATTGAGGTATTGGTCCAAGCTTTTTTCTTTGCCATAAAGTATTGCCATGGCCAAAAGCACGCCTGCTGTAGCCGAAGGTCGATTTGCTGTCCTGTTGTTGTCATATCCTTGACTGCGATCCCATTAAATACCCAGGAAGGAAACCTCAAGTTCAAGACCCAGAGACTAACTTCTACTAGTGCTCTCAATATAAGTAATATTACCATGAGGGGGCGGATAGTAAATGGCTGGATCATGGGCCACAATGTTGTCACTGCAACTGTGAGCTTGGACCGGACCTTGATAGTTAAATCCACAGCCGATTCACGAACAGCTTCTGACATGCTCCGACTCCTAGCTCGTCGCCGAAGTAGGTTTTTGGCCTTGGCATGCACCGCCTGCTCCATCTCGTACGACGAATTGATCTAAAGAATAGCAAAGTATCGAAAACAAACTGGTATGAGTTGACTGGTTTGAATTCACCCCATTATTATTATTATTATTTTATCTTACCTGCTGCAAAGTAACATTCATATCGTCTGTCACTGTTCTCCCCATTGATGACATGAATGGTCTGGAGTGGTTCTTTGCCGACTTCGTTCGACCCTGAGCTGCCTTGGGGCTCAGCGCGGCATCAAATAAAGCACCCGATGCGTTGATTTTTGAGATATCGAGTATAAGCGGGTCGAGTGATAAGAACTGGTAGCTCCGTGGGTCTGGTTGTTTATAGAAAATTATTTCTGAACTAAGATTGGTATAGCGAAAGCCACAGCAGTGTAAGGATTCGAGTGATGGTATGTACGTTGGTTTGATTTCAATTGTGAGCCATAAATTTGCTGTTTGTTTGTGTTCTAATAAGGATCGCGAGGTAAGGAGTCTGGTGTTGCTGTCTGCTACTGTCTTTGCGTCCACACCGTCCGCAAAAGGGACAATGACCACGCCCAAAACGACAGGATTGACACCACATGCTTTGTTGAGTGCTGTAATTTGAGGATCAGCAGTTAGGGACCCGAGTGCAGAAACTAAGGGGTTAAGCTTAATTGAGTGGAATTTGATCCGCATATCTCATCAGCCTCAATGTCCACATCAACATGTATATGACCTGACATTCTTTGCCAGCGGTTCATACTTACATCTATATCTGAAACAACAGTTGCAATACATGCTGTAAAACTTCTGACATTCCATCCAATGATAAATCCAGTCCTAAGATAGCGTGAGCACAAGTGTGATGGCCAGAAGATTTTGGAAATAGCAGCAGATGTGTTCATGCTGTGTCCTTGATCCGAACTCTAGGATTCTGTTTTGCGCAACTGAAGTTTTTCTCTTTCTCTATTGCTTTGACTTGTTTTAAAAGCTTCCACGCCTCTGCAAATGCTCTCGTGCTGAAGTACGGTAAGGATAATCTTGTTTCTGATATTTAAACCAGGGGTCATAAAATAAAATTAGGTTCATTTTCCCAGAATTTCGAAACTGTGAACGAGTACCTTATGAATCCTGAATGAAGAAGCCCAAATTTCTGGCTTACCCTTCTGGCCTCAAAATTTGCGATCCGTTCCAAGGGGATCAAGATAAGAATAAAAAGAGCGAGCAAGATCAGGAGTGCGTAAAGTAAATATCTCTATGAAGCATCAGGATATCTAGTTAGACCAACGCTAGCAATGAGAGACGTTGCGATAAATACATCATGAAGGCGGATGAAGCGCTTGAACAGACATTCTTTACTTTATGAGTCGTTTCAGGGACAGAAGCAACAAAGTCGTATATGGTTGATATTATGGCAAAGTTGCAGGCACAGTAGCCAAGGGTAAATGACAACGCGGCTGAGATCAGGTAGGTCCGCATCAAGTGCCGTTGTAAAGAAGAGTAGGACTCCGTGCTGTCGGTGTTGATCTGTAGGCCAAGCTATTAGCAATGTATTCTATTATCTTTGAAATAATGATAGGTAATGATGCGCTGAGCTCAATGTTTGCTGATGCTTTTCTTGACTTTGGGCATGGCATCAAGGAAAACTGAGGCAAGTCTCGAGACGACAGGCCATACGATGTATCTTTTTTCATCCACGTGATAGCACCATTTCATCTCTGGCACAATTGAATAACTTTCTTAACTTTCTCACGGCAATTTAGTGAACTTTTGAGTTTGCCCAATTGTCCACAGTAAGCCCCTTACAATAGGCCAAAGAGAAAAAAAGTAATCAACGACCAACGGCCCCCCGGGCTTCTCGCCTTTAAAGACGTCCCTTCACCACAACTTTTTTTCTTTCCTTCCTTCTTCTTCCTTCACTCACTTTCCTTGCCCTCCAATCCTTCTACTCCTAAAATCCATACTCTCCACTCTTTTTATTTCACCATGTCATTCATTGAAACCAAGGCCGACTCGGACTTCTCCATTCATAACATTCCTTTCGGAATCATTTCTACTTCGCAGAACGTAAGTCAAACCTACTGTAATGAAAGAGAATGAGAAAAAAAAAATGGCTACTTTGATTGAAGAGAGATCCAACAGAATACCGGCTACTTTATCAAAAGGAATGAATAACATAACAACTAACAGACACGAATTCCGGCTCCCTTAAATCTTAAAGCCTGCTCCGCGCGTCGCCACTCGCATTGGCGACCATGTCGTCGATCTTTCCGTTCTTGCTCAGGCCGGCCTTTTCTCTCAGATCGTAGCTGATGCTCAGGGCGTATTCTCTCAGGTAGCTTTCTTTTGTTATTGCGAGAATATGGACTTGATCTCATCTCAAAGAAGTACTCACGATTTGGCATATCTTTTTTTTTTTTTTTTTTTTACTTGCTGTGGTGAATTGTTAGCCTAGCTTAAACTTATTCATGTCTCTGGGCAAGCCCATCTGGACTGCTACTCGCAAGCACATCCAGAAGCTTCTCTCTGCTGATGAGCCAACTCTCCGTGACAACCAGGACCTCATCCAGCGCGCCATCTTCCCTATCTCTTCTATCAAGACTCATCTTCCTGCTAACATTGGAGATTACACTGACTTTTACGCTTCCAAGGAGCACGCCACCAACGTCGGAATCATGTTCCGTGGTAAAGAGAACGCCTTGATGCCCAATTGGACCCACCTCCCTGTCGGTTACCACGGCCGCGCCTCCAGTGTTGTTGTCTCTGGCACAGGGTTGAAGCGTCCTAATGGTCAACGTACCGTCGTCAAGGGTGAGGCGCCTCAATATGGCCCTTCGCTTCGTTTGGACTGTGAACTTGAGATGGTAAGAAAGACAAATGATCTGGCTCGACATTAAAAAAAAAAAAAATGCAAATATAGCTCACACGCTTTTTATTATTTATTTTGTGTTAATGATGTCATTAGGCCTTCTTAGTCGGCACTGGCAACGATTTGGGCGAGCCCATTACCATTCAAAATGCCAAGAACCATATCTTCGGTGTTGTTCTTATGAATGACTGGAGTGCCCGTGACATTCAGGCTTGGGAGTATGTTCCTTTGGGTCCATTCCTCGGCAAGAACTTTGGTACGACTGTCTCTGCCTGGGTTGTCACCATGGATGCTCTCGAACCTTTCTTGGTGGACGGACCCGTCCAGGACCCCAAACCCTTGGAGTACTTGGCTGAGAATACTGCTTCTGCTTACGACATCAACCTTGAGATTAAACTTAAGCCTGCTGAGGGTACCAAATACAGCGTTATCTCACGCTCCAATTTGAAGTACATGTACTGGTCTTTCAACCAGCAGCTGGCCCACCATACCGTCAACGGATGCAATATGCGCACTGGTGATCTCTGTGGATCGGGCACGATCTCTGGCCCTACTGAGGATTCCTTTGGATCAATGCTCGAGCTCTCCTGGAGCGGTGCCAAGGATATTCAGTTGGAGGAGGGCATTACTCGCAAGTTCTTGCAGGATAACGATGAAATGATCTTGGCCGGTTGGTGCGAGAAGGATGGTGTTCGCGTTGGATTCGGCGAGTGCCATGGAAAGATCCTCCCTGCCAACAAGTAAAAACGAAGTTGTCTATTGCATTCTAATCATTGTTTTTGTACATACATCAATAAAAATTTAATCCATTGAGCCATCAATTTTTCCTTGTTACATGATTACAAATATATCAGTCGAAACTGGTTTTTATGCCACTTTTACTAATGAAAAGTGGCATATAAGTTTTTGAATTAACCTCTCTAAAAGTTTTGTTATAAAATGATGAAATGCAGTCACACATATATATTTCTCACATGATATCCTCATATGATATCATTTACGTCTACATACACGCTTTTCTCACAGACTTTTCAGATACCACTCTCTCGTTTTATCCGTTCATCGTTCTACACCACGCGTTCTTATATTCAATGGCACACAATTCAACCAAAACAATAAATGATACTGAAAAGCAAAAATGTCCTTCTTTTCCCGATGTAACGAGCAACAAAAAATACACCAAACGTGAGCTTGAGGAAATCGGCCACTGTCGCAAACAAAGATATAATGATCTCTTGCGGAGTGCCAGAAACAATGATATGTCCTCCGTTCTTATACTTCCTGAACCTAAACTATACGAGATCCCTATGGCCAGGGTCTCTTACCCCCTGGAGAAACAAGTTGAATTATTAGACATATATCACTACCTCGAAAAACGTAAGGTTCACTTCCTATCAAGCTCTCTCCCAGCTCCTTTGGTCGCTTGCTAGGGATCCATCTTCCGAGAAGTAGCCTTCGGCTCATGCTTAGCCGTGAAGGCCAACTGCGTGCCGCAGCCAAAATGTACCCTTCAGGTACCCATTACATTGTCAATCGCAAGAACTTGATGCTTGAGGAGGTCATTTATTACTGGATTCAAGATCAGCGTAAGAAGAACCAGTATGTCAACCGAAGGATGATCAGACAGGCAGCCAATGTTACATACACGCTCCTCTGCGACCTTCAAGATGAATCGAACGGCACTGTATCCGAAGCTCCACCATCATTTTCAGCCTCGTGGTTCGATTCATTCAAGCATCGCTATAATATATCATACTGCCAGCTTCATGGAGAAGCTGGTTCGATCGACTTAGAGGAAATTGAGCCTGAGCTCGAGGAGATCCGCCGTCTTTGTGCTGAATACACCCCCGATAATATTTTCAATTGCGATGAAACAGGCTTCTATTTGAAAGAAATGAGCGCCAGATCTTATACGGTACCTTCCTCCAAAGCTGGAATTAAGGCTCTCAGAGACTTCAAAGTCTCGGTCTTATTTTGTATCAACGCCTCTGGCACCTCCCTAGCAATGGCTGAGACCATGAACTCCTTGAAGCCATTGGTTATCGGTAATACATTGAGTGCATGGTTTATGTTTGTAGTAGCTTTTTCTTTATTCATTTCAATTTATAACCATTACGACTAGTTGGTATTTGACACTTTCTAGCCAGCCACTTCGCAAGGAATGTCGTAGAAAATGCGCTATCAAAAATGACGATAGAGAAAACAGATTCAGGGTGGATGAATCGTGAGGTTTTTGTAAAATGGCTGCAGGGCTTTGACAATGAGCTCATGCAATCTGCACTTCTTCTCCTTGATTCGGCCGGCGCCCACAGCAATATAGATATGTGTGATGCTAAGGATGGCATCCCATGGAAGCATGTCAAGATAAGATACCTACCAAAAAACTCGACCCCAGTAACTCAACCGCTTGATGCTGGAGTTATAAGTGTCTTTAAGCGAACCTTTCTGGAAATGCTCACTTATGAAACACACCTCGTTCGTACCTATGACAAGGAGAAGTCCCTCACTAATGGGCAAGCTTGGACATTAATCCCCTATGCATGGGAATGCATCAAACCCCAGACATTACAGAATTGTTTTGCGAAAACGCCTATTCTTCCAAACGAAATGCGTGAGCAGCTTCGCCGTCGAGGATCGAAAGATAATAATGGAGCAAGGCCGCTTTCATACACTCGACATAGTCGATACATAAAGCAAGAAAAGGCATATTTGAACATTTGATCGCCGAGGTTTCTGCAACGAACAACTGGAAGTTCAAAGTAGTACAGAATGAGGACGGACAGGGACCGGATGAAGCAGCGCCACAGCAGATAGATATGGAGGGAGAGAAGGCAGACGAGGTTGATGAAGTTGAAAGCTCACCAGTTGCCGATGAGGATATAGCTGTGACAATTCAAGCACGGGATTATCTAGCAAGAGGTCAGAATGCATTTAGTGTCGGAGGCATCAAGCAGGTCAGAGAAAGCACTGATGACGGTTCTGAGATTAAACGGAAGATCCGGAGAACCGTGAAAGACCTGGTACGCTTCTGTGCCGCCTATAAGAGCGAGATGGACACTGAAATCTTGAGAGAACAATAAATATTAATATTTTTTGTGTGGATATGCATATGAGGATATCATGTGAGAAGTATATATGTGTGACTGCATTTCATTATTTTAGAATAAAACTTTTAGAGAGGTTAATTCAAAAACTTATATGCCACTTTTCATTAGTAAAAGTGGCATAAAAACCAGTTTCGACCAAGAGGGTCAAGCTTGTCGCTCTTTTTGGTTAGCCCCTTTTCAAATATAAATGGTTTACTTAACAAAACTCTTATAATTGAAAAGGACTAACCAAAAAGAGCGACAAGCTTGACCCTCTGGTTTCGACTGTACATGTACCATGAATGCTACCTTGTGTCACAACACCTCAACTAAACTCTTTAATGGACAATGTTTTATTGTTGATATCAAAGCTATTTTTGGGTTCTGAATCCGTTGGGATTATTGCGCTGCCATCTCCACAAGTCTTCACACATCTGATCAAGAGTTTTGACTGCTTTCCAGTTCAGTTCTTTGTTAGCCAACGAAGGATCTGCAGTCAGATTGGGCACATCCCCAGCACGACGTCCTGAGATCTCGTAGGGTAGATCCCGACCCACGGCTTTACTGAAAGCACGAACCATATCCAGAACGGAGCATCCAGTCCCTACACCCAAGTTATATGCCTTGCACTCAAATTTCCCTTCGGATTCATCGCGCTCGATCTTCTCCAAGGCTGCAACATGGCCATCAGCGCAGTCAACTACATGCAGGTAATCACTGTCATTAAAAAAAAAAAAAAAAAAAAAAATTAGAGAGAACAATCATGGAAAGCACCGAATAAATTAAATCGCTCGTATTTTACCATACCGAATGCAAGTTCCATCCTTGGTTGGATAGTCATTTCCAAAGACAGTGAGCTTCTCCAAGTTACCTACGGCGACTTGGGCTAGATAAGGCATCAGGTTGTTAGGGATGCCTTGAGGATCTTCGCCCATAATACCACTTGGATGTGCTCCTGCAGGGTTGAAATATCTCAACAACATTGCGCTCCAGCGGTAATCGATCTCAACCTTGGCACCCTTATCCGCTTGCTCTTTCTCGTATTCTTTCTGCTTGACGCTGGAAGCAACGCACAAATCACGGATGATGTGCTCCAAAAATACCTTGGTCCTTCCATAAGGGCTCATCGAGGCCACAATGGGCGATGTCTCTGGGATGGGGATGACGGGTGGGTCTCCATAGACAGTTGCAGATGATGAGAAGACAATGCGACGAACATTGAAATCCTCCATGACCTGGAGTAAATACACTGTTCCAGCAATGTTGACGTTATAATAGTCTAAAGGTCTACGTCCTGATTCGCCTACAGATTTGAGTCCTGCACAGTGAATGACCGCAGAGATGTCTGGATGAGCTTCAAAGACTTTAATCAGGCTTGGCTTATCGACGATATCCACGGGATAGAATGGGATAGGCTCGTCTATAGAGAGAATCTCTTGAATGCGCTTGAGGGCTTCGGGAGTGTTAGTCGCTGCAGCATCTGTGCCGCCATTGGACGTATTGGAGAGGTTGTCGAGGACTACGACCTTATATCCTGATTCCAGGAGGCTCAATACCGTATGGGAGCCAACATAACCACATCCGCCTGTGACGAGAATCGTTGAGCCTTTTGGAGACATCTTTTTTATTCTATTCTTGTTCTTACTGGTTTGTGATCCAAAAGCGACGTAATCAAGTGATGTGGAAGGAAAGGAAAGTGGGAGACAAGGAAAAAAGAAAAGGAAAAAAGAAAAGGAAAAAAGATGGTGTGATTGATAAAGAATGAAGGGGATTTACTTCAGCATTTTATATTAATTCCTGGGCTATTATTGTCAGCGCTAGTCTATGGACCTCTGTCTACTCTCCTCCTTTGTCAAAGTTTGTTCTTTAAACAAACGTACCAACTCTGTGCTATTTTTTCTACACATGAAGTAATAGATGAGGGCGTAAACCTAGCAGAGCCACTTAAGACTCAGTGGTAAAAGGTAAAATAAAGAGCCTCGGTTTTCATTGATAAATACAAATGTAACGACTTACCTGTGAAAGCACGCTGCGGTGCAAGGGCGTAACACCAAAAGTAAAAAAACTCGGCCGTAGTCCATCCAAAAATACTACCCATTGAGAGCCTTCTAAAGGGCGTAATTGTTATCGAGTTGAAGTCATGACTGCTCATTTTTATTGAAAGCCACTTTAAGCTCAACCAAAACATTTTTTTTTTTTTTTTTTTGTAGGGTGTCAAGTAAAGCTTCGAGAGTGTTGCCCATTCAACAGACAATCGAGTGTCATTCAACAGGTCATCGCTTCAATAATTAATATACTAATATATAATGAAACGCCCATCAACAACCCCGCTGCCTGCGCCAAAGGTCCGTAAGCAGGCACCTGTAGACGACTATAAAGCTGGCAAAAGCAAGGCCACTCCAACTATGACTGCTTCAAAATTCTCCAAGGATACTACGGCCTCTTCAACCGAACCTAAATCAATTTTAAAGAAACCTCTTGGCACAGATGTATCAACCTCAAAACCAAAAGGCTCAATCTCAGGAGCCTCCATTTTGAAGGCGAATACACAGGCTAACAGATCATCGTCATCAAGATCAGACTCAAAGAACGAAAAGCCAAAGGCAATTGCTGTCAGGGCCACTCGAGGCGATATCACAGGAGGAATGGGCAGGAGGAAAAGGAAGGCACCAGAAGATGGTGATGAGAAAGAAGTGAATAGTGGTGATGATAGCGAAAGTGAAAACGATGGAGAGGATGAACGGGAATCGGATGATGAAGAGGAAAACGATGATGACACCGACAACATGCCCACATCTGCTGCGAAGAGTAAGTGCATTGAAGAACTTTAGAATCCACTGTTGCTACACTCTAATACTGATGTTCTGTCAGGATATCAAAGAAATGGGAAAAATATATAAGGATCAATCTTATCAACCTTTCGTTCCTTTTCTTTTGATTCAATGATGTGATGATGATGTAGAGATATCTGGCAAGAACACGGAAGAGAACATGGCTGAAGCCATGTCCAGGATTTTGGGCTCAACATTGCGCAAGGCTGATGCAAGCACACCTATTCTGGCGAAGTCTCGTGGAGTGGAGCGCAAACTTGAGGAAGAAAAAATGGAGGCTAAAGCCAGGAGAGCTATTACGAATGAAAAGAAGCGATTGGCCAGTAAGGATCGTGTCAAACCCGACTATACTGGAATGGAATATGAGAAGAAATTGCGCAAGGTTGCAACTCGCGGTGGTATGTTCTAGTTTGGCACTGCAGTTTTTTTTTTTTTTTTTTTTTTTTTGGGTGAGGAGAGTACAGTCGTATAGCCATGGGACGATAAGAACTGATCCTATACTTTTTGCTATATCTATTTACTATTTCAGTGGTCCAATTATTCAATGCAATTAAGGCACAGCAGAAAGTAACAGAGGATTTGACAGAAAAAGCCCGCCCTATTACAACTAACGCTAAGGATAAAGGTATGAGTCTAAATGAGGCATCAGTCTTTTTTTTAGTCCTACAAGGTTATTACTGAACCTAACCCTTAATTTCTTTTAAAACGGTTAAATAGTTGCAAATTTGACGAAAACCAGTTTCTTAGATCTACTCAAAGCTGGTACTAAAGTCTCAACACTTTAACTTTTGAATAAGGGACTACTAGATTAACTTACTGCAGAGTAACAATAACAATAAAAAAAAAAAAAAAGCAATAGACATGAACGCAGACGAAATATAGCGATTTAGAATAGGTTTCTGCTGCTCACATTTGTTGTAGCACTTTCTCCTCTGGTGATATTGGTGAGTCGGCTTAATGAGAACTGATATTGTAGCGTTTGTACAAGTCCTATTTGCATGAACCGCAATGTTATAAAAGATTTAAATATGCAAAATATGAAGTCCTTCTTCAGATTGAGAAAATGATGTGCTTTAAAATATTGGTGGCGCTAGTGAAGTTGATTAAGGGCTGGGTAATCTCTGCCATGAACTCCTTCCGGGATCAGGCGCGCGTTTGAAGGATGCATTGCAAACTTCTTTCTAAACTTAACGACCATGCTTTTGTCAGTCTCTTTGTGGCGAGCCACCACCAACAGGAAGTCTCTTAGATACTTCGCCACAGAAGCAAGGAATAGTCTCTCATCGCCTATTTTCAATGAGGTATATTGAATGAACATACAGATCTGAATAAAGATCTGAAGGACGACCCACTTCTAAAGCAGAATATTCTGCAGTTTATAATCCGAACTAAGGGATCACTTTATCGGTTTTTATTTTTTCCTGGATAAATCTAGACATCCACGCCTGTAACGAGCGCGATTGAAGTTCTGGACAATGTATCGAAGTACAACGCATATGTGAACGCCTATATCGATGTCGCAGATTCAGAGGTAGTCCTTGATCAAGCAAAGGAGGCTGCAGCCAGGTGGAAAGCAGGTATGTGGAGCCATACTGACATAGGGCATCTATTAGAGAGCAGAGTCTTTTTCTGCAAAGGAACTTTTTTTTTTTTTTTTTTTTTTTTTTAACGAGGTTTTAGTAAAAATATTCTATGATATCAAATACTGTAGGCAAACCAAAGAGTTCATTGGATGGGGCTGTATTAGGATACAAAATGAACTTTTGTACAAAGGAAATGCGCACGACATGCTCCTCTACAATGTTGGATAGTAAGTTCTCTTTTTATAACTTTTATTTCTACAGCTATAATAAGGCATAAGGAGAGAAAGTGAGTTTGACTTGTGTTTGCATCATTGTTAGATTTCCAAGCTCCATATACAGCCACGGCCATTGAACTCCTTCAGGAGGCAGGAGCTATCACAGGCGGAAAACTTAATATGGATGAATTTGGAATGGGGTATGGAAAGCAGCTTTAGTTCATTCATTTATTCCACCGAGTCACCAGGAACAGATGATGAATCAATTAGTTCTTAACACCTTTTCCAACATCTGCCTCAGATCGCACAATGTCTTCAGTAATACGGGGCCTTCCAGGAACCCCCACGGTATTTTGGGCCGTCCAGTCGAACTATTGGATGTGGCAGATGGCCGGTCTGCAGGAGGAAGCTCAGGAGGAAGCGCTGCCGCTGTAGCCAGCAACATGTGCTTTGCGTAAGTCTCATGTCATTCGATTTCTGTTTAATATCGTCGCTTCCCTTATTCGGATATACTCATGTATATAACCATGAGGAAAATAGGGCAATGGGATCAGATACAGGAGGATCAGTAAGGTTACCAGCGTCATATTGTGGTATTGTTGGTTTCAAGCCATCGTATGGTCAGATATCCAGGTGGGGCTTGGTTGCCTATGCCAGCTCTCTAGACACAGTTGGCATGCTCACGAAGACTGTTGATGATGCCAAGCTTATATATGGTACTGAGAACAAGCTACACAGAATACAGTTTTTTTTTTTTTTTTTTTTTTTTTTTTTAATGCTTTTACAATACTCAACTCTATTGTCCTCACCCTATAAAAAAAAAAAAAATAATAAAATAAATAACGGATATAGATATTGTATCAAAGGAAGATCTAAAGGACTCGACGTGCCTTACCCAAAGGCAACGCGACAAAATTGCAAAAGTTATGACGCCTGTTGAGCCCCAACCAGGAGATACAAGACCTCTGTCAGGCATTCGGATCGGTATTCCGCAAGAGTTCAACATTGCGGAACTCTCACCAAATACAAAGGCGTTATGGAAGCGAGGCATTCGAGTATTGAAGGAAAATGGTGCAACAGTAGTACCTGTTTCATTGCCCAATACAAAACTGGCAGTAGGGGCCTACATGACAATAGGAACTGCAGAGGCGTCCAGCAATTTGCAGCGATATGATGGAGTTCGATATGGTGAGTCGCGAAACGTAGGAGAAAACAAAAGAAAAGCTGCTAACCTATTTGGATGCTCTTTGCTATGTTTGGATTCATAATGCACTAAGATAAACTTCCTCTCATCTTATTTTATAAAAAAAGGCCACCAGAGTGAAGAGAAGGATGAAAAGGACGCATTGTATGCAAATACTCGAAGCGAAGGGTTTGGCAAAGAGGTCAAGCGGCGAATTCTTCTTGGGACCTACGTTCTCACATCTGGGTAAGAAAACGCATTTCCTACGCTATGTAACTAACCAACAAGGAATGGGTACCACTGTGCAACTACAGATTTTTAATACTTTTCTATTATTTCAACAAAAAAAGCTCGTTTGACAACTTTTTCTTGCGTGCTCAAAAGATCCGCCAAATGATCAGGAATGATTTTGACAGGATGTTTGCCCGTCCTAATGTAATCACTGGCTCCTTACCCATTGCTGATATTGATAGTCGTCATGAAGGCGCCCATCCACGAGTCCATGCATTATTAACACCTGTTGCGGTGACTACAGCACCAAAACTTGCAGATGTCGTGGGCGATCATATTGATCCAACAAATGCCTACCTAGATGATATCTTGACCATCCCTGCCAGCTTGGCAGGCCTACCTGCTATGAGTGTGCCGTTTGGATTATGTGCAGAAGATGGATTTCCAATGGGGCTGCAAGTCATTAGCCAATACGGTGATGAAGAAATGATTTTCAAAGTGGGCAAAGTTTTGGAAGAGAGAGGTCAAAAGAGAACATAGGAAAAAATAAGTATAAAAACTAATAACACTATAAAATATTGGTACTCTGTTGTCGTATCTCTTATTTTCAACTTTCTGCTCACGGTTACATGGTACGAAGAGGTTATGGAACCTCTTGATGAACGCTTCAGATAGCGGTCGGTGTCTCATCATAGCCTGCAGGCTTCGTCTTTGAACATAGCAGGAAAGATCATCGATCACTTGAATAATATTTTTCCAACTCACGCAAACCCCAATAAGAAAGTCTGCTCTATTACGTAGATTGCTGCCTACGAACCCTATTTGCTTCAGCACGAGAGGATCAACAGTACAATCCATCATCCACAGAATCAGTGTCACATTTGACTCTGCAATCCGTTAAATATGATAAAATTGGTACTCTCACAAAACGCAACCAATAAACATTGGAGTGGCTGGCAATAAAAATGTTATTTTCTTAATAATCACATCTTACGCTTGCAAGTGTAGGATGGTCGCTTTATTTATTTATTTTTCCTGATCATTGCTTTTTCAGCAGCGAAATAACGCTCAAGCAGTTACTGGAGTAGTGTGATGCACTTGTGGCTTAAACTCAACGTTTAAAAGACTACTGTCCCGAAGGTATTGGGAATGGCACAAACTAAGCATACGCCTTCACGTTACTAAGCAATACTACAACTGATTGTTGACTTCAATACCTTTAGCATGGCAATTCTCGATTTGTACTTTCATACAATTGCCCACAAGCGACACGGGCAAAGGAACATTTAATTCTCTGTGCCTTCTGTTATATACACGGTTTAAGAATTGTTACGAAAAAAAAAAAAAAAAAAAAAAAAAAAAAAAAACTATATCTTCATCTTTTATATTCGTGGCGTTTTCTCCAAGGACGAGAGACACGTGAAGCAATTTAAATTACTGGCCTCCATGTTCAGATGAATGGATATCTAATACGTACTCTTATTTGCAAATATAAATGTTTATTATAATCGGTCAAGACAAGTCGCTTTGTCTCTCTCATGGGGATATTACCCACTTTGCCCATAGAAATTTACATCCTACACAGGCACACAGGCACACAGGTACAAGGTACACAGGAACAAACAGAGCTGTCACGCGCATAAGGTTGATTTACTCTTTCATGCAGTATGGACTACATTCCTCAGCTCTGCTACTGTCCTGCATATACCAGATTATCCTTCTATATACACCACCCTTTCCAAACCTTTTCTTTTTTTTCTTTTTTTTTTTTTGCTACTCTTGCTTGCGAGCTATATATTCTGTAGGTCTGTTGCAACTGTTGCCTGTTTCATCGAATCAAAGCATCAATAAACCATCCATGAATAATCACCCGTAGGAAAGCTCCCAGGATTCATGCAATGACAATTCTGGTAATTGAAGTTGTACGCCTCGAATTTATCCGCCAAGATCAACTGGTAAGGAAAAAAAAAAAAAAAAAAAAAAAAGCCCTCTGTAGGATAGATCCACCATGAGTGTATGCATCAGTGACCTGTACTGATGTTACTGAACATTCGTACTTGAAGTTTTTTTCAGTAAATTTTTACTTAAACATCGGTAAAAAAAAAAAAGTAAATTTTGAGTATATTTCGAGTAAAAATCAGTAAGCACTTACTGAAATTTACTGAAAATATACTTTTGTTTTACTGATATTTACTGAAAATATACTTTTCTTACTCAAAATTTACTTTTCTTACTTTTCTTTCAGGGGGGCCTGCACTTGAATTCCCCGTATATGCACGAGCAAACCGAAGCCACTTACTGATGAGTCTCCATATATGCATGTGGATAGGCTGTCATGGACACACGTTGTTCAGAACATGAGATCAACTTCTATCAAGTATTCAGCATGCTACCATGATTAAAAGCGACCACCTTCATTTCGTGTTGATAGACATGCTTTTCAGGACTTTTTACTTTTTTTTTTTTTTTTTTTTTTTTTTGTTGACATGGTATAAATATATATAATATATATATTTTGATAACAAGGACCCTCAAGATATATTTCATAAATATACTATGTCTGCAAAAAAAAAAAAGTAAAAAGTCCTGAATACTTGATAGAAGTTGATCTCATGTTCTGAACAACGTGTGTCCATGACAGCCTATCCACATGCATATATGGAGACTCATCAGTAAGTGGCTTCGGTTTGCTCGTGCATATACGGGGAATTCAAGTGCAGGCCCCCCTGAAAGAAAAGTAAGAAAAGTAAATTTTGAGTAAGAAAAGTATATTTTCAGTAAATATCAGTAAAACAAAAGTATATTTTCAGTAAATTTCAGTAAGTGCTTACTGATTTTTACTCGAAATATACTTTTGTTTTACTCAAAATTTACTTTTTTTTTTTTTACCGATGTTTAAGTAAATAATAAGTAAAAATTACTGAAAAAAACTTCAAGTACGAATGTTCAGTACATCAGTACAGGTCACTGGTACTATGCACAAAACGCCATGCGATTAAATTGGCCCCCAAGTGTGACGTAACATATTTTATTTTAATACATACACTATTCGTCTCTTGTTTTCACCCTCATCCCAAGAACAAGAAGCTGTTACTGATGCTCCTATCAATGATGTTCTCGCCATCAATCAAATTGAAAAAAATATTGATCGGTGGATTTGAAGATATTGTAAGTGTTCAAACGCGAATAATAATAATAATTTTTTGTATCAATGCTTTCTTGATGATATCTAAGCAGAACTGCTTTAGAGAAAAGTCCTTGACGCGTCAAACTCTGGGAAGGATGGGGAGGATGACAGCGAAGAAAGAGAAGGTGGAAATGAAGAAAAAGAGGGGGACGATCAAGTGGATATCCCGGCTGGCCATGAAGTTGATTTCGAGGTAAGTGTTGCAATTATATTAGTTGCCCCATAAAGTCTAGTTCATTGCTTGAGAGTAATAAAGATAAAACTTGACATTTGTACGCTAACTCTAGTCTTTGGAGAATGGACTCAATAATATTGCTGTTGAAAAAATGAGAGTGGTTTTGTGCGATGACACTGAGATTATTCAAGTCGCAAAGCACTATAAAGTTGATCCTGAATCTCGGTTCATCACTCTGACTGCCTCGAAAGCTGAATTCTTTATTGAGCCCGAGCGATTTGATGCTTGGCTTCTGAGGCATCCAAAGGGTTATTTCCACCAATTTGTATTGACAAGGAAGTATGACAACAAAACTGCTAATCTGCACCGCCTCACTTATGAATGCCAATGCGCTGGCAAGAAGCGCGTAAGGAAAGATAGACCTCAAGGAGGTGTCGCCGGCAAAAGCAGAATCGATGCTCCAGGAAATAAACAAGGGTGTGGAGCAAAGACATGATATTGCCTACGTTGAAGCCAGTGCTGATGGTCGATGGCTCGAAAGCACCGGCATATGCTGTGAGAATGAGATGCTCTTATTTTTTAATTCGTTGGCTTTGAACAGACACATATTTGTTTGGAACACAGGATCTGTTCGACTCCTTATTTCTAATGTTTAGTGTAGTGTTTGCCTCTGTCAACTAATGGTGCGACGAAGGCGAAAAGAACACAAAGCTCTCACATTTATTGTGGAGTAGAGGGGGAAAAAAAAAGAGAGGTAACGTTTACAAAGTCCTGTGCAGCTTCCTGTATGATTTGACAATTAGTTTAAATCGGATGACAATTCCTAAATACAATGCTGAGCTTTTTTTCCTCTCCAGCATAGGGCAACGGCGCCAAAAGAAAATCTCTCTTCCAAGGGTGAAGGGCGGAGAGAATTATGGAAAATTAAGTAAATGCTCTCGTTCAACATGCCGGGTCGATTCTTTTTTGTTATTACTTTTCTGTCTTTTTCCTCTTCTTTTCTTCTTCTTTTGCTCTTCTGCCCATCTCCACATTCTCAATCACCTTTGCCCATCCTTTCTTGCCCGCTATCAGCCAACCAACAGCTTTTATTCCATCGGTCCTTTTTTTCCATTTAACTATTCGTCCTTGTCACTTTCTCTCTCTCACTATCTCAAACACATACAACCGGAAACAGGTTAAAGAAAAATGCATTTCGCTGCTGTAACAATTCCTATGCTCGCTTTCGCGGCTACGGTTCTGAGTGAGCCATGGAAGAACATTGGAGGTGATTTGGCCTATGTGGGACCGACTTATAACGCCACATTCAAGGCTGGCGACACTATCCCGTTTGAGTACACGTTCTACACGGTTAAGATGGTCAGGAACAACAGCACCGCACCTACTCCTGGTGTCAACGGCACTGCGCCGCCCACTGCTCCCTCTACTCCTACCACTGGCACTGGTATGCTTTCATCTAAAAAAAAAAAAAAAAATTAAGGATACACAGAAATCAATTTATTGTTGTCACTTTATTGGACAAATATATTCATTTTTTCTTTATGCATTTCTTAAATATCAATGAATACATTGTTAACGACGATATGACATGGCTATATATTTTTTCTAGCTTCATTGACTTCATTGCGGTGGGTCGGACAGACAGGCAACGAGACCGTGGAAATTAAGTTTGATAATGGACGAACAGAGGGATACTCATCCCCCTGCTTGCCAACAGACACCTGCACAGGCACTTATTATCCCAAGCGCATTGACCTGTTGATCCCTGCAGAGACCTATCCAAGCAACTACACTGTAAGTGGGTTGACAAAGTCGAGGAAAAAAAAAAAAGATGCAGTGAAGAAAGAGAAAGTTGATTGAGCAATGAGAAGGAAAGAGCGTGATAATTTAATTAATATTAGTAATTAAGAAAATATGGCAGTTTGCAAACAACGTACACACAGTCTGATTTCAATATTGTATTTACGAAAATAACACTTTATTACCTTCATTACCATCACTAAATGTGTATAGATTGTCCTTGGATACACATTGTCGTTGGCTGGCAACAGAACTCTTTTTTACAAGGAGCCCATCACCGTAGTTCCTGCTTCGGCTAATGTCACGTCTCCCAAGGCATTGATTGCTGGTGCACCTGCTACCCAGGTGACACTGCCTGTGTATGCACCACCTGGGAACAGCGGTCTCGTCAACCAAGTCTCAAAGGTAGCCCTTGGCATGACCATTGTCGCTGTCTCTGCTATTCTCATGTTATAACTTCACAGTCTATTGTAGTAATAATAAAAATGAAGTTGTAAAGAACCCACGAAAGATAACCACGAAAGATAATATGCTTGCACGTGCTGTGCGTCGACAAATAAACTAAGCCACTCTAATTCAAAAAAGTTTTTAACCCAAGAGCCTCGACTCATTGGGTTCGAAACAGAAGCGAGAGAACGTGCCAAAAGGGACGGTCAACTGCAATTTGAAGATTTTTTTCCTCCTCTACTCTTTGGCATTAATCGCGAACATGAGCTCATTTGAAAAAGTAATTCTTCATCCCTTTGAAAAAAAGATCAAATACATGGACATTAAGGATTGTTGGACTTAACAAGGGATAATGTGCTTCATGAGAATGAGCACCATTTACAAGGATTCATTACAAAGGAAGCTTATTCATGCGGGATCGCTGCTCAAATTTACTTTTTTTTTTTAAGGATCGAGAAATGTCACTATAATTGGATGATGCTATGGAATTGTATTTGTAATCTCGCTGATTGTACCATCATCATCATCCAGGAAATTTAATCGTCTCGCTTTGTTTCGGCATGTCGAATCTATGATCCAGGATTTTTTTATTTTTTTCATTCAATCTTCAGGTCATTCTGGGATCACTAGGAAAAATTATACTATTTAATTCTCCCTACTCACGGTCATATCCACTTTACCCTGTAACATTAATCGGGATTGGCAGATCCAGCCCTGACATACCTTTCATTCAGAGTAAAGATTTCTAGTCATGATATGTACTCTTTATGTTTGGTCTTTTAACTCTTCTATTTCAACTATCTCAGGTGGTTGTCATCGACGGTAAGGGTCACCTCTTGGGTCGCCTTGCCTCCATTGTTGCTAAGCAGGCCCTTTCTGGACAGCGCGTCGTTGTTGTGCGCTGCGAGGAGTTGAATGTCTCTGGTTCTTTCTTCCGTAACAAGCGTAAGTTATAGTTCATATTCATTATAGTCTTTCCTTTTCAAGATTATTTCTTTTTTTATCACGAAGATGCCGGATTCTTTTGAGAAATTCACCAGCACTGAAGAGAGGCAGTAGCAAACGGCATCTAAGACAATCATAGTTGGAGATTTGGAGTAGCGGTACATCTCTCAATCAGACTATATTGCCTTTCCTTATGAGGAAGCTTTAAAGGGAGCGTCCTGAAGGACACTCGATGTCACTTAGTTACATTTACTTGTTAACAGCAGCTGCCAACGACACTGGAATGACATGCATTATAGCTCAGGAGGCCAGCATTGTTACGACTTAATAGAGTCGTCTATAGGCCCAAAGTGTGGGGACAGGGGATGAAATTGCACAAACGGCTTTGCTCCAATGGTACATCGCCCACTAACATCAAGATGTCTTGTTGTATTTGAAACTGACTTTTCCCTATCCTCCAAATTAGTCAAGTACCACGCATTCCTCCGTAAGCGCTGCGTTGTCAACCCTGCCCGCGGTGCCTTCCACTTCCGTGCTCCTTCGCGCATTTTCTACCGTGCGATCCGCGGAATGATCCCTCACAAGACCGCCCGTGGTGCTGCCGCTCTCGACCGCATCAAACTCTTCGAGGGTGTTCCTCCTCCATATGACCGCATGAAGCGCATGGTTGTCCCTTCGGCCCTCCGTGTTCTCAAGCTCAAGCCTGGTCGCAAGTACTGCACCGTCAAGCGTGTCTCGCATGAGGTCGGCTGGAAGTACAACGATGTTGTTGCCAACCTCGAGGAGAAGCGCAAGGTCAAGTCCAAGGCCTTCTACGAGCGCAAGAAGGCCATTGCCAACGTTCGTGCCAAGGCGACTGCCTCCAAGTCATCCGAATTGACTGCTGTTCAAGAGAAAATTGCTGCTCTTGGCTATTAAAGAAAACAAATATATTTCCCTTATTTGTCTTCACTTTCTTTTTCTTTGAAGTCTCATGCGTATCTCGCTCATTTTATTGCTTCTTGTCTTTAATGAAGAAAAATATGCCATAACATGACAGTAGTTAAGACTTCGTCACTTGCGATTAAACCATCAGGTTATTTTTTTTGGAGAGTCTTGTTAACTTGATCTGATGGGCTTATTTGGATACTATGAGAAAATGCGTTGATGTGAATTGGATAAGGAGTACTTCGTAGATATGTTGATTATGTGTTATTATTTTTTACGCTATCAGATCAATTTCGAAATTAAGAAAAGATAACTAGGAACTATCGCATTAAAAGGGATTGCGCAATAAGAGCATCGAAACTAATTCTACCACACGTTTGATAAACATACGACTTATCTTTAAGACGAAGGCATATGTGAAGTGTTTAATATACACATGCATTGCTGTGCAAGTTAAGAGACGACTTGTAGACAACGATAGCTATTTGTCTCATGCAAATAAAGACGGAGTTTATACAGCTGCAAATTCAAAGTGTGAGAAGATGTTTAACATGCGCTTTCTGCATGCCATCTGCGCCTCCTTCAGTGCAATCTAAATCGATGCAAGAAAAAGACAAGGCTGTGGCCCCTTCTACGAATTGTTTTGGTCCTTTAGAGAAAAAAAAAAAAAAAATTGCTCTCAGAACAAATAGCATTCAGATATATATATATATACTTGTGATCGGTATCCATCTCCGTTAAAAAAGAGCAAAACGCCGCAACAACGGTCGAATTATGGTTGAAAGGAGGTTTAAAAAAAAAAATTCATATTTTCATATGTGAGGCACCGACATTCACCTGAATAAGGCAGTGAAAATCCACAAGGATACATCTGTTAGACTACCTGCATGTCAATTATGAACATTCATGCAGATTTTTTTTTTAAAAAAAAAAAAAAAAAAAAAATAAGTCGCAATGCACGTATCATTGATACTCCGCTGTGAATAATAGATCCAACACAATGACAGTTTTCTTCGACACTGAATTGAGCCTTGAGTGGATCCTGAGAATTCAGCTATTCAAATAAATGTCGTGTATATACATATCAACTCGGTTCTATGTAACGCACGAAAGCGATAGTAGTCAATCTGTGTCACCATTGACGCGTCTTAGATCATTCAGCAAGAGACAGTAAAAATATTAAAAGACATTGACATGCTGTCGATCTTCTTTTTGATTCTATCATGTCAACATGGTCATTGGAACGTTCTAAGAATATAAACTATCCGTGATGTCAGTGAGGTTCCATACACTTTGTGTGTGTGTGATGGAACAATGCTAACTAGTGCATTTTTAAGATGAGAGCAAAGGGTACTCTACATTTGTAAAAAATATACCGACAACCAAAGGGATCTCGGTATAGATATATTAATCAACCTGCTTTGTTTTGAACGTTGCCATGTTCAATATGAGTAAATGAATAGTCGACAGCATCATTACCAGAATTTTCATGCATTGGGCGCCTCCATATTTTTAAATAAAAGCAGGTTTGTGGAGAAAAAGGCACCCGGAACTCTCAATATCCTTTTAATCAGATGATCACCAAAAAATGATAGGTCCAGAATGGCTCCATTGAAGAAAGATGTTATTTTTTTTTTAAAAAAAGAGCCTCACATTCACTTTACATGAAAATCACTTGGCCAATGATTCAGCGCTTTGGTCAAGTCTCTCTCTCCACGAACACCTCCACATTTCATATCCCATCTATCACATCCCACAACCCACAACCCACAATCTTCTTTCTCCGCTAGGCTCCTTTATGTCCTGCCTATCAGTGCGCAGGAAACCATTTAAAACCCGCTTACGTACAGGCAATGCCTGCAAAGCCATTAGAAGACCGAACACTCGCATAACTCAAAAGCGAATCCAACTCATGCAAAGTTAATAGTTTGGCATAATTCATTAGTGTGCCTAAGTGTGTAAATAAAAAAGAACAGGTACACGCGAAAGACCAATATCTAAACTATATACTAATAATTTTTGCGCTTGCTTAACGTTCTAATATTGATTGTATTTACTGAAACAGGCACGGATCCGAAATCATGCTGAAAACCAATGTATTTGATCATTTTGCACTGCAGTTTATGCATCTGTGCCATTTTAGTGGCGTTTGATGTTTTTATTTGTTTATTTTTCTTTGTTTGAGCCGAAGAAACACGATTTACAACATGATCTCGTTCAAATTAACCATTTTGTAGGAAGGATCCCCTCGCCGCAGCCATGAAGAATCACGCCTTATCCGTGGTATTTTGAGAAATGTCTTTCACAAACTCATTCTAGTCTAAAAAAAATATTAACGGTGGGTTTGATGCTGTGAGGGGGCGGATCCATTGTTCCCAACACAAAGGAGGGCGTGTGTAAAATAAAATGGTATAATGTATTCATTTATCATATACATTGAGAGGGCTCTACGCCCATCATACATAGTTTACCTTGTGATTTTAATAGAGAGTGGATCACCGAGTGGGAGAGCAACGCATGCATGCAATACATTTCTTTGTGCGTCTGACCTAAAAAAGAGAGGGTGTAAACAGTGATAACAAGAATAAGAAAGCCGAAAAAATAAAAAAAGAGCATCATGAGGCTGACCAAAATGTGTTGATATATTTGTTTTGTAGATAATGTGTATACTGTATATTCTCTTCATTAGAACTTGCTTGTGTAATGTAAGAGAATGGCAGGTGGCAATAAGTCTTTTATTTCTCTCGATGGAACGAACGGACCAAGTCTAGTTTCATCTCTCTTAAGCTCAGGACACTGAAGTTAAGACATGTCGCTGACAAAAGCATCATACAGTAGACTGAAGAAACAGTGCAGAGAATGCACATCCACTAAGATGGGAGTAACGATAATTTTATGCAAAATAGAGATAGACTATCCAATGGTGTTGCCTCTGATTGGACGCAGCGGGAGAGCAAAGTCAAAAGAGCTTACGACGGAGGTTCATTGAAAGGAATTCGTTTATGTCATCTTTAATCAAAGTACACTGGCCAACACGCCAGTACTCCCGTCATTTCAAACTTTTATGAGATGCGTTAATTGACATTAGACGTGTCCCATTTTCAAAGACATGCTGTTGATGGCAAGTCAAATATTCGGATACTTCTTATTGCTGTTAATTTGTTTCTTTGCAATATCCTTTGTGTTGCTTTGTCTTATTGTGGAAACACTTGACCCTGAATGAGGTTCGATTTGTACTACTGTTTCTTTCCATTTATATTTAATGGAGGGTCTAGTTCTTTGTCTTTTTGGATATTTATCCTACGTAAGGTATCACCGATCTCTTTTTCTCATAAGAGCACAACAAGAAGAAAACATTACTTTATACAAAACATGATTGTTTTTCATATGTTTGAAATGTTATTCTTATCAAAAAAAAAAAAAAAAGGGGGAGGCAAATGATATGAGTGAAGGCATAGTTGCACAAAAAAGAAGAGAAGGTAATCGCGCAATTGCCAGTATGATCCACATGTTGTAAGTACATTCAATCCCAAGTTGGTTCATCCTCTTCTATTCTCAGCATCGTCCTTCTCTGTCCCCATCAGACTATGCATTGTCATATTACAGAATATGGTTAATGATGTGAAAAGTGAGCGAATTTTTCATTATGAAAAGCACCCAATCGAACCAAGCCCTTTTCCGTTCCTGAAATTAATCTCTTAATAATTAATCGATCCAATGGAAGTTTGTAAGATGATAAAAAATAACCAGCAGTTGTAGTTACTAAATCATTGAGTGTAACTGGTGCCTCACGAATCTTTCTGTAATATGAAGATCAGTATCCGAATCGGTTTCTTATCTTCTTGGTTTCAAAAACTCGTGAATACTCTTATGTTTCTGCTAGTAGCTACTATGCACGTGCGATGATGGTTACAGTTTACTGAGCAGCGAGATTCTCAAGGTTTTCTAAAGGTTCTCTACAGTCACCCAAAAGGCCTGGACGGTGGTGAATGATCGCGCATAATTCTGGAAACACCTTTTACAATGACATCCATGTTAAAAGATATAAAATATAAAATATAAAATAAAATAAATAAAAAAAAAAGGCATCGGGGGCGCCATTGTTTTATTGTTTGTTTGTAATCAAACCAGCGGAGCTGGATACAATATTTTGTATTACACATTTAAAATATAAACAAATGCCGGCAATAAATGGCTGCTATCGGATATGGTGCTGCTTTGCTGGATTACACATGCCCGCGGTTTCTTCCAAAGGAAATGGGTGCCTTTGTTGATTGTTAGTTTAATGTATATATGTACAGATACAATAAACTCAAGGTATTTTTGGTATACAGCACGCGCATTTGAACAAACAATAGCCTGTACAATTGTATCCTTGTGCATACTTGGACTAGTGTAAAAAGGGTAAATACATATTTGTAGACATGTAGACATGGAGTAAATATATTTTCTTTTTTTTGAGCATTAGCAGCAGCAATCGCTATTCGCTCTTTCATGCCCTTTTTTCCTCTTGAAACTTTTTTTTTTTACTTATACCCTACAGAATATAAAGTACAATATGGGCTGCCTATTCAATAGGAAGTGCTCTCAAAAAAAAAAAAAAAAAAAACCCTAAAATGCGTATCCATCCTCTCTTCTCTTTTATTGATTCGCAGCCAGGATAGTTCGCTAATGCTGCATATTTGTGTACTCATAAAATCTATTCAAAGTTAATAGATTCCTTAGAGAATATTGACTATCTGTTTTAATAAAAATAAAACCGGTCTAGTTAATGTTCATCTTTTCCCCATCCGGCTCGTGCCTGGCAATTTTTGTTCTCTATTTCTTACTCCGTCTCTCTGCCCCACGCTCTCTCCACGCCAATATACTCTCCCCTCCCACTCTACTCCACGGCTCATTTGGGCCTGTTCGCTATCTATTATTCCACCTTGAGAAGACTATAAAGACTCGTCCTTACATCCTCTTTTTTTTTTTTTTTTCTTTTTTTCTTTTTTTATCCGGTTGTCGTTTGTCTACTCCATCTCCCTATTGCTTTGTTTTGCAGACTCCCCTGTCCAGGTTCCTGGCACACAGCCCCTCTGCATCACTCCTTCCCTTTCTACCATTCCCCCCCTCAACTCTTCACTTTACATTTTTTTTATACGACCCTAATCTATCCACCCCAGTTTATTATCATAAATCAACCCTTTAACCGCTTCTCTTTTCCTTTCAGCTCATAATAAAGACACGACGCGCCGACCCCCTTCACACATACTTCTACAACCATGAGTAATATCAATAATCCCTCTCACGGGGTTGACAATCAAGACCTCCCATACAAAGAGAGCGAGGAGGACTATCATGAGTTTGATGAGTACGATGAGGTGACAAAGCCTCAAACTCGCCCTTTCTACAAGAGGCGTAAGTACTGGATCTTCTGCGCCATCATGACAGTGATTATTGTCGCTGTCGCTGTCCCTATCGCCCTCTTCGTTATTCTGCCCAAGATTGCTCAGGTGATCATCAACGGCAGTAGCATGTCTTTCAAGAGCATTCAGATTTCCAACCCCACCAACACTAGTTTGAACATGGCCATGGATGGTTCTTTGCAGAACACTGGTCCATTCTCGGCTACTATCAAGTTCCCTGAGCCTATCCAGGTTTATTATAATGATATCTTGCTTGGATCCATGAGTTTGCCTGATACTAAGGCCAGCGGCGGTTCTGGTGCTCTTGATGTGACTGATGCACCCTTCAATATCAATGATGAGGCTGCATTTGGTGCCTTCTCTGCTGATATGGTATGTATTCCATTCTATTCCCATTATCAATTTTTTCATCCTTCTCCGCCCTTCATCAATGCATACATCCAACGCCATCCTTTCCATTCGTTACATTTGTACACTGCTGTACCGAAGATGGGGGTACAATTCAGGGTCCTTTACGTCTTAGTAATCCTGAGGAAAACCCTTCTTTGGTAGCTTGTCCGTTGCACAAACAACCTGTTTGCTGCCATACCAATGCCCTGTCAACCATTCAAAAAAAACCCCCCCACTCTCTTGCTTTACCGATATCTTCATTTATATTCCGATACGCATTCGCACATACACTTGACCACTCACTCTTTATAATGTAACAACAATACATGAATAGATGAACAAAGAAAAATTCACTTGGGTACTCAAGTCTAAGGTTACGATCGTTGCCCTTGGTCGCACCGTCCCTGATCTCGATCTCAACAAAGAACTCGTCCTTGACGGTAAGAAAAAACTAAAATGATTGATCTCCTAAAATTATTCGCATCGGTAATTATAATACTAAATTGCTAATAACGGTCTTATATGAAACACTTATAGGTATGAATGGCTTCCCCGGCGTTCAGATTCTCAAGTTCGATTTGCCCTCAGATGCTGCTCCAGGCCAGGGTATCAACCTAGTGATCGACACTGCCATGAATAACCCTTCACCCATCGGTGTGAGCTTGGGTACTATGGTCCTTGACATTAGCTACAATAACGTTGCATTGGGTCAGGTCAAGGCTACAGGTGCTTCCATCATGGGTGGTCAGCAGTCGGTCTTGAACTTGACTGGTACCATGTTCCCTCAAACCACACCTGAAGGTCTTGCTACTGTTAGGTATGAATGTTGCACCATGCCTTTGCTATTGCTTTTTACACATTTACACATGAGCGCTGTTATGATGGTTTGCTGACTTTTTTTTTTTTTTTTTTTTTTATCATCCTAAAAGCGAGCTGTTCTCAGCCTATATCGCTGGTAAGAGTTCAGAGACAACTGCTCGTGGTGTTTCTGTCCTCCCTGATGGCGTCAACGAAGTCAGCTGGCTTTCCATCGGTCTCAAGTCCATGGTTCTCAAGGTTCCTCTCCAAACGCCTACTCCTTTGAACATCATCAAGTCCATTACTCTTGGTCCCATGGGTATGAACTGGACTAACACTGATTCCTATGCGCCTCTCGCCAACTCTCCTGGAGTCATCGCTGCCTTTGAGATGCCCTTTGGATTCTCCCTCAATGTTACTCAGGTCCAAAACAACATGACCGTTGTCTATAACAACAAGTCTATGGCTATCCTCAATGCTGCCGAGTGGGGCCCTGCTGTCACTACTAAGGATGCTAGTGGAACTGCTATCAACTTTGCTCTTCCTCCTACCCCCTTCGCTATTAACGCTGACTCCCATGGTGACTTTGATGACTTTGTCAACAAGTTGACCGTTAGCTCCAATCAGGCTTTTGGTGTTGAGGGTTTCGCTGGTACTGTTGCTCAGACTCCTATCGGTGAGGTCCGCATTACGGGCATTCCCTTCAAGTCTGATGTCTCTTTGTCTGGTCTCCAGGGCCTCAAAACCGAACCTACTGTCATCAACAGCTTGACTGTCATCGGTGGTCTCCCCCAAGGCCTCCAGATTGCCCTCAACTTGACTATGGGTAACCCTTCGCAGCTGACAATCGACACTGGTTTCGGCGATAACGCCGTTGTCACATTCAACATGCAATACGAAGGTGACAATGTCGGAACTGTTATTTTCCCCAACTTGAACCTCGTTCCTGGACAAAATATCCGTACTGCTGGTGCCTTGTTCACCCCCACTGGTACTCAGGGCGGTCAGGCACTCTTGCAGAGATACATGAGCAACCAAGTCTCGACTGTCAGCATTTTTGGCTCCGAGAGCTCGTCTGGCATCGCTCCTTTGGCCGCCGGTTTGAAGGACATTCAGTTGCAGTCAGATATGCCTGGTAACCCTGCCCAGCTCCTCTTGAGCACCTCGCTGACTATCCTTGATGACACCGGCAAGACTGGCATTGCCATGGCTAGTGTTACTGTTAACAATCCCTTCCAGCCTCCCTTGTCCATCAAGTCGATCAAGTCCACCGTTCAATACAACGGCCGCAGTCTTGGTACCATTGATTTGCCCTCAACTTCCATTGATGTTGCTGGCATGACTCAACAGGCTTCTCAACCTTTGCCTTTGTCCATGGATTTGTCAATTGACTCGTTGCTCAGCTTGATGATCGATCAAGCCAAGGTTAACAACTTGAATGCTGAGCCCATCATTGCCCTTGGAAAGATGGCCAAAGACCCTACTGTTCAGATCCCATCCTCAGTCTTCGCTGGCTTCAACCTTCCCACATTCGTCAAGGCTGCTATGGCTGGCCTCAAGGTCGATGTTGATATGACAGTCGATGTTATGGTCGGTGAGTATGCCACTTCGCTCACCTTGACTCAGCTCGGTGTGCCAACCCTCACTGATGATACCATCTTGAAGCTCCTCCCCATTGTTGGTACCCCTATCGCCCAGGCCATTGTCGATCTTGCTACCTTGAGTTTCACCAGCGTGATGATCAACAGCCCTGCTGAAACTGACTTCACCACCAACATCAACGGTCTCATTGGTAACACTGGTCCATTTGATTCAGAGATCTCTTTCCCCAGCGGCTCTGGCCTCGCTTGGGTTAACGGCGATTCGAATGTGAGCATCGGTCAGATTGGCATGCCCGTTGTTTCTGCTAAGGCTGATGTTGGTGCCCAGCTCGCTTTGACCAACGTTCCATTCCATGTCACCAGCGGTCCTAATATGGGTGACTTTGTTGCCTACTCCTTGAAGTCCGAGTCCTTTGAATGGTTGGTTACTGCTGAAAATATGGTTATTACCGCAATGGGTGCTCCCATCCCCGGAATCCGTATGACCAAGAAGGTCACTCTCAAGGGCTTCAACGGCCTTCAAGGCTTGGAGATTCAAAAGTATGACTTGCCATCTAATGACCCCAACGGTATCCATCTTGTCCTTCAGGCTACCCTCCCCAACCCTTCGAACGTCGGTATTGAAATGGGCACTGTTGCCTTCACTAACATCTTCCAGGGACAGGAAATTGGCTTTGTTCAGACATCTGGTCTCAAGTTGTTGCCCGATGGTGTTACCCCTATTGCCATGGAGGGAACTCTGACTAAACAAACTTCTGAAGCTGGACTTGCTGCTCTTGGTGATATGTTCCGCTTGGCCCTGAACGGCGGTCAGCCTAACTTGATTGTCCAGGGCAAGTCAGTCACTCCCCCTAGTGGACCTGTCTCGTGGTTGAGCTCTGCTTTTGGCTCCTTGACCATGAACGTTACTCTCCCCAGCATCGGCAAGCAGGAAATCATCACCGGTATTTCCCTCAAGACTATGACCTTGGATTTCACTGGTTCTGACCCATACAGTGTCATGACTTCATCCGACAACATTGAGGCCAGCTTCCATATCCCCTTCGCATTCCCATTGGACATTACTCAAGTCGCTGAGGACATGAGCATCCAGTTGCCACAGGGTAACGACGTTGCTACCTTGAAGCTTCCTCTCGGCCCAGCCCAGACTATTGCACCTGGCGTTCTCAAGACTGCTTACACTAACCAGCCCTTGAACGTCCTCTCCAGCCAGCATGAGACCTTTAACCATTTCTCCAGGATTTTGACTACTGGTCCTGGTGTCGAATTCTTCTTGGCTGGTACTGCCGACACTGTTGCTGAGACAGCTGCCGGACAGGTCAAGATCCCTGGTATTGCTGTCAGTGTCAAGTCTGCTTTGGCTGGTATGAATTTGAACGTCGGAGGTGCTGCTATCACCAACATCGCGATCACTGGAGGTACTCCTGAATACTTGGAGATCAATCAGAATGTTGTCCTCCAGAACCCTTCGGGATTGACCGTCAAGGTTGGTCAGGTTGGCTTCAACATCGGTTACGCTGGTAACCACATGGGTCAAGCTATTGTCAAGGATATGGTTCTCATTCCTGGCGCCAATATCCTCCCTGCTGTCTTCCACTTGGCTCCTGCTGATACGCATATTCGTGATGGATTCTTGAGCGGCTTCGTTGCTGGTGCTTCATTCCAACTAGAGATTGCTGGTGGAGAAGATTCGACCACTGTGGCCTCCTTGAAGGAGGCCATGGCTTCAGTTAAGATGAGCTCCACCATCGCAGGTATCACTGACAAGTTGATTGCTCCTGGAAGCGCCGCTCAGCCTAACTTGTGGTCAATGCTGCATCCATCTAACGAGCGCAGGACCCCTGTCCAAGTCATGATCTATAACCCCTTCGACACTCCTCTGTACATCAAGAGCATGAAGGCTTTGAACAGTTGGAGAGGTATGGATTTCGGTGTGGTGGATCAAGAAGTTGGTATGACCATCCCTGCCAAGGGCACTGCCCTTTCGCCAACTGTTGTTATGGTCTCACCTGGTGGCCCCGGCTTCTTAAAGGTTTTGCTGCCCTTCATGGCAGCTTATCCCGGATTGCTAGTCAAGGCTGTCGACGTGCCCTTCACTATCAAGTCGACTATCACTGCTTATGTCGGTGGACCCAACGGTTACCTTGGCAATGTTGCTTACCAGCAGCCTGATACTATCATTTCTGTCAAGCTTGATTTCGGCACCCCTTCGGGCTTGAAGATTCCTTCTTCGCTCGATGAGATCATGCACCCTACTACGACCTCGACAGTCACAGCTACTCCCGATGTCCCTGCTCCCAGCCCAAGCCCAGTTGATGTCACTCCTAGCCCTGAGGCCCCTGCCCCTGAACCTGTTACTACCACTGAGGAAGCTCCCGCCCCTGTTACTCCTTCCCCTGAGCCTTCGACCACTGGTGATGCCCCCATTGTTGCCAAGCGTCAAGATGTTCCCCCTTCCCTTGGTAATCTCATTCCTTCCAGCGAGGATCCTGCTGTTATTGAGGCATGGCTTAAGGCTCTCGCAAACAAGTTGGCTCTGGATGAGGGTCTTCCAGCTCCTTTCGCATAATGTCCATTTACTATTCTCTTTTTGAAAAAACAAAAAACAAAAAACAAAACAAAAAAAAAAGGGTATCATTTCTATATCTATATCTTTTCTTTTTCTTTTCCTCGATTTGATGATCTTTCTTTATCCTTTTTTTAATTTTATTTTATTTTTCTCTTCCTCCTTTCCTCCTTCTTTCTTTATCCTTATTTTCGTTGTTGAAAAAGATTTGTTTTGAATGCAAATCGATATTCGACTTGTTATTTTTTTTTGTCATGTATCACCACACACTTTCTTATACCCTATCCCTCTTCCCCTGTACAGTAATTTTAATGATTATATTATACTGTCAAATACTTCTTTTTGCCCCTCCTTGACGATCCCATCAACAAAAGACGAAAATTAAGAAAAAAAAAAAAAAAAAAAAAAAAAAAAAAAGAAAAGAAAAAAGAAAAAAGAAAAAAAGGAAAGAATGGTCGGATGGCCCCTTCTGCCTCCCTAATTGAAAAAGTAGAAAAAAAAAGTGTATATGAGATGAGTAACCCTTTAATGAGAATTAATGACTTTTTAAAAAAAAATAAAATTAGATATATAATATAAATAATCTTTATTTCCCTACTTGATATTTGTAAAATAATTTGATCCGCATTATGTCCAGTAGAAACATCTTATTCTATGAAAATATTTCATCGATTGTCATTTAGTAACATAGGCAGGCAAAGTAGAAGTTCATGTGTATTATATATAAAGATGTCTATAGGTATATATATATATATATATGTGTATTTAGTGACTAAAGAAGCTTAAGAATAAATAGATGATGCTTCCAAAGAACCGGAACACGGACAATCCGAATACGCTCCACATAATTCCTGCCAGGTAAGCATTTGATCCATCCTGGAAAATACAAAAAAAAAAAAGAGACATAGTATGAACAGGTCAGTTAATGACGGGTTAATAAAAACCTGTTATAAATTTACAAAACAAGCGCATCAAAATACAGCAAATAAATAGATAAATGAATAAACTTACATCCAGAGTCAGCTTCTCCTCGATAGTAGATGAGCAGATAATGGCTGCCAGCAAACCATTAGAACCAATCCAAGCCATGACAAGTCGAGTTCTGAAGCCTCTATAGTAATCATCCTGTTTGGTAGCTGCGCTACGAGATTGATGTACCTCTGGAACTTTATGTGAAAGCTCGGCAATTGCTTCTTCATATGCCTCATTACTAACAAAAAGGAGAAAAAAAAAAAAAAAAAAAAAAAAAAAGAGGTCAGCGTGTTATAATTGTAATTGTAATTGTAATTATAATTGTATTTTTTTTTTTTTTTTTTTTTTTTTTCACTTACATATCTGCAGACGATATTGGAACTTCGACCTCGACGACCTGTCCATCACCCTTCTTGGCTTCTCCCAAATCCGAATGAGTGCTGTTATCTCCTTTAGTTCCCCAGCTGTTTAACAGAAAAAAAAAAAAAAAAAAAAAAAAAAACAAGCAAACAAACAAAAACTTTAGATGAGTAAGGGAACGTTCTTCTACTGCAACTCTTTTTTTTTTTTTTTATCATCTTTTCATTCTTCTTACCTGACATCATGGGTGTTACAGAAGGCATAAACGTTCAAGATATTAACATAACTTGGCATCATGAACAAATATTGAATAAAGCTGGTGATCATATGCCATGGATCCATATAGAGAAGGGACATAATAATATACAATCCATAGGTCGAGAGCAATGACATGATAATATCTCGGAAGGCTGCACTCTGAATGATCGTACTAAAGACTCGGAATGAATCTTGACTCGTATCCACTTTACTGAAGGCTGCTTCCAGCGATTTCACAGTAATCAATGCGGCAGCAAAGAGCATATAGCCCATGATAACCCCAAATGCGACCATCGACATTGTATATGTCGCCTTGGATCCTTGAGGACGGTTTCTAAAGATAGAGGAAAGAAGAAAAAGAAGAATAAAAAAAAATAAAAAAAAATGAGTAAAATAGCATAAAGCTTTAGCCACAATCAATAGAAAAAAGCTTAGGAAAATTATCTTTACCCCATCGAGCAGATGAATTGTGTGCAGATTAGGAAGATATAGAGATATCTCATCACTTCAAAGATCCTGGCACCCCACCCACCTCCAAATGGATCGATATCTGGATTTCCAAGGGATCGTGTAAGGAAATAGAATGTCAAGTACATATTGGCCTATAGTCAATTATGCCATTAAAGAGTGTTAGTTTTCTAGACATAAAAAAAAAAAAAAAAGAGAGAGAGAGACAGGGACATCAAAACGGTACCAAAGCAAACCACGAGAATAAAATGCTGATAAAGTTGTAAAAGAACTCTAGATGGAGCCAGAGCTTCCTCACGATACTATGATCTGATCTCCAAATCTTGGCTGAATGTGTCAAGGCATAAATGGCTGCAAAGAACGATCCATTCAACCATCGACGCCGTTGAGAGATGAATTCAGGCACAGCATCCGGAACGTCGGTCTCTCCGATCGCAGATCGTACATACTTCAAAGTCCATTGACCTCCTCGTTTCGCCACCAGCTCAAAACAAAGGATTCGATCCTCTGCCAGGTACATATTGGCAGAAAATATGTCATCCATGTCGTCATGGTTTTCTCCTTTAAAGTAAGAGGCCAAGGGGCCATTTCCTTTTTTGTCATTCAGCAAAGCAGAGTAACGATAGGCAGAAAACGCTCCTGGAAGGACTGAAATGTATCCAAAGACTGATTCCATGGGCTTATCCAAGATGTTAGACATTTTATATTCGAAATTTTGAGCCGCGACCAAAGGGTTGAATAGGTTGAAGCATCCACGTCCTGTCATGGCGCAGATCTCACCACAGGCCCCTCCAACATGCTTATTGACATCAAATGCCTTCCAAAGATGATAAATCGATGTATTTCCTGGCTTTGTTCCCACATCCAAGAGAACACAGACATTGGGGTTCAAGATCGGTCCGAACGCATTAAAGAACCAGCGGTGAGAGTTGAGTTTCTTCTTGTTCTTTTCTTTGAGACAGAACAGGATCTGAACCGGAGGGATCTTTTGATTTGCGGATTTGATTTTAAGATCTGGATCGATCGAGATTTGAGCTGTGTATTCGTACAAGTGTGCAACCACCTCTTTGCCTCCGACTGCATTCTTGGCGATCCCATCCTGATAGACACCCATCATCGCCAGAACACTCAGAACTCGACGACTGATCTTGTATCGGCCATCGGCTACAATGCAGACAACTACTTTTTTCCAGCCGTCAGGTCCCCAAGTCTTGGATCGATCCCGTGCACAAAGATGAGAGATGTTTTTCATGACGCCATGCATTGTTCGACAGAATAGAATTTCATCCTCCTATTGATTAAACCATCGAAAAAAAGTGAAAGGGATATTAAATATGATGACTGATGGTTAATAAACAGCGGCGTCGCTTAACCTAATTTTTCTTTTTTCTTTTTTTTTTTTTTTTTTTTTTTTTTTACGCCTGTGTGATGAACACAAAGAACACAAATGATAGGGGCATTTGGTATATTTATGACAAAGAAAACAAGAACGCGCGCCCTATTTTTTATACAAATAAACCTTCTCTCTCTCCCAACTTACGTTGTACATGGTCATGACAATAAACAGTTCTGTCTCTCGATTCAACATCTTGGGTCGAAGGGTATAATTCTGACGTTTAAACTCATTTGGGTCACAGGTCACGGCCGTGTAGCGCATCGTCTTGAACTCATCTGAATTCTTTCGGGGTAATACATCCAACAGTTTAGTAGGCACAGGACAATCCATGACCAGGTTTCCTTCTGTCAGCGTCACCTTCTTAGTAGTCTTGTACCGTCGTGTCTGACGCGCAGGTGCGGGTCCATAATGAAGTGTAGAACCATTGGGGTTATAAGGTTGGTAAGGGTATGATGGTTGTGGTGGAGGCATGGGAGAATGCGGTCCAAATCCATTGGCGAATGGATATTGATTCTCTAGAACAGTTGGTATTGGCATAGGCATGTGCATAGGAGCAGCCGTGGACATAGGCATAGCGAAGGATACATTTGGGGCATTGGTTGCTATTGGTAATGAGGCCATTGGTGCCTGAGATCGTTGCCGGATCAGTTGTGCAGAATTAGGTTGGATAGGTAACATCTGTAAAGCTCCATCGTTTCCAATGCTCGCGGTATTGTTAATGTTGTTATTATTATGGTTTAACGAGGTAGGTTGTAGAAAGTTGTTGTTATTGGTATACGTAGTCGAGGTGGCTGTCATGTTCCGCATGTCCGGAACTGTACGAGAGGTGGACATCCCGCCATTTTTCTGCTGTTGCTTTTTTGGCATCGTATTGGGCAAAGCTTTTCCACCCCGGTTTTTGTTATTGTTGTTATTGCTGCTGACCATTTTGCCTTTATGGGTCGGTTTGTGAAATCTGATGACGGTAAGTGTGTGCGAGCACGAAGGCTCGAAGACGAAGAAGAAAAAAAAAGAGAGAGGGAGGTAAAAGGATGAAAGGCTCTACTACAGAGACAGATAAATCCAACGTCTTAATTGCGGTTAGAGAGCGTGGGAGGGAGATAAAGGCAAGGGAGACGTTTTGCAGGAAGAAGATAGATGAGACAAGGGTTACTACTAATTTTGTTTTTTTTTTTTTTTTTTTTTCCGTTGAGACGTCAAAAGATGATGAAAATAGGGAGGATTGGTATCAATTATACAATACAAACAAAGAGAACAATGATAACAACGAATTCTTAATGAATGAAAGGAAAGAGAATGAAGAGAAGTATAAGAAGAGAAGTGTAAGAAGAGAAAGGGAAAGAAAAGAAAGAATGGTATGTGTTACTTCGCCTGCGAAAACTAACACGAGTATTTTATTATTCACTTCTGTTCCCGACAGGCAGTTGTTTTTTTTTATCTTTTCTTAGTGATTAGTGAAGATGAAGAGAAGAAGAAGAAAGAAAGGAATTCAAATGAATCCGATGCAGCGGGGCATTGTCCATTGTTCATTTCATTTTCATCATTTGTCTTTGGACGAGGGAAGGCTGTTTCCTTTGGCGCATCTTTTGTTGGATTCTATTGAATATTTGATTAATTTAATTTCTGCATTAGTTTTTTGCTTATTGACAACAAGGTTTGATGAGATTTGGGTAGGGGGGCACTTGTCATCAACATCCATGCTCAACGCAGCTCAACAATCTTTGGTGCTTATCATCCATGGTGTGTAGTGTATCTATATGCAGTCGTGTCCTATAGCCCTTATTCATCATGGTCCTGTGCCCGCTCCATTTACTCTTTCTTCTCTTTTGATGGCGTGCATGCATAGACGTATTTTAATAAGGAATTTATTTTATTCTTGGCATAATAACGAATTATAATAGTAATAAATAGATACAGCAAAACCTCACCTCTCATAAACAGCCTCCAACACGAAATATGAAATTCAATCCAATAGCCACAGCCATACAGGCGTGGGCGTCCAGAATGGGACTGGATTTATTATCTCCAAACCAGTAGATCTTGCTAACCATTAGCTTACACTAAAAGATTCGTTGCGTCCGCTTTTTTCTCGTTTATTCCTGAACAAACCAACCAATCGATTTATGTCATTTTATATAATATTCAAATCCAAGTTTTAGTGCCGATCAAACCAGGTTCTAAAGTCTTACTTTCTTTGGCTAAAAAAAAAAAAAAAAAAAAAAAAAAAAATTGCTTATTTGGTTTCATGTCTGTTGTTTATGCACACTCGATGAAGACAGGGGTATCCCTCAAACATCCACCACTTGATAAAATGACAAAGAAATAAGAGGTAGAGGAAAAAAGGGAGGGAAGACAACTTTTCTTTCCATGAGTGTCTGTGCACACATTAGATTTTATGGCCTGAAACATCCCGAGATTCGTGGTAAGTTCAAGTTTAATAGTTTAATACAAGTAATCATCATCATCTGTGTCGGACAACTCGTGTTCATCTATCAATTCCAGGGTCAGGGGTTAAGGTTAGATACAATTCAAGAAATAAAAATAATCATCCGAAGACGTTTATGCAGGTACAAGAAGGAAAAAAACTTACATGCATATTCATCATCACTAAGTTCTTCAGGATAGTCGTTCTGATAATAATCTTCTGCATTCGAATCCGAGTCTTCATAATCGTTTTCGCTAGAATCGTCTTCATGAACAAAATTGTTTTCATCATCGCTAAACCAAAGTCTAAAAAACGAATAAAAGCAAAATCATAAAAGTTTTAAGATTAAGTGTTGTCTCCACTACCTTTATAACGATTTTGTTATACAGACAAAGCTTCAAAACATACAATGAACCGATAGTGCGATGTTGTGACTCCTGCAAATGATCTGCATGCAGATCCCGATAGTAAATGTCATAAACGTATTCATCGTCCGATTCTTCGCCTTCTAATACATCATTACTCTTTCTAGACAGAGGGGTTGACGACCGATTACGCTCCTCAGTTGCATCGGTGATGATCTTTGGATCTGATGGTTGCTCAGAGACTGGATTTTTCCATTAATCAAAAACAGTTACATGTTAACAATGATATCCCTAAGAGAATATTGAACATACAACTCTTCTATATGAAAGTACTATAAACTTACTTGTCAAGTATTCGCGCACCATGGGTAAAAAGTTACACATGATATCGGATTCCTCTGCTTCATTCATCCTAAATATCAAACAGTTGTCAATGCTGATAGTGAGCTTTATGTATAGCGTTGATAGTCGTTTAAATCCACAAGTGATTGCTGGTGTCCACATGCGTTGTCCTAATATTTCGTATCCTTACAGTTGTTCCTTTGTCTTAGGCGCCTCCTCTTTGACAGCATCATACATCTTGAACATGTCCAGCACAGTCTCAGCTTGTGCCTCCGCAGAAGAGCTAGAATGGGGATTATAGATAAGAATGCGATTAACTTTCAGTCTGACTTGTACCCGCTTTTTTTTTTTTTTTTTTTTTCTTTACATGACTTTCGGTGGTAGCTGTCCATGTGAAGAAAGTCCCACTCTGTTCTGGTTGATGACTCTGTAGCGTGCTGACTGTGCGTCACGTTGTATTTTTTCTGTTAGCTCTGCCCTGTTCTTTTGGGTTATATTCTCTAGATCCTGAAGGCGCTCCGATAGACGGGATCTAGGACGCCGTGTCGTCTCTGCCAAGTGATTAATCCTATCCTATTGTATTTTAATTATATATCAACAAAAAAGAGGGTTAGCAGCGCAGCATAGCGCGAGATAAATAAAATAAATAAATAAATAAAAAAGATACCGTAGACGGAAGAAAAAGCTTACTCTCAATTGAATGGATTGTACAGGGTCCCTGAAACTGCTCTTTTTGACGGTAGTGGCAAGTCTGAATACAGCTGATGGCTCTATTGTAAACACCACGACATTCAACATGTTTTGCTGTATAAGAAGGTCTATCCTGATGCTTGAAGCAACAAAAAATAAATAAAAAAAAAGATCGCTTTCGTTGCAGCAGCCTTAATTACTTGGAAGTGCTACATCTCCCGCTTTCGCATTTTCTGCCTCTTGTTGCTCCTTGTCTTCCTGAGTCATCAACTTCTTCCCTTGCATCTTTTCTAATTGTTCCTCTACCACTAATAGACGGATTGTCATAGATCGAAATTAAAATATAAGGTGTGGTTAGTAAGTATTAAGAATAAAAAAAATAAACAAAAGCTGTCTAAAGTAGCTTGCTTCTATCCAAAAGGAAAGAAATAACCGATCCATCACTATTTCATACCGAGTGTATCCAAAGGCTCCTCATTGCGCTTGCGTTTGATTCTCAAAATAGTAAAAGCTTCATTATTGGGCGAAGCGTTCGAAGCATTGGATCGTTTCAGATCATTGTTGATCGCTGCCTTGCTCTCCAGGGTATCATTGTCAAACGTAAACGGTATATCGATTGGAGTGCGAATAGCCTTTGTTTTATTGGTTGCCATGATCAACAGAAATAAATTAATGAATAACAAAAAGAAAGTCTACATGACAGAAAAACGACATGACGGAATAAAAAAGCTTGTACAAGATATCACGTGCAACGGTCGGTATGGTCCGTGCGTCTGTCAGGGTCTCCCTGAAAAAATGCAATGCTACCAACTGTTATGGTTGAACGAGTTGAGCAAACAATACTTGCTTAGGGGTTATGCTTCATTGGGTTGAGCAACAATCTTGTTTCTTTTGAGAATTGTATGAGTTTTATTCTGCACTCGTGCCTCATTGCGACTGCACAGACCAGTCAATACTAAAATAGCCTTTAAATATTGGACGTTGTATTGCGCACAGCCTACAGCAGTGTGTAAAGTACATTTTTAAAGACCCTTAAAAAGACATGTTTTGAAAGGTGGACTTTGCAGCTTGGCGATGTTTTTCCATTCCAATTTCAAGGTATCACAGGGCCTAAAAGGGAAAGCAACAAAAGACTATGCGAAATGCGCGCTTTTGACCATAGCCCCTAGATGTTGTTACATGGTGGAGCAGCGCTCTGAAAATGATCAAGAGGCTCCATGTGTCCTATTCGGGCACTGAAGGCTTGGTGCCCGGCATAACCGCAGATATAAACCAAGGGGAGAGAGCCACTAGTAAGAAGCTGAAGGGATTGTGACCGAAGGACCGAGCGTGGGTCCACTAAGAACTGTTGATGCTGTTAGCCCCGTTTTTATTTCTTCAACTAACGGTAACGCTGTAGCAGCCGCTCCCGAGTATTGAAATCATTAAAGCAAGATCAAGGTGTATTCGGACTAACTGTAGAGCCCTGACATCATCTCGTTGAGCAATTGAGGGGGAACATCATAATACAAACGAGCACCTTGTGACCACAACAATTTATCCAACATTCAACACCATCTGGTTCCTACATGATAGAAATCCATCTAAGCTGCTCTGATTGCTCCTCATTCTCAAGAAACGGTTTTCATATATATTTAGCCTATATTTGGTTACCAGAATGGCATTGCCATCCAGATAGACCTCAACGCTGTCAAGGATTCTTACCAGAATCCTTACTGGATCCTCCTTGCTTGACAAGAGATGCTTTGAGCGTGACTGCCAAAAGTGGCTGCGCGTCAAAAAAAAAAAAAAAAAAAAAAAAGCGCGTCGTGTCATCATTGTCAGTGCCACACACGCGTGGCAACATTGCGCATTTTTTTTACTGAAAAGAAACAGGCGAATGGTGAAAAGGGTAACGGCTTTCTTTCTTTTTTTTTTTTTTTTTTTTTTTTTTTTGAAGCGAAAATAGAATGTGTTCGAGCCTAATAGTTGACCCTGATCTCATTGTGCCGTTGTCCACAGCGCAGTAACAAGCATGGCCGCCTTTAATATTATATAATCCTTAATAATTGATTTGAATCTTTAGTCTCCTTTTTTTATCTCTCTTTCTTCTTACTTGACAAGATCCTACAGCTCAGGGACAAGGAGGGGAAGAGGAAATGGCATAGCATAATGGTCATGCAATGACAAGATCAAACAAAGAGCCATTGCAACAAGTATACAATACAACAGAGACACAAACATGCGTTTTCAGGAACATGAATAAGAACACAGACTATACAGACTATACAGACTATACAGACAAACAAATGCTCCTTCAATCTCAAACCCCCCTTTATTCTTTTCTCGCGGTCATTCTTGTTGTAATCGTTGTTGTTTGTCCTTATAAAGAAGGCACATTGATCCTCTTTGAACTGTTGTTTTCTTCCTCTTCCTCTTCTTCTTGTTTCCTCACTTTTTTATGTGCCTATTCTCACCACTATTCCCTTAGTTACACATTCGCATTCATTCTCCACATTCAACAACTCATTTCATTTCATTTCCTTCCTTACAATTACAACTTTCTTTTATTTTTTTCTTGATATATTTTCTTAATTGCATCCAACATGGTAACAAAAAAAAAAAAAACTTACTCCTCTACTGTCTTTACTGAGATATCTTCCAATACCTCAGTGTAAACACTATCCTCTCAATTGGCTTTATATTATCCATGTTATTGACAGTTATTTTGTTCTTCAACTGCCATGAAAATAATATATATAAACATGTAAAAGAGCGCATCCAGCCAACTTGATCCAGAAGAATATTACGTCAAGCTCGAGCGCATCGGTAAGGATCATCAATCGTTACACTTGTTCTTCCACTGGAACAAATGGAACTCTGCCTCACTGGATAGAATGGACCTTTTGTAGCTTACTTCAAGCAACATTCATCATGCTATTTATTTCCTAGTCATTTTTTTTTTTCTAACATTCGCTTCAACCTTTTTTTTTTATTTACTTGTTGATGTTTGTGTCTATAGGTAAAGGATCGTTCGGAGAGGTTTTTAAAGGGTAAGTAAGCCCTAACAGAGTCAGCGGGCGAGAATGAGCGAATGGATTGGAGCCCATCTTGCCTTTTTTTTTTTTTTTTTTTTTTTTTTTTCCCTTTGAGAGTCATTCTTTACAACATGGGCAAAGTCGTTTGTCTCCTTTTTTTTTATCTCAATGGGTTCACAAGCAAAGAGATGAACACACGCACACAAACAATACACACACACAAGATATGATCAGGTGTGTTCGCCCCTCTCTTCCTTTTGTCCTTCTTTTCTATAGTTTTTTTTATTTGGAGAGGGGTTCATCGTCATCTTGCCAGCCAACACGTCCTCCTCCTGACTCTTTTTTTATTATTAATATCATTATCATTCATATCATTATTAATATTTGGTCGCATGGCATGCGTGTTACAGCAACAGTTTTTTTTGTTTATTCCCTTGAATCTGTCATGATCAAGAAGAATAAATATTAATGAAAGAACAAGCCAAAGAGATTTGAAAGAAGAATGACGAAGTATCGGGATAGTGATAAAAAGAGAACCGCGCGATGATGTTTATGGAGGAAGGGGAGGCTATGCTACCTCCTATTCCCTCCCCCTTTTTATCCACCTCTCTCCTTTTGTCCCCTTGATGTCTGTTCTTTTAGTCGATGTGTGTTTTTTTTTTTCCCTCAACAACGCCTTAACCGTCAGCCTGGGGCTGTTCTGATGCATACAGTACAGCTTTTTTATTTTTATGTTGCTCATGGTTTTCCATCCTCCCAAACCATAACCCCTATTTTTTATCTTTTACATCGATTGAGTTGAAATGAATTGAACTATAATACTATTGTATTGTCCATGAATGATGTCTTTAGAATCGACCGCAGAACAAAAAAGCCAGTAGCAATTAAAATCATTGACTTGGAGAATGCAGAAGATGAGATCGATGACATCCAACAAGAAATCAATATTCTATCACAACTGGATTCACCCTATGTGACAAGGTTAGTTATGAATTAAAAAAAAAAAAAAAAAAAAAAAAAAAAAATTCTTCAAGGATGTATATTTTCTTGTTTATCTCATGTCAAATTTCCTTTTCGGTCTTTGGTCCTATAGATACTTTGCTTCATTCCTAAAAGGCGCTAATCTATGGATCATCATGGAGTACTGCTCCGGAGGGTCTTGTTCCGACTTGGTAAGAGGAGTTGGGCAGACATCTAATTGCTATTGCTGCTGTTGTACTCCATTGTTGTACTCCATTGTTGTTTTTACCATATTGGATTTTTTTTTTTTTTTTTTTTTTTTTTTTTTGATCTGCTGATTAGGGGGGGGGGGGGTTGTGTGGGGGAGAGAAAAGTATAAACATTCAAACACTAAAGGAAACTAACAAAAAAGAGTTCTCCCACGTTTTCTACAAACCTATTTAGATGAAAGCTGTAACATTTAAAGAGGACTATATTGCAATCATCGCTCGCGAGCTACTCAAAGGCCTAGAATACCTACATGGCGAGGGTAAACTACATCGAGGTAAGGATTTCGCTTCTCTTTCTTTGTTATCAATGACTGTAAAAAAAAAAAAAAAAAAAAAAAGAACCTCAAATAACAAAAAGCCTTTTTGTTTGTTTGTTTGTGAACCTGCTTATCATCTGGCAATCATAATAGACATCAAAGGTAAATGAAATGACTAGCAAACGTAATCCAAAGGGAGGATGTACATGTGTGCATGCATACACTTGTTGCATGAAGTATTACTGTTGAAGTATCTCAAACTATCCAAGCGACGCGACATCGGGAGTGACGCAAATCTCCTATGCAGACGCGCATTGAATATCCACATCATTCATTCCTATAAGTTTCAATGGAGCCTCCATCATCCGCCACCTGGACCAGCAGTCGTAACACACATTTATATCCATATTGAGGGAGAGAGAGCAAGAGGAAGAAAGATGGATTAAAATCCTAACCCAAGGAACCAAAAAGCAATAATTCCTCTCCCCGAACAATTCTAATTCATTCGGTTATTGACCAATAACTTTCCCACACCTCCTTTTTTTATTTTATTTTTTGGTCCTTTTTGTTGTGTAATTAGCGGCCAATGTCTTGTTAACCGCAGGTGGTGACGTTAAGCTGGCTGACTTTGGAGTATCAGGCCAGGTAAGTTTAGTTTAGTCTCGCGTTTCTCATGCCACACAGACGCTGGCACAGACACAGATGGGCGAATGCAAACACGACTTTATGCCCACAAATTCAGATCCAAAGTCCAAAATACGCATATGAACTCACTCTTTTTTTTTCCTTTCTTTCTTTTTTTTTTTTGTACCTAATTCACGCAATTCAAAATGAATAGCTCACAGCGACTATGACAAAGAAGGTTACATTCGTTGGCACACCTGTATGTTGCTTCTTTATGTGCATTATTAAGAACCGATTACAAGCACGTTTTTACCTTGATCTTGGGGTTTATCGTACATTGAATAACGGTTTTTTCTTTCTTTTTTTCTTTTTATCCCTACTACCAGTTTTGGATGGCTCCTGAAGTGATCAAGCAATCGGGTTATGACAACAAGGCAGACATTTGGTCATTAGGCATCACAGCCATCGAACTTGCAAAAGGAGAGCCTCCATATTCGGATATCCATCCCATGAAGGTGCTCTTTTTAATCCCCAAAAATAACCCTCCTGTGCTCGAGGGTAACTACTCCAAGGCCTTCAAAGATTTCGTCGCTGCTTGCTTGCAAAAAGACCCAGCCCTGGTAATGCATTTGCAACCTTAAAAAAAAAAAAAAACATATTATTGAAGCTTGTCTTGTTTATTTATTAACGTAAATATCAAATTATATATTACAAAAAATTATAGCGTCCATCAGCAAAGGAACTCTTAAAACATAGATTCATTCGCAATGCCAAAAAATCCTCTTATCTCACAGAGTTACTGGAAATCCATGAGCGTTGGGTAGCAGAGGGCGGTGTTCATGATAATGATTCATCAGATGACGATGGCGACAAGTATGTCTTTTTTTTTTTCTCTTCTATACAAATGTTCCCTTAGAATTTGAAAAAAAAAAAAAAAAAAAAAAAAAAAAAACTTTTTTTTTTTTCTAAACTACTATATCTCCTCCTTCTTCACAATCTTATTAGCAATCGGTACGAGGACGCTGAGGATGGAGGTTGGGATTTTGGAACTGTACGTGTCCCAGATGGGTTGGCGGCAACGACATCAAAAACAAGGACAGCAGATTCCGTACCAGTCGTGCCAAGCATGCCCTCACCGCCACCAATCAACATGTCGAACCAACAATTACCACAGAGTCGTAATTCAGGATCCTTAGGGAGCCAAAACCATATATACCAAAACGGTTATCATGCCGGGAACGCTAGTAATATCAACATCAATAATCAATACCATCATAGTAACGGCAGGACCAATGGCAGTAGCAAAGTTAACGGCAATGGCTCTCACCGAAGCGAAGATGTAAGTTTTTTTTTTTTTTTTTTTCTTCTATTTTTTTTCCTTGTATCTAAAGCATTGAAGCTGACAACGAGTCCTCCTTTTTTTTTTTTTCTTCCTTCTTTCTTAATCTGGTAAAAATAATAAAGGGAAAGTTGATGGATACTGGATATGATACTGTTCGGAATCAGCACTATCGGAACATAGCAGCACAGGAACAGCGCAAAGATCGACCTGTATCGAGCGACCATTCTCGAGATAAAGTCTACCAAAAATTTGTCAGACCTGTCTTGACCAACGTAAGTCTAAATTTTGATCACATTGAGTTAAAGGAAAAGGTTGCAGCGCATCCACACACACACACACATATATATATATTTACTGTTTTTATTTTTGATCATCTATAGTTGCATAGCTTGTGTCATCGTGATAGTGAACGGCGTACGATTGAAGACCTAAAGCTGGCGTTCGAGAATGCAGAACTTGAGATCCCAGGGATCACACGATTATTTGTCAAAGGCTTAAGCGAACAACTAAACGGATAAAAAAAAAAAAAAGAAAAGAAAAAAAAGAAGAGTAGGACGACGACGGATCCTATAACATGTGTTTTAATAATAACTGTATGCCAAGATATTGTTCTGATGAGCCTATATATCCTCTTGCAATACACCGATACAGCCTCCTTCCCCCTCCCCCCCCCCAAAAAAAAAAAAAACCAAGCACTTCCTCATTCATTTGTGCCTGTGTATATCAGTAGTTCGGAAATACAACTCAACGATCCTATTATGTTTTTGTTATCATACCCCTTTTCTTTACCCTCTTCTTTCTTTTTTGCTTGTTTATTTTTTATGTTTGTATCAAATAAAGATCTTTTTATATCTGTTAATAAACTTGTATATTTTTTAGAAAAGAATATGTAAGGATAATGAGCAAAATGGGAACAGGGACAATTGAGAATAGGTTAAGAGTCTACAGAAGAATAGTTTTTTTTTTTTTTTTTTTTTTTTTTTTTTTTACATTCACAACCGGTGAAGAGCCATTTCCCAGAAGGAGACCTCAAGCCTAGTGGCAGTCCTGAAAATCTCTTCCATATGTTTGAGACGATGTGTCGATGGCTGCTGGACATTGCACTGGCGTTCCAAGTTGGCTAATTTTTTTTTTTTTTTTTTTGTGAGTTGAAGGTGCCAAGAAATAACAGCAGTGGAAAGTTAGTGGAAGGACGAGTGATGTTAAAAAAACAAAAACAAAAACAAAAACAAAAACAAAAACAAAAACAAAAACAAAAACAAAAACAAAAAAAAAAAAAACTTACCGATGCCACGAGAGACTGCAGCTTGATAATCATCACTCGCGTAAGTCTTGATCCAATCCCAGTAAGGGTTCTTGTCTGTGCCCGTGACAGTGTTAGGATCACTATAAAGACGACGACCAATATGTCCATATCCAATTAAGCAAGGTGCAATCGCCAAACCTAGATCCAAAAGATCGCCCGTCATACCAATGTCGAGTACATAGCGCGTGTAGGCGATATTACCCATGCTCTCTGGCGTTTTGATCATCTCTTCATATGAGATCCCCCATTTGGCGCAGTACTAAAATTAAACATGTAAAAAAGAAAATTTTAGTAAGGACGCTCTGAAGGTAAAAAAAAAAAAAAAAAAAAAAAAAAAAAAAAGAAAGCAAGAAAATGTGCGGACAAAATAAAATAAAATTAACAAACATACTTCAATGTGCAGCTCAGACTCCTTAGCAATATACACGATAATGTCTGCAAAAGCCTTTGATTCCTCTATAGTCCTCGCCTTTGCTGCTCCGAGACCATGTGCACGTGCATAGGTCTGCAGGAACAAATAATCTTGCTTCATGTAATGAATAAAGCTTTCTCTGGGTAATGTTCCATCCGCTATCCCTTGTACAAAAGGGTGGTGTGTATACTTGTGCCAGTCATCAGCGCATGCTTTGAGCAAGTAGGACGTCAACGGACAAGGGTTGTAGCGCGTCGGTCTTGAATAGGATAGTTTATGGTGATTGATGTAAAGAGCATTAGGAAAGATAAAAGAAAGCAATGAAGAGTGATTAATTAGATGGATTTACATACCTTTCAATAGAGCGAGGCACGACATGATGATAATGATTAAGGCATCCTTTGCCTTGTCCGACTGAGAACCCATCACGGATAGCTGACTGGACATATTCACTGCCTTTGATGATCGCATCGATTGCTGTTAAAATAATGAAAAGGTAATTAATCTTAGTCTATTTTTGGCCTCTGTATGCATGTCTGCGTTTTTCTTGGCTTTTTTATTTTTTTTTTTTTTATCGTACGTTGCAGTCCCTTCGCCAGTTGGGCTGCGATGGCAGCGCTCAATGTGCATCCAGTGCCATGCGTGCTGCTCGTCCTCAAAAATTCCCTCTTCAACTCCATGAAAACTCCCACGCTGGAATCCCAGATCAGATCTATCAGTTCCAATTCTTCCATCTCCACTGAGAGATCATCCACTGAATTAAACAATTCCGGTGCTAGCGCCCGTCCCGAGCTCTTTAGAAAAGGTAAATGACCGCCCTTCAACAATACGATCGAAGATCCTAAACGACCAAGATCCTGAGCTGCCAATCGCATCTGCTCTAAAGAGTCGATTTTTTGATTAGGGTTGAATAAAGGGTTTTCTAGTTTTGCTTTCGATAAGATGTACTCTGCTTCTGGAACATTAGGTGTCAGAATTGAACAGAGAGGTAAGATCTCTTGGATCAAAGTCTCAATTGCTGATGTGTCTAACAGAGCTGCACCCGAAGACGCAATCATGACCGGATCCACGACCAAGTTAGGGATCGGCCGTGTCTCTGGATAGAACTTGCGGAGCGTCTTTGCAATGGCTGCAATGATCTCGGCATTACACAACATGCCTAACGATAGTCAATAAATATTGGATAGAAAATATATATAAATCAAAACACGTCAAAACGATGGGGTAGAGACGGGTTAATATGGTTATGGCGTGGGAATAATTTTATTAGAATAAAAAAATAAAAAAAATAAAAAAAAAAGAGTACCTGTCTTGATGGCATCGGTTTCAATGTCAGAGAGGACAGCTTCCAACTGTTGGGCCACAAAATCAGCGGGTATGGCATGGATACCATCGACTTTGAGCGTGTTTTGGGATGTGATGGATGTGATGACAGAAGTACCAAATGCCTCCAATGATGTGAAAGTTTTGAGATCAGCCTGAATACCAGCGCCGCTACAGGAACCAAATGCGGATGATAAAATAAAAGAAAAGAAAAAATCATTATCAATCTATTCATACTCTTCGGTGCCTAATTTGTTTTCAAGTGAACATTTCTCATGGCTTTATGAGATGATGGTTAATTCTCCTTTTACTTACCCACCGCTATCGCTACCAGCAATGGTCATGACCTTGAAAGGTTTGGTGACCTGGTGCTCGTGATGTTCAGTGGTAGCCATGGTGATTTTTGTGGGTATAACTGCAATGAGTAGCAGAGGCGTGAATGAAACGAAATGAGAAGAAAGATTCAACAACAATGAACGAATGAATGAAGACAAAAAATGAAAGGAGAGCAAGGAAATATTCTCTTTCTCGGATCAATTTTTCGCACAGTCATTGGAGAGGGAGATATTGTTACTGGACATGTAAAGCACCCCATTGGCGTCGTTGACATCACTTTTTTTTTTTTTTCCTATCCTTGACAGTGGTTCCGATATTATGGATGATATATACCATTTGTACAACAGAGTATGGACCATTCGCCATGCTTTTTAAGGAACGCTTCTTTTTTTAATCTTGATGAGTCGTAAGTTCATCCGTTGTTGGTGTGTATCACACACATAAACTTTAATTGTGAGAGGAGGAGTGAGATTCTTTTCTCTCTCGTACACAGAGCACTCCTTTTCTTTATTTCCTTCTCATTCCTGATTTCATTTCTTTTTTTTTTTTTTTTTTTTTTTTTCATTTGTTTGTGTGTTGATTCATTCACTTATTCACCATTCCCATCGCCAGTTGAAAGGAAAAGGAAAGAAAAAAAAAATAAAAAAAAAATAAACTGTTTAAAAAATATAAAAAGATATCGATCATGTCCAAGCCTACTGTCGATTACTCAGTCTATCTGGTCACTGATTCGGGGTTGAACCATCCTTCCAGGACTTTGCTTCAGTCAGTCGAAGACTCTATCCTGGGCGGTGTGACCCTAGTTCAGTTACGTGAGAAGGATCTTGACACACCAGCGTTCATTGATCTGGCACGCAAAGTACACGAGATCACAAAAAAGGTAGCAAACAACGTGAAGCTGTATCATATTTTTCTCTCTTTCTTTGTCTCTTTCTTCTTTCTCTTCCCTCTCTCTTCGCATCTCTCTCACTACAACTTCTATGGGTTTGTGAGGCCATATTGTAGGGCTAGCCTGACCACTAGCAAGTTAAACATATAAAAATAAATACGGATGAGGATCAGATTTTATCCAAGGATTCTTTTTGTTTAGATGGAGGATTGATGAAAGTAAAAAAAAAAAAAAAAAAAAAAAAAACGCGAACCATAGTATGGACAGAAGCTTTGAAGCAAATGAGCGTTCTTCATTATTGTATCAACTTTATACAATAATTACCCATCATCCATCATTATAAAAATAAGTCAGATTGGCCATTGCCAATTGTACTTTTTTTTTTTTTGTCACTGTTTCCCACGCGATTTATCAACACCTTTTTATTTTTTTTTCCCTTAATTGTTACCTTTAAATATTGTATATAGCACAATGTCCCACTCTTGATCAATGACAATATCGAGGTGGCTCTTGCAATTGATACTGAGGGCGCGCACGTGGGTCAAGATGACATTTCCTGTACAGAGGCGCGTCGACTCTTAGGTCCCAACAAAATCCTGGGCATCTCCACTGGCACCCCCGAGGAAGCTCAAAAGGCATTAGCAGATGGTGCAGACTATATCGGCATCGGAACCTGCTTCATGACTCAAACTAAATCTCCTAAACGGACGTTGGGGCCCATCGGTGTCCGAGCCATTCTAGAAGCATTGCCCAAGGATCATCCTCTCAAGACCGTAGTCATCGGAGGAATCAAACGTGATAATACTCGCCGCGTGGTCGAACACTCTGCAGGCCGCAATGGTCGTATTCTGGATGGCGTCGCAGTCGTCACCGGCATTGTCAGTGCCTCTGATGCCAAGGCTGCATCTCAGGATTTATTACGGGAGTTCAGAACCGGATATGAAAACGCTTCCAACTACCTTCAGGGACAAGTCTCAAAAGAGAAGAAAAAGAGCATTGATGAAGTTCTCCAGAGTTTTCCTCAGTTGTTGACGACCTTGAGAGAAAAAGCGCCCTTGACACATCACATCTCTAATTATGTGGTCATGAATGATACTGCTAATGCTACCCTCGCTTTGGGTGGGTCTCCTATTATGGCACCTTCTGCTAGTGAGGCACAGGACCTCTCCAAGGTTGTTTCGTCTGTTGTTTTGAACATTGGCACCTTGACTGAGTCCTTTGTTGAGTGCATGCTTGAAGCTGGTATGCCTTTTTTTTATCTTTATTGTTATTTTATTTTATTTTATTTTATTTTTTAGTTTGGGAGGAGAGAATTGCAATCAATGAAAGCTTCGACCAGCATTGAGATGTCATCGCTAATAACTTTATTTTGACCAATTTGCTATCAACTAGGCAAACATGCAAACGCACAGTCCAAGCCAGTGATCTTGGACCCTGTCGGTGCAGGCGCTACTTCGCTTCGTGAGGCAACCGCCGCCCGCATCTTGAATCATGTTCATGTTGATATCATCAAGGGCAATGCAGGCGAGATCTCAACCATCTCCAAGATTGTGGGCTGTGATTCTGAGAGTATCGCCATGCGTGGTGTCGACTCCTTGGGCAGTGGCTTCACAAATCCTGCTGCTGTTGTCCAAGCTCTGGCCAAACGTGAGAGTAAGTTTGAAAAAAAAAAAAAAAAAAAAAAAAAAAAACCCCCCGTTGATTCAACAGAAGGATCTGAGGCAGTTTATTAAAGCGCTTATTTCTTTTTTTTTGTTTTCGTTTTCGTTTTCGTTTTCAAGAATGCGTTGTTGCAATGACAGGAAAGATTGATTATGTCTCCGATGGCGTACGCACAGTTGCAATTGAAAATGGTCATGAGTACCAGGGCCGTATCACTGGGTCTGGATGCATGATTGCTTCCTCAATTGGGTCCTTTGCTGCCATCTCTACTGATGACCATTTTGCGGCCGCTGTTGCTGGGTAAGATACTTTTTTTTTTTTTTTTTTTTTTTTTTTACTTTTAATCTGTCGAATATATATTTGTGGATGCATACTTGCATTATATTAACATCACTACTAAAAAACTTTTTAGCATTCTGGCCCTCAATTTGGCAGGCGAGCATGCTGCTGCGCGTGATGATGTTCGTGGACCGGGTACTTTCAGAGCTGCATTCATTGACGAGATAGCTAACCTGAAGCCTGAGCAGGTGGTCAAAGAAGCCAGGATCAAAGCTATTCAGCTGAACTAGACAAATATATACATTTATACTGTCTGTGTATCTGTCTGTGTATCAAGCAATTAGAATCAACATCATAACAATACCGCAAATAAAAAATGTATAAAAAAAAAAAAATAAAAAAAAAAACGTTGTGTTTATTGCAATACGCATGCGGAGCATCTTTTTATTGTACAAAATAAATATATATTTAATGTTGGTGTTTGACTTGATCCGAACCTGCACTTTGGGCTCTTTATTATTTGGTCCGCTCTTTCATTTCTTTTTCCTTTTGTTTTAACTTCCTATTACATGATGAACATGAGATTGAGGTCCACGGGGTGACTAGAGCTGAGTTGTGGCTTCTGTGAGTACTTTGTTCGCAAGATATCACGGATGTTGTTGAGCAACTGAAGATAGGTTTGACGGGGATTTTGGCTCAATCTAGACATTATAACAATAACCAATATCAATAAATTAGTCAAGCCCTAACCCCTTTTTTTGTTTGTTTATTTGTTTGTTTGTTTAAAAAAAGTCTGGAGCGACCATCGACTTACGTTGTAATAAATGAAAAAGTCATTGCTCCAGTCATTCCAAAACCTTGCTCGTGTGCATCAGCTGATGTTTGGGTATCTTTACATCTAATTGCAGCAGGTACCAAGAATAAAAAGAATTAGAGAAGATTTAAAAGTGCTTTAGCATGTAGGAAATAATACGAAAAAAAAAAAAAAAAAAAAAAAAAAAAAGACTTACCCACTAAACATAATACAGTCCGCTGGACTCGCTTTCTTCATCATGTTTTCTTGCCGTTTCTTTGGGTTTTGTGTGATCTTCTTGCCAATGCCCCCAAAACTATGTAGCGCTCCTCCGATATCGCCTCTCAAGTAAGACAAACCAGCATTCAACACACCACTACCTACATCTGACAGCATATTCGACTCTTTCAACTGACCCTTCGTACTATAGATAAATGGCAAATCCAAGGCAGAGCCCGAATGACAACAGTCCATGATTGCTGTCAGTCGACAGCCCGCTGGCAGCTGTCGAACCATGATCTGATGCATCGTATCGTCTCTGATCGTACCCGCAACCTCATGATCAACTGGATAGATCGTCTCATCATATCCATCATCCTCATCTCCATCCAAGTCCTTGGCCTGTCCTCCATGTCCACTGAAATGGAAAAAGAAAGAGTCGTTCGGTCGTGCATCCCGCACGAGCCATTGCATGCCCGCAATGATGTTGGCCTTTGTTGGGATTCTTGTTGGATCCCTTTGGTCATCTGTCAAGGTAACACAATCCTCCTCTCGGAACCCAAACTGTCGGATCAAAAATGTTTTGATATTCTTAACATCATTGATGCACCCACGCAGTTCATTCCGCTGTCGGAAGTAATTGATTCCAATAAAGAGAGCTCGCTTACGGCCTTGACAACTCGAAAGCTGGAACGGGACCGATGGTGCAAAATGCGGGTTTTGCTGCACTGCCCAGCCGCCTTGTGGCATGGGAACACTGCTTGGTGCAATCTACTCCCCATACAAATATCAGGATAAAAAAAATATATATTTGAATATTCCAATACAAACTTTGTATTACGAGATATACACAAAATATAAAAGACAGGACTTACCATGTGTTGAGAAGGCGGTTGCCCATGAGACGGATATGCAGGCGGCTGAGCTTGTGGAGCCGGGTATGCAGGTGGTTGGGATTGTGGAGGTGGGTAGGCAGATGGCTGGGCTGGTGGTGCACCGTAGGGCGAATGAGCAGCTAGGGGTGCCCCATATGGGGCAGGAGGACCAGGCGGGGCAGCTGGTGGTGCACCATATGGAGAAGGGGCCGGGTAACCATATGGAGTTGGGGGTGCTGATTGTTGGTAAGGGCTTGGAGCAGGTGGAGGATAAGGACCAGGTGGATGGTGAGCTGGTGGAGGGTAAGGAGAAGATGCAGGATAAGGTTGTGCGGGAGGGGGATAGGCCTGAGCAGGGGGGTAATACGGAGGAGCACCGTACTGTGAGGGAGGTGCGCCATAAGGTTGTTGAGGCTGTTGACTATAGCCAGGATACATAGTGGATAAGGACTTCAAAGGCAAGAAGGATGAAGAAGAAAAAAAGAGATGACAGGATAGAAATGAAGTCAGAATGGAGGGATGGATAAAAAAAAATCACGGAGGATCAAGCACAGCCAACAAGGATGGCTTATTTTCGTTTTGGGTTTTTGGGATCAACGACAAGAAGCATTTGCATAATTTAGCGTATTTCAAAAGTAGAAAAAATAAAAAGAGCACATCCGAGGATGGCACAGCCATCTTCATGCAGTGTCTTTATCAAAACTAGACCACAGACAAGAACGTATCCATTAGGTCTTAAAATCTGTTTGCCTTTATTGCCGAGCGATAGTTTCGATGTCTTAATTTATTGATGGCCTTTTGCTGGAATTGACGCCAGATGCATGGCCGTTGAAGTGTCAACGTGTGAAGTGTTAAACAACCAAACAATCTCAAATCATCCACGAAGAAGGATTTCCTGTACGGACCATAGCAGAGGTGATGGTCTATTGAAACCGAGGAAGTGAAACGCTTGGCGGTAGCAGAGCTCGAGCATAGACTGCGGAAGAGGTCCTTCCTCGATTGGATTGCAACAGGGTTGGTTTCGGGACGTGCCAGAGCCGTATAGCCTTGGAGCTGCCAGAAGGACAACATCATCCTATGCTAAATCCTTTCCTTAAAGCGTCCTTCCACTTCACATATCCTAATTACCACATAGCACGCTTAATCTTTTTCAAATTATCCTTCTGTCATAACATCATACAATCTGCTTCATATTTTTCTTAAGTCTTACTTTTACCCTATATACCAACATCAACATGGCGCGCCTTATTCCCGAATATCTCCGAAGCACAATGTGTGTCCTGAGCATATCAATGAGCTCACAGCAGGTTATAGCGCGATTTTTCAAGGCTGTCCCCCAGCAGGATGGCTTGCCGAAGTCTATACCTTGGGCGATAGCTCCTTTGGTGACTGCATAGGCAGCCTGGAACAATTGGCCAAAAAGAGGCCCATCCTAAGTTCTTTAAAGCGCTCCTCAAGCACTATAGAAACCAGATAGGGTAGCAACAACTCTAGTTGCTGTTGCGAGCTAAAATAAGGGGCTCATCGAAGGATCTTGCGAAATGCTCCATTCACAAGGGATTGCTCGATGCAACATACACCAATACCCGCAAGCACGAGGAGAGCACAGGTAATGTTGGCACATCAACACATTCCTCTTCTCCTTCTCAGCGTCCGTGCCTGGAGGCTACAGGCAGCAAGCATTCTCTCTCGGACCCCAGCCCGTTTGGATGTAGTACTGAGCCACTCGTATGGTTGATATTGCTGCATTAGAGTAGCTAGTTGGTTTATATTCCATCAAGGCTAACAAGGCCATATAGGCAATAAACTGCTCTCGAACAAGGTGTTTTCTCTCTCTGCATGACGAGGCGGAGCAACAAAGTTATGGAGATCCATTTAAGAGGACAGGAGGAGAACCCACAAAGCACAAAGCACAAATATGTCAGCACTCGCATTAATCTCACTTTCACCAACGCTACGCTCGACCAATGCTTGGTTTTTTAGCAGAGGAATTTATCATTATGGCATCAGTCGAACCTGTTTCTTTATCTTTGCTGTTTTTTTCAATCTCTTCCCTCCTAACAAGAGATGGGGCTTTCTATCGTGCTTTTTTTTTTTTTTTTTTTTTTTTTTTCGTTGGTCCAAGTCAGCTCGCCTCCAGGACAAGGATGCTAGTCGCGAAATATGTTGTTCCTTCAGAAAGGCGTTTTTGTTATTTTCTCTACAGTCCCACATTAGCACAAGACAACGCCGCTTTAATTTTTCACTTCCTCTGTTGGGCTCTCAGCCTCGACATCACATAAACATTAACGGCACGTTAGAACACAACTCTACTCATAATGAGGATAAACAGTCCATTGAGCGGCGAACTGCGCAACGTTGTCGTTTTTTTTTTTTTTTTTCCTTCCTCGTCATTTCTTCCTCTTTTTCCTCCTTCTTCTTGCCTTTCTGTACCTCTTCCCCTTCAAATAATGGCTTCTGATTCACGTCCTCTACTCTACTCGTTCTACCGCTCCTCCTGTTCATGGCGTGTGCGACTTGCTCTCAGCATCAAGGGCATTGCCTACGATACTAAATCTATCAATTTGCTTACTGAAGAAAATGTAATCATGTCTCTCTCTTCCCTCTTTCTCTCTATTTCTGATATTTTGCTTAAAAAAAAAAAAAAAATAAATAAATTACACGCGACACGACAGATAATGTCACATATAAACACTTTTTATTTTACTAATACCAGTTTTTATATGATTATTCTCCTCATTCAAAGAAAACTAAAGAATACAAACAGATCCAACCTTTCGGTGCGATCCCTGCATTTGTCGACGATATAAATGAGGACAATACACCATTGATTGAATCTGCCGCCATCATTGAATATCTAGATGAAACTAGACCAGGTAACATAACAAAGAAGCGACAACTAAGATTGAAGATTTAAGGAACAACAATTCATTAGCCCATATTAATTATCTTTTTTTTTTTTTTTGCTTGATTGCTTGACCTTCCAGAGAATCCGCTTCTTCCCAAAGATCCTCGCGAAAGAGCAATAGTATTTATTTTTCCATTTTTCATTTATTATTTATCGTTTCATCAACAGTTTGAAAATAATGATTTCTATACAACTCTTTTTCATTATTATTATTATTATTATTATTATTATTATTTATTTTTTTTTTTCAGGTCCGTTCTCTGGTCTATGCAATTGCCATGGGTATCCAACCCATTTGTAGTATCCGTGTCTTAAAGTTCATTGGCAAGGACAATGAGGAAGAATGGACAAAACATTTCATGTCCGAAGGATTTGCAGGTAATTGCAAAGGAAAAAAAAAAAAAAAAAAAAAAAAAAAAGCTGATTACTTTATATCATGAACGTTAGAACCAGGACAGAGCAGGGTAGACAGACAGACATATCAACAAGTTAATGCTGACTGCGAATGCCTGTGCTATTTTTTTTTCTTTCCTTTTCTTTTCGATATAAATATTGATATAGCCTTTGAGAAACTACTTCAAAGAACGGCGGGAAAATATGCATTCGGTGATACGATTACCATGGCCGATCTGTTCCTAGTCCCGCAGTTCTTCAATGGCCTCAGGTAACATTATTATTATTATTATTGTATAAGCTGTACATTTGTATATAAATGATTATGTTGGTTATCAATATTAATAACTTTTTTTTTTTTTTTTTTTTTTTTCATGTAAATCGTAGATTCGGTGTGGATATGACTGCATACCCAATCATGTCTAGGATCAATAGCACTCTCGAGCAATTGGAGGCCTTCAAAGCTGCTCACCCCACAAGGCAGCCTGATTGCCCCCCAGAGCTGCGCCAATAAAATATATCTTTGCTACACAGTGTGTCTGAATAAAAGACTTGGCATAGCTAATGTATTTATTATTTTACATGCCAGAATGTATGCTAATCGAGTGACTGTAGTCATATTGAATATTTGTTATACGAAATGCTTGCAAATAAACTGGGTGTGAGCGAAAGTATGCTACGCAGAATACCATATCAATACATGTGTGTATAATAGATGGGAAAGGAAAAAAAGAAAAAAAGAAAAAAAAAAAAAAAAAAAAAAAAAAAGTACAAAGAAAAAGAAAAACCAAGCAATTCAGAGGCGATCATTTCTTAGGAGGAGCATGTCCAAGGCCGTGCCGATCTAACTTCACTATAACTTCAATAGGATCGTTGTCCCCTGTTCCAAAAGTCCCCAAACCATCGCCAGGCCTCCAGCTATAAAAAACGGAAAAGTCTGTCAGTTAACTTGAAATATCCTTAAAAAAAAAAAAAAAAAAAGCTGAAAGTGAAAATAAAATACATACCCCATCTTGGAAAGCAGCTGATGTCCAACGTTTCTGGGCGGGATGGGGCTTGCGGATTCACCAACGATAGTTCCATTGATCTTAGCCACCATAGCCTTTTTTCGTACTTGAACTCTTTGGAATCCTCCTTGGGCCCCTCGACCTCGTCTTTGATTAAACCGATCACGACTTTCGAGTCTTCTGCTTCTACTTCTTTCAATTGTTAATTCTTCGTGCTTCACAGTCGCCCAATGATCTGTCTCTCGGACGAGCCGGTCAACCACGGCCATGTCTTTTGGAAACCCTGATGCCTCCGTCTTGGCTAAAGCTTCAACAACGTGATCGCCCTCTTTTATCATGTAGGGATCGAGTTTGTATAAACTGGAAATGGTAAAAACCCTTGTGGAAAGAGCATGCGTCATCCCCGGGAGCCGTAACTCCGCGACATCACCGTCCCGAATAAAATCTACTATCATCCTATAAACATCGTGACAAAAATTTGAAGTTAGAGGTCAGGTCAAGCTAAAAAAAAAAAGAAGGAAAAAAAAAAAAAAAAAAAAAAGCAAATCGTCACTGGATAATGATCATTCATTACTTGTTGATCTTGGCGACATTCCGAGAGGAAGGTTCAAGGAGTGGAGCGCCTCCCGATCGTTTAAGCCCGAGAGCATTGTCCACTGCTTCAGTTAAGCGGTCATCACGCCTTCGTTCACGCCGTCTATTTCCCGATTTTCGAATGGAATCAATGCGCTCGTTGTCGTACCCATAAATCCCCTCATCTGAATCATCTGGGAGGACACCACCAATATTACTAGAGTGGCCAGGTCCAACTTCTAGCTCTTCAAATGAACCAAGGAAATAGCTTAGACCATCCTCATTATCAGACCCCATGATGTTCTATAACAAAGTCAAGAGATGCATTCATTAAGTACCCAGCGATAAATCCTTATAACGGAGTGTAGACCGAAGTGTAATAACGTTTTCTAGCTCTTCATTCTCAAAACTTTACCTGCGTGTAATCTTCAATGGCCTTAGCGTCATCGTCCTCACTAGAATCTTCTCCATTCGAGCCCAACATAATAATACTGCTGTCCCTCAATACTTTTTTACCCTTCTCCCTTTGACCTCTTCTATCTCTCCTGCTTCTCTTACGCTTTCTGCCTAGATTGTTATTATCCGCTGGGAGCTCAATATAGGTATCGTTGGATTCTACGGGCAGCGCTTCGCCTATGGTATCCATAACCCACATTGGTTGATCTAATTCCAAACATGCATCCTTTTGTTTTTTCTCATCCTGAGTGGGCGAATGTCTAGGCTCCGTATCGATTGACCACATGCAATACTCCTGTTCGTGCTTGTGCGTGGTGCCCTGGCTAGATGTTGTGGCCACGCTATGAAGCAAAGTATCTGCTTTGGCTGCCGTATCTTCCTTTTCGGGTAACGATTGTTTAGCAATGGTGTCAGTTTGATCCTTAGTAGAGAGCCTATTGAGGCCCATCCTGACTCTTGAGCCTTCCGATAATTCACTCATGTGCTTTCTTCGCCTCTTCGTTCGTCGATCGCGTTCCGGAAATGGAATTTGGCCTGCGTCTTTTGATTTCCTTTCAATTCGAATGTTCTGCCTTACTGAATGGTTGAAATCCTGAGTGGTATCACTATTTTGCCGCTCCGTAGGCTTATCTACCTCTAGGCTGGTATCCACACCCCCGCTTCTAGCACCATAAGCAAAAGCGCCTCCCCAACCTGTTATTGAGATAGATGGTTCCGGAATCGACGACTGTGTATCTGTGGCTGTGTTCTTTTTCTTGCTAAGATCCGGATCCTGATCTTCTTCAAGCCAGTCAAACTCCTGTATCAGAACCTCCGTTTCAGCGACATCGACTTCATCTACAATCCAAGTACATTTTTTTATGTGAGTGAGTTGCCAAAAAAAAAAAAAAAAAAAAAAAAATACAACAGTATATGATATGTTGCTATTGTTAGAGATCTCTTTTTTACCTGAATGAAGACCAGCATCCAACTCGGCATCAGTATCGATGTCATCCACTTGATTTTTTTCATGAGGCTGCTTATGCTCCGACTTCCCTTTTTTGAACTTATCGCTCAAAGGTTTATAAAGTTCACTGCGTGGCCTCTTGACGCGAGGGAATTTTTTCCCGCCGGTTGAAATGTAAGTACGGAGTTTTCCCCTTCTCTTCATGAAGGCCTTTTGAACTTTTGAAGTTGAAAAAAATAAAAAATAAAAATAAAATAAAATAAAAGATAAAGATAAAGAGGTTTTTAGATTAATTTTCTTATAGATCAGATTATAAGCTCTTTTTTTTTTAAAAAAAAATAAAAAATAAACATACACTCTTCTGTTTCAAATGATATAAAGTCATCTGATGAAGGACGGCTATTGTTCTTCCCCTTCCACGAGACACAATACAGTACTCTCCCGCCACCATAATTATCGCCTTCTCTGTGGTTTCTATATGACGTGGCCCAACCGCCACGATCTCCCCAGCTTCCGACCATATCCTAATCTACACTCTGCAGGCTTTTATTTTTATTTTTCCTTTCCTTTCCTTTTTTCTTTACTTCTTTCTTTACTTCTTTCTTTCCTTTCTTTCTTTCTTTCGATCAATAGTTGTGCCCCTTTAGCTTAAGCTTGCTCGCTTTCAGATCTTTTGAGGTAGAGGCAATGGATCTGTGAATGAAATTAAATCGAAGGGGAACAAAAAAAGAGAAAGGTGGCTGCGGTGGTCACGTGCAGAAATAGATTTTTATTCTACTTTTTTTTTTTTTTTTTTTTTTTCAGATACGACGTCCTTGTGGATTGATCTTGTTCGGTATCTGAAGCATGGCACAAAACTCCTCTGTCTGAGGATTAAGGAAGGGCAAAACTAAGATCGAGAAAAAAGATTAATCAGGAAAATAAACAAACCAAAGAACTAGCCCATTCATATTTTCATTCAATCAAACGTAAAAGCTTCAATTAACACGTTTTAAATAACCTCAGGGTCAAACTCAAACTTACTACAAGCTCGCTTTTCCTGTGGTCCCATCGTCCGCACTTCGTCATGGGCGGGTGCTGTTGGCTGAAAGTTTAGTGGAATGGCCAGTCCACGCTTCTTGGTCACATTCTCTTGAACCCATTCTCGATTAACTTTTAATGCACTAAAAATAAAACAAAAAGATTATATCAGAGGCAAATTTCATATCGAGCACACAGAGCAAAAAAAAAAACAGCTACTTGATCACTTACTGCATCAATCTTTCTCCTTGAAGAGGCTGCTTTTGCGTGGTTTCCAAGCTTAGGAACGGATCCAATGTCCGAACAATTGCCAGCCATTCCTCATCATACTTGAATTCAATCGGCTCATTGAGCTCAGGAAAGTGAACGATCTCAAGAAATTTGCGCCCCGGCAAACATTTGTCAAGTGCAAGGAACTTTGTACAGGTCGGATGGGTCTTTAATGGCTTGGGGCTCCTGGAGCCTGTTGAAAACTCCAAAGGCTGAGACTGAGGTTGAGATGGTTCCGTATCATCTTCGCTATCCATCTCAATTTGGATTTCATCTGGATTCGCTACTGCAGCTGGGGTTGGAGCACTAGGGACGGCCAGCTCAGTCTTTCCTTCAGATTTCTCCATCTGTTGGCCATCATCATTCTCGTCCTCGTCATCAAAGTTAATATCGATCTCATCAGGATTTTTGGTGGGTTGTATAGAGACAGTGGCGGAGGTGGTTACCTCTGTAACTGCTGCTGCGGGAGGCCGTGCTGCTGAGAGTGGCGCTTCGGCTTCGGTCGATTTCCCTGTGTCTGACTTTTGAACTGGTGAATCCCATTGAACTACCGCTGTGAAGCGTACATGTAGATGTGCAGAGTACCAATGCGCTGGCCTCAATGTTCTCAAAACTTGTTCATATGGTTTGCTCCCAAGTCTATTATTTTGCACCTGTGACAGTCAAGAGAATGGAATGATGAGAAGGAAGGGATAAACGATATTATCACTTTCATGCTCAAATGATAGTCTAAAGTGATACTAACATCTCCCTCGATCAATTATGTAATTTGTTTCTTACATCCGGAATAAAATGCTTTTTTACACGAAGTAATTTTGCCGTGTCGCCATATCGCTCTATTCCCAAGGGCCAGTCATGAGATAGGAAAACATCTAAAGGCTCCTTGACTTGAAGCATCTTATAGATATCGTACTTGCGGACATGATAGACGCTCCTTTTACCATTATCGTTATAAGGCGTCACCTCATAATGTCCTGCCTCATAGTGTCCGCTTTTATAGATGCCAGACATTCCTCCAATCCTCAGTCCTCCCACGTTAATTACACCACCCCATCCCAAAAAATAGATATCTGGACATACCCAACCTCCATGATAACTAGCAAGAAGTCATGGCCAATAAGAGTCAGAGTCATGGATAGATGCGATCGTTGGAAGGTTTTCTTTTTTTCCGGAAAAAAAAAAAAAAAAAAAAAAAAAAAAGAGTAAAATGCGATTAAAACCTACAGCTCCCACAAATAATTGCTAGACTCGTGGTTACCACCAATAAAGATGGTTGGGATAGGGACCTTTGCTTCGCCAGAATAATATTTGTGAAATGTGCCCAGGTGCAGATACTTGCGTGGACATGCAATGGTATCAAGATCTGCCTCATTCCGAATTGACTATTCGCGCGTATATCATCATATTCATTTTTTTTCATAAAAAAAAAAAAAAAAAAAAAGTGTAAATTTTTTATATTTTCCACCCACTCACCCTCTTCATTGCTTGCCAAATTTCAGACTCCAAAAAGAAATAGGAATTCATACATGGAAGTCTCCACAAATTAGTAATAAATCTACTTTATATCCATTCTCGAGCTCACGAGCCGCAATAGTTTTATAGATTTCATCCAGTTCTCCGTGACAGCAGCCCTCAACAGCGATCTAATTTTTATGAACACATGACATGATACGGATGGATATTGAGCTTGGTTAATTGGTTAATTTTAATGCTTTACAAAGCCCTTGTGATAATACTCATAAAGTCGCTGCTATTTAGTGCTTGTGGCGATTCGAGTAATGGTGTCATACTCTCATGTTGACATGAAGGTTTTGTAAAGAAGAAGTAATGAGGAAAAGAAGTTGAAGGCTCGACTTATTTCATAAAATACGTGAATGTGGCTTTGTTAGAACTCTCTTCCATCAATTTTCACTGTCTAGGAGCATCAAAGACGCGTGCGTACAAGACATTACTCTTTTTGGTTTATTTGCACAATAGAAGATTAAATAGAATGCTTTAAGGCTAAGTGAGGGAACTCGTCAACAAACGAGCATCTTTTTTTTTCTCCTTTTTCTTTTTCTGTTTTCCCTGCAGATCTAAAAAAAAAAAGAAAAAAAGCTCTAGTGAAGCTGCTCGATTATGGCAACTTCGATGCATCATCCTTGTTTCCTTATCCACCACGCTTGTAATCAAATAATGGTCTTAGAGCCGACAATTGGCATGATTTCCTCAGGAACTCATGCTGCACGAAAACAAAATGGAAAGAGGGGAAAAAAGATAAAGTGAGTGATTATTCAAGCAAAAAAAAAAATATACCAAATCTGATTATAGTTAGAAGAGCATCCCAATCCTTCCCTTTGCGCTTTCTTACCTCTAGTAGCTCCAAAGAAGAAGCACGGCTCTTGACATCAACACACAAACATACAGCCAAAAAGTTCTTGAGCTCGGCACTGAGAATCTCGGGCTTCTTGAGTGTAGGAGTACCATTGGTGGCGATCAAATACAGAGCCTTTAGTGGCTCTTCATCCAAGTATGGTGGCTCTTGTTCAATCATCTCAATAGCCATAATACCCAAAGACCAGATATCAACCTTAGCGCCATATTCCTTCTGCTTCACGACTTCAGGCGCCATCCAATAAGGCGTTCCCACCATAGTCGCGCGTTTGTTCTTTTGATCTGTCAACTTTGCACAGAAACCGAAATCAGCTATCGAATGTTAAAAGAAAGTCATTTGTGAGGATGCGTTCAAAACATTATTTGTGAAAGGGGAAAAAATATAAAAAGAGATCGGTGTAAGTGATGATAACCACGAACAGTTGACTTACTAATCTTGACATGTCCATAAGAATCCATGAGAACGTTATCCGATTTGATGTCTCTGTGGATGATATTTTGGCTATGCAGATGCTGGAGACCCTTGCATGTCTATTCAAATAAATAAAAATGCAAAATAATGAGTCAGCAACAAATAATGCTCTTTTTTCTTCCCTCGTGTTTAAATGCTCTTAAATAAACTCGACGTGCATTAGTCCACACTGAATGATCATACCTCAAAGCAGATGCAGGCGATCTGAGTTTCTGATAGTTTGTTGTTCTCAATGACATCTGTCAGGGCACCTCCCTCCATGTACTCCATGACGACCCACAACTCTTGGCCCTTGACCAGAAAAGAATCCAGATAATTGACAATGTTGGGATTGGTAGATTCCTTCATGACTAAAATCTCGTTCACGACTAACTCCTTTCTTGGCTGTAGTGAAAGATCCATCTGTTTGATTGCAACTTTTGTATTCGTAGTCAAATGCTTGGCCACATAGACTGATCCAGAAGCACTATTAGACATTATAATAAACCCAAGTTATAAGTAAATAGATAAAGCACTTTAAGCTTATAAACTTCATTGAGCTTTTTTTTTTTATGAAAGGAAAAAAAAAAAAAAAAAAAAAAAAAAACTTACCCTTGACCAACTTTTTTGATCTTGCTATACAATGTGCTGGGATCGCCTGATGAAACAACGCTTCGCAACTTTTCCATGACCTCTGCTTCTGTCATGGTAGAGATGCGACGTTCAACAACAACCTTGGGCGCATTATCGCCATTCAAAGCGGCAGCAGCATCGGCTACAGCTGGTTTAGGAGCGACCGGCGGTCTGGCACCAGCCTCTGTAGAAGTTCCAGGATATTTGACAGCGATAGGCGCGGTATTGCTACGAAGAGGAGCGTATGGGGCAGGAGGACGAGTGCCAGACGGTGAGGGTGATGGCGAGGGCTGCTGATATGCTGGTGCATGGTGATGATGAGGCGCGTTGTTGAATTTGTGAGGAGGAGGATTGGCGAATTGATGGTTGGGCGCACGGGGAGACTAAGTGAAAAAGGGGAGCGGAGCGTTAGTGTCTTTGCTAGCGTAGCCTGAAATAAATCTCCTGTGATTTGATTGATCGAAGCAAAAAGTCAATAAATTAGGCAACTTACAGTCGGCGAGGGGGGAGCATAATCGGGACGCAAAGCATTAGGAGGTCTTGGCGCAGCTGGACGCCCGCCCGGTTGTTGATGGCCCTATTACGAGATAAACAATAGTTATTGTTATTACCTTTCTCTTTCTCTCTTTTTTTTTTTCTTTTTTTTTTTCTTTTTTTTTTTTTTAAAAAAAACAAAAAAAAAAAAAGACATAAATAAACAAAAGTAACTAATAAAAAAAAAAAAAAAAAAAAAAACTTACCCTGTCATCATAAATACCCAAGCTGGACATTCGTTGGGTTACCGGTAGGTTGTCAACACTCTGAGAACGTTCTGGAATATAAGGTCGGAGCTGTTCTTCTGGCCGATCTGGACGGTCTGGACGGTCTGGACGTTGGGGTCGCTCAGGACGGTTGCTAGAAGGAGGCGAAGGTGCCTGACGGGGCATGAGGTTTGCCCAGCGGTCACCTTCCATTTCGCTTGGGACGAGCGGGAGGTTGCTAGGAACCAGTGAAGGTGTACCATACTCCTGCTCGTTGCGCTTTGTTTGATCCGTGTAGAACTCTAGAACCTCCAGCACAGCCTGAGGGTTGTTGGCATAATCTTCCTTCGTAATAGCAGATCCAGTCAAAAGCTTTGCCCATGTCTCCGGCATACCCTAATAACATTAGGAAGTAGAGAGAGAGAAATATAAGCTAGAAGCAAATGTTTGTTTCCATGGTCTACTTTTGACCTTTTTTTTTTTTTTTTTTTTTTTTTTTGGAAGAGGAGGAAGCTATAATCGTTTGCCATACCGAGAAGTTGCCAGTGTTGGGGTCGAATCCAACATGGACCTTATGGACAAAGTTGGTGGGGTTGGAGACGCCCATCAAGGGCGATCGCGAGTAAATCTCGTGCATCCATGAGTACAACTCCTCGTCGTTCTTGCATGAGAGGAAATAGCTTCTGTCCTTGGTGACAAGCTCAAAGCAATAGGCTTTCAAATCTGTACGGGTTACTGCAGTAATATCCTTGAGAAAGATCAAAACTGTGGCCTGGGGTGTGGACTATAGTGAAATCAAGGATTTAATGTCTTGGTTAGAAAAAGTGATCGCCAAACATGAGCTCGTCTACTCTTTTCATTTTAGTGTATGAACAAAATAAGACACGAACAATGCTGTCATCTCATTCATCTCATTCATCTCGTAATCATTTCGCTTTCTGTGTGTAAGCAGCCTGCGGATGCTTGGAACAAATAAAAATGAGGGAGAAAAAAAAAAAAAAAAAAAAAAAAAGTCTCGCAAACAACTCGGTTCATAAAAAAAAAGAAAAGAAAAGAAAAGAGACTCCTGTTCTGATCCTGCAATGAAAGAATAGTCTGACAAGTCCTTTACAAGTGAGAGAAAACACAAAAGATTCAAGTCGAAGATTTACATTCTTTATCAACGGTGCAGCCTCTATTATGCCAGGCATTAATTTCAAATATATCGCTCCTCTGCCATGCCTTCAAAAGGCTATTGTTATCGTATCCAAAAAGGGATTTTCTTTTTTATGTATATGCCTCCGTCCACTCTTTTTTTTTTTTTTTTTTTTTTTTTTTTAAAAAAAAAAAGGTTGTCCTTCCTGGTCAGGAGTGTCCTCTGTAAATGTTGAATATTTGTTCCTGAAATTTTCCAGTGCCACAAAAAACAAATTGATTTGAAGTGTTACGAACCTCATTTCTGTGGAAGCTTAGGGTGAGCTCGCGTAATGTCATGTATCTCTTTGACCAGATAAAGGCCTTGAGACCTTCTTCCTTCACGGAGATGTGACCATGCTTCAAAACACCTGAAGGATTGGATGCTGTTTGGTCCCGCACAGATTGAATTGGTGTCAACTCCCTGTACCTAGAAAGTGGATTCGAATCGTCATTATGCATTGCCATTGTTGCTGGGAAAGATATCAGACAATGAAAATATAAAAGAAAAAGGTGTGGACAGCTCTTTCACACGAAGAAAGTAAGAAAGATACAGTTGAAAGAGGTGAGGATAGAATAAAGTAAAGTAAAATAAGAGAGCAGTTTTTCTGGATGAGACAAGCAATGAGTAGCTAACTAGGAAAGGAATAAATAAATAACAACAATAAAAAGGTAGTGCTCAGCTGAAACTTTGGACAGTCAAAAAAAGAGACAATGAGAAGGGGGAAGAATGGAAAAAAAGAAAAAGAAATGAGGAATGATGAGAAGAGGATGAAGGAGAGGAAAGGAGGAGGAGAAGAGAAAGAGAAAGAGAAAGAGAAAGAGCTCACACTCTGTCTTTGCTATAGTTTTTTTTTTTTTTTTTTTTTCCTCTCACAAACTTGTAACAAGTAACAAAGTACGCCTTGTGTTTGTCTGTGTTTGTGTTAATGAATAAAGTGTCTTTCTCCCACAGGGGAACTTTAAAAAAATGTCTCCTGGACTAATAATCCAACTACTGTTCACAACAAATTAGTCCATTGTCTGTGGGTTCTCTCTATTCTAATCCTAATCCAAATCCTAATCAACCCAAACACGAATGAATGTGCCCCTGTTGTTTGACACTGTATTGACGTCCTTTTTTTTTTCCTTACTCTCTTTCAATTACCACCCCATTTTTTTTTGTCCCTCAGCTCCTGCATGCTGACACGAGCCACAGAAAAAAAAAAATTCGAGTTCAGTGGACTGTTCTGGATTTAATTACATGATGCATGTTGAATGAAGATGAAAATCTTCTCTTCCCTTTGTAGAGTTGGAGTAGAAGAGTTGGAGTATAAAAAAATAAACACCACGCTCTTGTAAAATAAAACCTGGCTCTTATTTTGTTTCTTTGTCATATTCATCTTATTTCTTTCTTTCTTTAGCTCTTATCATTGTTTTAAATGCTTCTTTCTTCTCAATCTTGCGAATCTGTATTGTCTTAAAAGGGACATTTAGGCTACTGGAGTCCTCATCTGATGACCCTCCCCCTCTCTCCTTTTTTTAATTTTTTTTTCTTACACAAAATGAAGTGGCATGGTCTATCTGCAACGGTGGTATTATTTCCTGACAAAAGGTGTAACATTGAAAATTGCGCACAGATGGTCTATCCAAAAGGAGATTAATAATGATTTGGATGCAGATGTTACAGAATACAACAGTCGGCTCCTACAAACATGAACATTCAACATCATGAATAACTGTAACATGATCTGCTCAAATCTGTACATTAACTTGAATTGATCACTTTTTTTTCATTCATTTGGCTGATAGGCTGATAGGCTGATAGGCTGTTTGTCAAAAAAATAAATAAATAAAAATAATAATATTCCTGGCAATATTTATTTATGTAAATACATATATAATTATCAAGAACTACCAATCCCATATCAGCACAAAGAAATTGAGTTGCAAAAAAAAAAATAAACTCATTCATTTGTTGGGCACATGGCTAAATTTTATCATTGTTTTCATTCTTTGCCAGACTTTCAATGATCATCCTAGGCTCCAGTCTTCAACAGCGACTCACTTTCATCTCTCAAGTACTTGGAGCCTTGATACTCTTTACATCCTCTATATCCCCATATCACCTCTCGAGCTGGGTCTCCCGGCAAGGCCTTTCCATCACCAACTGCCATCCAAGGGTGAGGCCCTACCAGCCGATAAAACATTGGAAAAGGGGGACCAAAGATTGCCTCTATCTTCAAACGTGTCCCTTCTACCAGTCCAAACCGCCTCACGAGCTTTGAATAGCTTGGATAGCACCCAATGCGTTTAGCCAGTTTATCCATATAGGGATATGAATCAAATTGGATCATATGGTTAGCTCCCCACTCCTTTTGAGTCTCTCTCTGTTCCTTGACGATTTCTTCCTCCATTTGATCTGGACTAGGGATAGGTGTGAGTGAACGGTCTGCCCAGACTTGACACACAAATCGGCTCTGCATCTCGAGCACTGGAGCAAATGCGCCTTTAGGTCGGATGAGGCCAATGAATGCAATGTTGGGATGTCGAGGAGAAAACATAAACTTCCATAATTGGGCCTGGTTGTCCCCATTCCCACCACTGCTACTTGAAAGGATCTCTGGATCCAAGGTTGGGTAGCTGACCTGATAGCCTGTACACCACATGATCGTATCGATATCCTCCAAAGATGAGCCATCCTCAAACTCCACTCGCTTTCCTGGTCCAATTCGCTTAATATTGACCTTTGGCACAACCATACCAGTGTTGGTCCGCTCATGCAGCGAAGCACTAATGACTGTATTGGTCATAAATACTCTATGCTTTGGTTTCATCAATGGGTGCAGTTTAGGGAATGTCAATTTGATCAAAAACATTAAGGTCCATTGAACAAGGATCGCGGGAAGCATGTATATAAATCGAGTAATGAAATGATCCATAGGTTTGCCTAGTAGCCAACGAGGAAGTATCCAGACAGGAGTTCTCCGCGACAAGTATACCGGTGATTGACCCTGTGATAATTCAACTGCTAGATCTGCCCCACTATTGCCAAGTCCAACCACGAGTACATTCTGCTCTTTAAATTGATTAGGCTCTCGATAGAAATGTGAGTGGATCTGCTGTCCTGTGAAGGCATCGAGGTCATCAGGATCCATTCCAGGAAAGGATGGATACCGAGGGACTGAGTGGTGACCAGTACACATCATTACATAATCAAAGATCTCTTCTTGGACCACAAAATCTGCAGAAGTGGTCGCAGTGGTCGTTACTGGATGGAATCGTACGAGCCAGCGGTTACCTTCATCCTTTAGCTCTTGGACCTCGACCACTTTGGTGCTGAAACGGATATGATCCTTCAATTTATATCGCTCGGCATACATATCGAAATATTGGACAATCTTTCTGTGGTGAAGGTAGGTTGGCCAACTGCCAGGGATGGCAAAGTCGGAGAAGGTCATCATTTCTTTGGATACATTGATGGTAATGCTCTTGTAGACGGACGAATGAGGATTGGGATTCTCCTCTGTCACATCAACATACCGCCATAATCCACCAGTGTATGGCTCCTGCTCGAATGCAACCACCTCTAGACGATCCTTTTCATCCAAACATTGCTTGATAGAGGTGAGTCCAGCACATCCACCTCCTATGACTGCAACTCGTTTTCTAGGCTTAGTGTCATTTGGCTTGGCTAAATCCGCCATATAGGTAAACTAGTGTTCAAGGCCTTCAATGGCAAAAGATACAGAAAGGAAAGCGAAAGGATATTAAAGAAAAAAAATATGAAGTGAAGATGCTGGAATAAGCATCAACCTTTTTTTTATTTTTATTTTAAAGGGTTCGAGGCCATTGCCGAAAAAGAAAAGTGGCATATATCGCAGGGTCAAAAAGGAAGAAATGCGCTAGAGACACAGGACATCAAAGATCAAGTTTAGCTTATTGCTTCATGCTGGTAGCCTGAAGTTAGCCTAATTGCAGTATCAAGAGAAACCATTACAACAGATGACAAGGGAGTATCACATTTATATAGGATTGGAAAGATATAATCATGTGACAATTTTCTTGACCTGTCATCTTCCCTCAACTGAATGACTGAATCTAAACCTCTTGCCATTAAAGCTTTTTTTTAGATTTTAACTTTCAACAACCAATTCAATTACCCTCCAGAATGATGCCATCAACGAATCCACCCATGACTGCAGGAGAATTCCTAGAGGAATACATTGAGAGTAAGTAAGCCTCTCACATACACACAACTCATCACAAAGTGCTGCGCTAAGGAAATACTGCAACAAAGTATCTGCTCTATCTGCTTCGCCTGTCTTACTTGCCTTTTTTGTTCAACTAAGCCACATGATCCTTTTCTTTTTTTTTTATACATTTGTAACTTGGTATCCAAAGGTCTCGAGAACTTACCATCCGAGGTCCAGCAAGGTTTACAAGAATTAGGAAAGCAAGATGCGGAATACTTCGGTACACTATTTATTATTATTACTGTTTTTCTTTAAGAGGATGGGCCTCGAGGGGTCTTAGTTTTTGAGGATTTATTTGCTAATATTATTGTTACTGTTGCTATTGTCACCCTACAAAATTAGAACTTCGAGAGTCATATCGTACACACTGGAAAAGATACATTAAAAGCGCTAAACGATCAACCATACCTGTCAGTGAGGATCCTGCCCTAGTTGCTGCACGTTTGAACATTGAGGTTAGGATTAATTACTGTTCAGAGAATCTTTGTATTTTTGAGTATCAATCTAGTTTATCAATCAAAAACATCCTTCATGAAAAATATAGAAAGAATATATGGCAGCTATCCGGAAAGTCGACCAGAAGATTGAAAATAGCGCAAAGCTATATGAACTGGTAAGGATCAACTGGCAAAATAAAATAAAATAAAATAAAATAAAATAAAATATACTAAATAACCTTGTTCGATATACTAACTCTTTTTTTTTTTTTTTTTTTTTAATGTAAATATGCTTTTTGATTAGATCAATCGACAAATTGTACGACTGGATGAAGAAACACAACGACTTGGCATTGATCTTCAGGATCCTGGCGAAGTGAAGAAAGGTATTTTTACTCCCACCTTTCTACCTCTTTTTTTTTTTTTTTTTTTTTTTTATTGGAAGTTTCATATTTATTTCATCTGTCCTATTTCTCTGAAATCGTCTTCTTCTGTTGATGATCTATACAACATGAAGCAGCCCACTTGGACACTCCTACAGCCACCAGAGGTATATTAATCACAAATCTTGAATAAGATATAAAAAAATCAATGACGAAGACATCCTAGAAGTGTATTGTATTTCTTGTGGTGTCTCTCGTCTTCAAATGTCATTTTGAAAGGGAAAATATGTCTAACCAGCGCTTTTTCCTCCACCTCCTCTCATTTCTCATTTCTCCTTTCATCTTTTATTTTATTTTATTTTATTTTATTTTTTTTATTTCACATCTTTTTTCTCCTTCACCTTCTCTCCTTGCTTGTTGCTCCCCATTCTGAAATGGAAACAAAAAAAACCCCTTTTTTCGAGTAGACCGTAAAAGTCAAAAGGGACCTATTTCAGCACCCCGCAGCAGCCCCAGCGGGAGGAAGCGTGGAAGTGGTGCCATTGCAATGGATATTGATCCCAATGAACCCCTCTATTGCTTCTGCCAACAAGTTTCGTTCGGAGACATGGTCGGATGCGACAACGACTCGGTTAGTAAAAAGATTTTGATCTGCGCGTATACGTATCGTTGTTGCTGCTAAAGAGCCTACCTAGTTAATAACTACCTTTTTTTTTTTTATTTATTTTTTTTTTGAACCAATTAGTGTGACAAGGAGTGGTTTCATTACGGTTGTGTGGGCTTGACAGAGCCGCCAATCGGCAAGTGGTACTGCGCCACTTGTTCAGCGAACATGAAAAACCAGAATCGCAAGTAGAAAGAGGTTTTCCTTTCTCAATTGCTGCAGATCTTTATCACATCATTTGTACAATAATAAATAAATAAATAAATAAAATACTTTAGATATTGGATATTGGCGATGCAAAGGTTGTCTGTGAATCGCCTCTTTCTCATCCTTAAGCACGAATCAGATCTGTGTCCCTGATAGGGACTGTTGAGGAGGCCATTGATTTGTCATTTCGATCTTGTAATAGTTTAATATTTATTTTACATCTATTGTTATAAGATCAAACCCTTGATACTCTACGGTTATCTTTGGCTCAGGTCTTCAACAGCGACTCACTCTCGTCTCTCAAGTACTTGGAGCCTTGATACTCTTTACATCCTCTATATCCCCATATCACCTCTCGAGCTGGGTCTCCCGGCAAGGCCTTTCCATCACCAACTGCCATCCAAGGGTGAGGCCCTACCAGCCGATAAAACATTGGAAAAGGGGGACCAAAGATTGCCTCTATCTTCAAACGTGTCCCTTCTACCAGTCCAAACCGCCTCACGAGCTTTGAATAGCTTGGATAGCACCCAATGCGTTTAGCCAGTTTATCCATATAGGGATATGAATCAAATTGGATCATATGGTTAGCTCCCCACTCCTTTTGAGTCTCTCTCTGTTCCTTGACGATTTCTTCCTCCATTTGATCTGGACTAGGGATAGGTGTGAGTGAACGGTCTGCCCAGACTTGACACACAAATCGGCTCTGCATCTCGAGCACTGGAGCAAATGCGCCTTTAGGTCGGATGAGGCCAATGAATGCAATGTTGGGATGTCGAGGAGAAAACATAAACTTCCATAATTGGGCCTGGTTGTCCCCATTCCCACCACTGCTACTTGAAAGGATCTCTGGATCCAAGGTTGGGTAGCTGACCTGATAGCCTGTACACCACATGATCGTATCGATATCCTCCAAAGATGAGCCATCCTCAAACTCCACTCGCTTTCCTGGTCCAATTCGCTTAATATTGACCTTTGGCACAACCATACCAGTGTTGGTCCGCTCATGCAGCGAAGCACTAATGACTGTATTGGTCATAAATACTCTATGCTTTGGTTTCATCAATGGGTGCAGTTTAGGGAATGTCAATTTGATCAAAGACATTAAGGTCCATTGAACAAGGATCGCGGGAAGCATGTATATAAATCGAGTAATGAAATGATCCATAGGTTTGCCTAGTAGCCAACGAGGAAGTATCCAGACAGGAGTTCTCCGCGACAAGTATACCGGTGATTGACCCTGTGATAATTCAACTGCTAGATCTGCCCCACTATTGCCAAGTCCAACCACGAGTACATTCTGCTCTTTAAATTGATTAGGCTCTCGATAGAAATGTGAGTGGATCTGCTGTCCTGTGAAGGCATCGAGGTCATCAGGATCCATTCCAGGAAAGGATGGATACCGAGGGACTGAGTGGTGACCAGTACACATCATTACATAATCAAAGATCTCTTCTTGGACCACAAAATCTGCAGAAGTGGTCGCAGTGGTCGTTACTGGATGGAATCGTACGAGCCAGCGGTTACCTTCATCCTTTAGCTCTTGGACCTCGACCACTTTGGTGCTGAAACGGATATGATCCTTCAATTTATATCGCTCGGCATACATATCGAAATATTGGACAATCTTTCTGTGGTGAAGGTAGGTTGGCCAACTGCCAGGGATGGCAAAGTCGGAGAAGGTCATCATTTCTTTGGATACATTGATGGTAATGCTCTTGTAGACGGACGAATGAGGATTGGGATTCTCCTCTGTCACATCAACATACCGCCATAATCCACCAGTGTATGGCTCCTGCTCGAATGCAACCACCTCTAGACGATCCTTTTCATCCAAACATTGCTTGATAGAGGTGAGTCCAGCACATCCACCTCCTATGACTGCAACTCGTTTTCTAGGCTTAGTATCAGTTGGCTTGGTTAAAGCTGCCATATAGGTAAACTAATGCGTCACGGTTCTGAATGGCAATTGCTGCAGGAGGGGAAAATGATATGAAAAAAAAAAAAACCATGGGCCCTTTTTATTTTATTTCGGGTCAACAATAAACCTTATTTATGAGCATTTTGGTCTATTATTTACAGAGTGCTAATGGGACTAGATTTCAGTCCATTCACTCTTCTTACAGGCAAAACATACTCCATGAACTACTCTGAAGACTACTATATAAAAGAATTGCGAGGAAAGCCAAAAGGGGTTAGACGAGTTCTTATAGAAAGGAAACTTTGGAGAAAGGATCTTAAGATGATATGTGCGAGCTGCAAGGTTCGTGATTATTCTAATAATCAAAGCTCATGTTGTTGTACACGCATTTTGGAGCTACAAGAGGATTTTATGGCACAGCGATTACTTCTAGAGGAGATTGCAGGCAAACATGAGCAGCAAATCATTTTCTATCCAAAGTACCACTGCGAACTGAACTTCATCGAGATGTTCTGGGGTGCAAGCAAGCGCTATACTAGAGCAAACTGTGATTATACTTTCAAAGGTCTGCAAGAAACAATACCAAAGGCATTGGCTTCTGTAACTATACTTAGTATTCGAAAGTATGCAAGGAGGAGTTTCCGATACATGGACGCATATAGGAAGAATATGTCTGGCCAACGTTGCCGAGCTGCAAGTGAAAAATTATAAATCTCATGGCGCATTCCAGCCAATTGGGATTTGAGGACAGAATAGACTACCCTTAATATCGTTTTGATGTCATCTCAATTAAAGTTTCAGCCAATTATAATTTAAGATTTTTTGGTGCAATTTTTCCCTCACATAGTAAAATAGTCCATCTTTTTTCTTTATGAACTTGGAAAGAAAAAGTCATACCGATAAAAACCCATCGTAACTTTGTAGAGAATTGGCAAACGAATAACATTGCGATGAGTTTCCTTGTCTAGCTTTCATGGAGAGTGAGAACATACATTTCCCTCGTGGCCTATTATTTTCCCTAAAAAAGTGTGTGACTAGGAGGAATACACTGTACTCACTGCACCTAGATCCTTACAAGGTGTTGCTGACTTCAGCGGTCTATCTTCATAAATTCTTTCATTCGATCATAACAATTTTTTTTTTTTTTTTTTTTTTTTTTTGACAAAATGTCAAAGATCAAGTTAGGGGTTTTTTTTGACCGTTATGCCAAGCCGATTCATTAGCAGTATCAAAAGCCAGCTTGAATGCATGGCGGTATAAATGATTTGGTACACTTATGTGAGCCAAGCATGGGGTTAATACATTCTGCGTTTCTGCGTTATCCAGCAAAATGGAGCATGATCACGCGCTTTTTTTTTTTTTTTTTTTTTTTTTTTTTTTCACTTGCACGCAAACAGACACGCGTCGCCATGGACCATTTTATGAAAGGGAGAATGGCTTTATTGCATTATATCTATTGTCCATTTTTTGCTTGCTGCAAGCTTACCACGAGTGGTGAAATGCCACTATAGCATTCGAAATACTGACATGTTGAGTTGTTAACAGACCATTTAACTGCTAAAAATAGTTACCACAGTAAATCTGCTAACCTAACTACAACAACTAAAGCAGCAGTTCCGTATGTTTCACAGATGGCAAGATCGCTGTTGCTAGCGTATCCTGCGGACATAAAGAGCTTTTTGATGGGTCTAAATGCTCATCCAATATATCATTTGAATTGGAACTAGGGCCATGAAGCAAAAGGGTATTTCGTTCCAATCGACGGAAAAAAATAACCATCATTTTTAACATGCTAATTAGTAACTCGCGAATACTCGTTATATCTAAAGGAAAACCTTGAGAGTCTCTCACGGCGAAGCATGATAAAATTGCCTTTTACGTGGTCTAGTGAGATTACTTGAAGGGATCGAGCTTGGAGCTGAAGGCTCAAACTTTCAAGATAGTACCTCACTGTTAAGAGTTCTTTAGGGCAGTTTTTCATTGGCTCCGCCGATTTCAGAGTACCCAGTATTATCGTTATCAATTGGGGCCACCTCGATCCCACCTATCTCCAAGCCGCAGTTCTTTGAAATAAACAATCCATCAACTCGCCTTCCCATCCGCTTTTTTGTCAGATTTTTACAATAAGAGCTAGCCTTGGTTTATTCGCTCACCGTGGCCTAGCTCTATATCGGTATGATTGAGGACGTAGTCATCAGCTAATGGTTTCCAGAGGTGTAACTCATACCACCACTCGGTCTGCTCTTTTCCTAATCCATTGTAGTGTCGTCACTTTAATAGCTCTGCGAACGTATTGGTGGCTTTATAGATCCATCTCCTGTAACAAAGGGCTTTCCAAAGCTCGCTTTCTTCAACTTGATTCCTATTATCAGAGCCGTTTGTCATCAGCCGATTGAACTGCGTAATTGTGTATTTAACTCGTTACTCTTCTAATATTCGAACCTCTACTCACCGAAAGATTAGGAGCACTACCTAGCGAAGAAATGGAGTGCTTATGGTTCCGTTACTAACTAGGTCTAAAGGCACCTCCTATGAAGATGATAGTCAAAGGCAATTCCTTAAAGAAGGGCGCAGAAGTAAAAAAAAAAAAAAAAAAAAAATGCTTTCAAAGTCTTTCTCTTTAGGTAAGGATCTGCAATTGAAAAGGACAAACCCAAAAGAGCAAACAACACAGATCTTCTGTATAAGAAATCTGATCCCAACGCGCTTCTTATCCTTTGATCTAAATTTTCATGGACAGAAGAATGGTATTACTCGAGCATATGAAAACTATGATCCTTTCACTTATAAATTTGTGAAAGAAGGGGCTGTTCTCCCCCAATCATTATTATATCGAGCGCTTCGCAGAGCTAACGCGAGAACCCCTCAAAGCCCTCGCTGCTGCCATCATGGGTTTAAACTTCTTGGGTTGCATTTGGGATGTCATATGCGCAAGGCACTTCCCACAAGTTTTTTTTTTTCGGCACCATATTCCAGGAAGCTGGTGCGGTTCGTATGGTGGCAACGTGCGCTGCCAAAATATCTATGAATGCTAACAACACCATATCCTAGCAATGTGAGCCTGCAATCAATCATTTTTTTTTTTTTTTTTGTTCAGAACATTTTTTAGGCCAGTATGGAGACTCAGGAACATACCTCTAACAAAAATGTAATCATGGAGGTAGAAAAGAATAAAGATAAACACTTGTATATCTTTAGTCTAGGTAGAAGGCGAAAGTTGGGAAATACACAGAGGATTAGAGGCTATTTAAAGATTAATGTTGCTGTTTTTTTTTTTTTTTTTTTTTTTGTTTGCATCTTCAGCATACAAATCGAGCAGGTCAGAACACCAGCTTGCCTCTGCGCACCATAATTGTGGCCTCATATGGGTGACAAGGAGCCAATAACCGGTTGTTCTCTTCTCGTAGGAAGTACAGAGTTGATGAAAGCTAAATGGGCAAATTTGCCCGTTCTACGGTCCAAGGGATAAAGTCGACTGTAATAACTCTGGATGGCAATTCCTCAGTTTTTCTGGTCAACGTTTCACCACTCTGGATGGCTTCAGGCAAAACTATTTAATAACAGAAGCCGAATGGTTTACAGGATTTAGTTGTAGACAAGCTTATCCTACATCCCACTGAGAGAGGATGGAGGACGGTAGACAAGCAATTCTTTAAGAATACCACATAATGCAAAGATAATAGGTGTGAAGAAGGATGCGGCGAAATATTCGGTCTAGAACAAAGAGACACATCTGGCCGGCCTCCCATTGATTAAGTCCAAATTTTCTTAACAGGCAAATTTGCCTGCCGAACATAGAAGTTTCTGATTGAATTTATTATTATTACTATTACTACTATTACTTTTTACATAGCAGCACCGCCTTTATCTAAAGCTTGCTCGAGGCCTTCGAGTTGTTGCTGGAGCTCATTAATCCTGGCTTGGAGTTTGGCCTCTGTTACTGAAAACTCTTGGGATGTGGATGACTCACCATTATTACTTTCATTGCCATTGTTGCTCTGCTCTTTGTGGTCATTGAGGCTCTTCAGCCAATCCTGAGCACCCTTCCGCTGGAACTCTCGATGTCTCTCCTCGCGTTCCGTTAGCCATGCCCACATCGCATCTTCTTGCTCACGCGCATAGCGCTCTTCTGGACTTAGCTCTGCATATTCAAACGCATTTGTGCCGTCCTCACTTGTATCCATCATGAATGAATAGCTGCCCTTGTGTTGGTGGCCTTTGCCGTTTTCACGCATTTGTCCAAGGATGTCACTCTGGATCCGTTCAATCTGTGAAGTGACGTTTGAAATCTGAAACCAGATGTAAATGTTGGCAAGCATAACTAGTAACAGGACAGCCACTAGAGCAAAATGAGATGCACCCTCACTATCTGCCGAACTAAACATGCTAGTGATCCTTGACCAGACACCTCCTATGCCTCCTGCCTCTACTTGATTGTCCTTATTCTTGTTCTTGTTCGGTGTAACAGAAGTCGTGGGGGATACTGGAGGCAAAGGTTTGTTTACATCCACACCCTCTGCAAGCATATCTTTGTCTAGCTTGTGATTTTTCTTTACGCTACGGCTACTGGTCCGTGACCGTGCAGGGCTTTGCTTGGGTGTAGATGAGGACACTGTGTCAGCAGTAGCTCCGTTGCTTGAGCCTGATCCTCCAAACTCTTCAGGGTGATCTGCGATGTATTTGTTGATGCTCTGGTGCAATTCTTTATAATGTGCTGTCATTCCTTCTCCAGCGCCTTTTTCAATCTGACCCTTGATCCAACTACTCTTTGTAAACTCGATTGCACCTGTCACCACGACTTGGATCTGATTGGGACCTGCCCAGGTGATACAGGTACGGCATTTTGTGGTAAAGCATCCACCAGAAGGAACATCGGGTGTAGACGTTGTCGTTACATTTGTTACATAGTCATCAAAGTCTTTGTGTTCACAGACATCCGTAAGGGTCGCTTTCGTGGTCTTGGGTCCGATCGGCATACCCAACCATTTAGTATATTTGGTGACCTTAGTTGAGGTTCCATCAGCTGCATCACGCCAGGGTTCCTCCTGTACATCAGCGCCCTTCATTGCATCACTTGTTAAAAAGCTCTTGGTGAAATCCGATTCAAACAGGAGCTTCCACATGCTTTCTATTGATCCTGGGTATTTTTCAGACATGTATGTGTTGGCATAATGGCGACCATCCCCGGAGCATTTGCAGGTTGTGGGGGAATGGTTAGTATTATTTGATGACTTTGATGCTCCTCCTGCATTTAGTCCTGTATCAGCTGCCCCGTTAGAACGGTTTGGATCCAATGGTTCCGATCCTATGCTTGGTCGAGATGTCTCAGATGAGTTTTTGCCAACGCCCGATGATTTGCTTTCGATCGAACCTCGTCGTCCATAGTCGAATGAAGGGGGTGGAGGTGGTAGTTCCGATACAGAGCGTCCTCGTCCTTTTCGATGTTCTATTAGGAAAACACGGATAATATCAAATTTATCCTCGAATTAATTGTTGTCCTTTTGCGTTTGCATCAATGTTGATCATCTCAGTATCTCTAAAGCTACATACCGCTTTTGTTGTCGTCATCATGAATGATAGGTGCAATCACCTCTGTTGATCGATAACCAAAAAGAAAAAGAAATAAAAGCTACTCAGTATTGAAACATGTACCCATAATGGCACACACAAAAACATCTAAAAAAAAAAAAAAAAAAAAAAAAAAGAAATAAAAGAAAAAAGGAAAAACGACAATATCTCTTTTGCTTATTTACCTTTTAGAATCTTCTTCACCACTTTCCTCTTGGATCCACGTCGTCGATGGCCACCTGTCCAAGGTTTACCATCCGCATCATGTTCATCCCAGTCGGCTTCATCTGCAGTCCAGTGCTGTGAGGCGGATGAGGAGCTTCTATGCCTGTTTCTCTTTGATTCTGTGGAGGCTACCCGTACAGAACTAAACGATTCGGCATCATCTTCATCCTCATTCAAGGTAGTACTTGATCTGTCCTGTCTAATGTAGACATTGTTGGTAAGTGCGGATGTATTCGCTGCACACGGGAAGGATTTTCGCCAGGCAGCCATTAATAAGTCATATGCAGTATCACGGGATAAGAAAGACGCAAAGAAATGCCCCTTGGTATTAGTAGCAGTGACAATACTAATCGCATTGGGGATCACAAATGCTGTGAGGCGTTTCTCGATAGCGATAATCTCGGAAAAGGCAATCACCAGCTACAAATATTTTGAGGGAAATCATGCGGAGATGCGATGCGTGTATAAAGAGATGTATGTTGTGTAGTAATTAGTATATGGTCCTTGATACTCTACAAAAACAAAAATAAAACGACATTGAAAGGAAGGCTACGGGTGCATCGTGTTTTTCTCTATTGGATTTGCTTACATTAGTGACCCATCCAAAGATGTTGGCATTAAAGCAGACATGGTTCTCGCTGATGTAGAGCCGGCCTTGCACGAGGATCTCCTTCTGCAGAGCACAACCGTAATCTATTTTAAATCATAAGAAAAGAGAAGGTCCAAAAGTTCAAGAGACGATGCGTCAGAGCCAAATTCATTTTTCATTTGTCCTTTTTCATTCCCAAGAGATGGGAACAATGTGATTGAAAATATTTATATGAGCCTCCATCCAAATCAGAAAATAAAAAGATAAAAAAAAAAAAAAAAGAGCATGCTGCGCTGTAACCCACATTGAGATTCAAACAAAAACAAATTAGGTCTGGATGGACATGGTCAGGCAATGGGGGGTATATTGACCTTTTGATATGCCTCCTTGCAGATAGCTTGAGAGGAAGTATAAAAGTGATGAAAAAGAACTTGCAATGATTTAACTTGGTGTATCAAGTCATTTCAAAGCAGTATGCGAGAAGGAGAGAGAGAGAGAGGGAGAGAGAGGAGGAAACAAAGTTTGGTTGGAATGTTGACCAATGTTCTGTTTTTGAATCTATTATCCGATTTGTTTTTGTTCAATACAATGTAGACATGCAGGTTGGGCACGACCAAAATAAAAACAGAGCACAGATCGATGGCTAAAAGAAAATGTGGGTCGATTCTCTTTTGCTTTTGTTCTGAACCACACAGCTCGTCTTTCAGTATGACTTTAACCCTTTTTTTTTTTGCCCAAGTTCTCGGAATAATGTTTGTTCTGAAAGAGAAAAGAAAAGGGGGGAATGGAGGCGAATGAATGGGTTTGTGGATTTGTATGGGAGGAGGTTTTTTTTTTCTTACCCTCAATCAGCTTTTCTTCTTCCGGTACACTTCGGAAAAGCGCATGAAAGTCGTTGAAACGTTTCTCGTTAGCATATACGAAATTAATGTTGGCATCGTCTCCCTCATTGCTGTCCCTGCTTAATGGGCCAATCTCGTCATTTTGGACAAAAGGCTGTTGGCCATGAGTACCAAAAGTTTCTGGAAAACTGCCTGGACCAGTTGGAGCTGTGTACGTAGAGGGGTCAACATTGTTATTGCTATAGTCTGTGTTGTAGTTATTATATGGACTAGCACCTCCATTCATTTGAAATGCCTCCATGGTCATCAGGTCAGACTGAGATGGGTCCATTGTTTTATGTACTGCTGGATTGGTGCTGTTATTACTGTACTGAGTATTTGCTGGTATAACAAGCTGCTGAGGGGCGTTATTGCTGTTGCTGTAGTCGGAGGGGAGAGTAGATACAGAAGTGGGAGAAGAGTGAAGAGTGCTGTCAGCAGGTACAGAAGTAGGCACAGAAGGCGGTGCGCAAGGCAAGGTAGTGGTATTGGTGATTGAAGTAATTGAGGTAGAAGGTAGAGAGGGAGGAAGGGAATTAACAGTGGACTGTGAAAAGGCCGTTGCAGGCGATGTGGACATTGATTCGTTTTGCGTGGCCTGTGTGCTCTCTTCCGTTACTGGCAACACAGCAGGAACAGGTGAAGCAGCAGCAGCAGCAGTCCCATAGTTGGCCTCATGGACAATGGCATCCACACCTCCATTCTCATGAGCTTGGCCCTGGTCGGTCTTGTTGCTGCTGGTGTTACTACTGTTAATGTTACTGCTACTCATAATATCCCCATTATCGTTGTCTGAGTTATGGCTGATGCCTAGGATGTCAGTCGTCTTGTTGGCCACATTACGAACACTTGCCAGGAACCCAGAAGAAGAATGGGATTGTGTAACATCGTCGTTACTGCTTTTGGGCTGCAAGGCTGGGTTCTGCTGTGATTGATCGAGCTGTGCAGAGCCTTCTTGCTGTAATCCAAGTTGCGGCTGCTGCTGTTGTTGCTGCTGCTCTAGGACTAAGGTATCACCAATGCTAGCCATTGAGCAGTTGATAAATGATAAAAGAGGGGATAGTCAAGACCAAAGAAGAAGGAAGACAGGAAGTGCAGGTAAGGAATAACGGAATAAAATGCAGTGTCGTGTGGATGGAAGGTGAGCTATTTATGAAATAAAACTAAGAGTGAGCTGGCTGACTGGTTGATTGTATGAGAGATGAGCAACGAGTAGAAAGATGAAGTGAGGTGAGGTAGAGGTAAAGTAAACTATGAAAGGAAGGATGACAATGTAAACCGCTTTCTTTTCGAGCGCAAGAAAAAAAAGAAAAAAATAGTAAGAAGAAGAAGGATGGCAATGTTGATGCAGCTGGTTTTATGAAACTGTCAAAGGAATGTGGAGAGGAATATTTACCATCGTGGCCTTGAAGTCATAGTTAGGCCATACTAGCCATGATGGGTCAATGATGCGTGTGCGCCACAGTTGCACACAGCATGGCCATTGTGGAGGTACAAAACATTGGATTTGAGCTGCTTCACGATGATGCTGTCTGTGAGATCTGTAAGGTTAAGATTATTTATGTCATCCAAATGTCATTGTCTCAAACGCGATCTTGTCTTTCGTGCCATCAGATCAAGCCTATGAATCTGTGAAAAGGATACGTCTCCTTTTTCCGAAAATACATTCATTTTTACTTCCTCACGACGTTATAACCATGATGGATCATCCATGGTACATTTGCCACTCGCGTGGCTCAAAATAGAAAACGTTACTTTTAAGCCATCTGTGCCTATCTCTTACATTTGCTTCGCCAACAGCCGGATACGGAGTGATCGAATAACTGTTCCTATATCTGGAGTCTTCTCAATCTGCATCTACAATAATTCTTGCGGAAGAATCTTCATCTCATTGAAGTGAAGCTTTATTAAAAAAAAAAAAAAAAAAAAAGCTGCAGAACAGGCTAGTGCTGATGCCCAGAAAAAGTTGAAACCACTCAATCCTTCAAAACGCCCTTGTACATTTAGTATGAAGTGTTGCTAGATATGTCTCGGTGGTCATTATGATCACAGAGCTAAAGTTGATGTAGCATCAGCATCACTCCCTATTACCCTCTAGTTTCTTGATCTTTGAACTGTATGAGCACGGTCAACATTTTCGTACCAGCAGGCCTTCCACCTGTGAGATGGAAATAACAGTTGTGGAGAAATGGATGATGAGGATTGGATCGCAACAAACTACGCTTGAGTAAATACTAGGTTAGAATAAAGCCTCTAGAGTACTGCTTAAAGATACTCTTCCATACGAGATTTCCTTAAGGCGGAAGGCATCAGCTTGTTATTAGGATCCTTTACATATTTATTGTGCTATAGAAATAGAAATATGATTACAATCCCTCTATGAGCCATACACCCGATATTGGAGCAAATGGTCACTGATGCACTAAAAAAAAAAAAAGAGAAACTCAGGGGCGATGGAAAACGCGTATCATCATAATCAACAAAAAAATCATCTGATGGGAATATGGATATGCTTCCATCACACTTGCCAAATAAAGACGTCCTGTCCATCTTTCTCAGCCCCTCTCTTTCTTTTCTGTTTCCTTAAAACCCTGTCCCTACTTATATTTCCACCACCACTAAGCAATAAACCAGACACTATGGCTATCACTAAGATCCACGCAAGACAGATTTACGACTCTCGCGGCAATCCCACTGTGGAGGTTGAAGTCACCACTGGCAAGGGTAAATTGGGGGGGCGAACATATCATAAATGACTTTCAAATGCTTCCTTTCTCCCCTTTCTTTCGTTCTTTCTTTCGTTCTTTCTTTCGTTCTTTCTTTCGTTCTTTATAAATATTTTTGTGGGTTCTTCTACCATATTAAGATTAATTGTGAGATTACTCTATTCTAAAATTGCGTTAGGTGTATTCCGTGCCGCTGTCCCCTCCGGTGCCTCCACTGGCGTCCATGAAGCGCTTGAACTTCGTGATGGCGATAAAAATGCCTATGTAGGCAAAGGTAATTGCGCAAGCTTTAAACATGCGCTGCTGAAGCAATAATGGAGGAGCAGGATCGTCAAGGCTCTGTGGGTGGTTTTTTTTTTTCTTTTTCTTTTTCTTTTTCTTTGAAGTGACCACTTAGCCATGACAACGAATGATAAGGAATTGGCGTGAGAAAATTATCGGGATAATTATCCTTGTGACATTTTAAAATCTTTGAAAACGATGCATGGGGACTAAACATTACAGAATTGCGTGATCTAGTCTGACATGATAATTGGGGAGGGGTTTTTTATTATTATTCAAATGCATAGGCGTCCTCAAGGCTGTAGAGAATGTCAACAAGGTCCTTGGCCCAAAGTTGATCGAAGCTAACATCGATGTCAAGGATCAAACCGCTGTCGATGAGTTTTTGATCAAGCTGGATGGAACCGACAACAAATCCAAGTATGGTGCAAATGCTATCCTCGGTGTCTCTTTGGCTGTTCTCAAGGCTGGTGCTGCTGATAAGGGTGTCCCTCTCTACCGCCATATCGCTGACCTGGCTGGACATAGTGGCAAGAAGTTTGTGCTCCCAGTCCCAGCTTTCAATGTCATCAATGGAGGATCGCATGCTGGTAACAAGCTCGCCATGCAAGAGTTCATGATTCTCCCTACTGGAGCCAGCTCATTCGCAGAGGCCATGAAGATTGGCTCTGAAGTCTATCATGCTCTCAAGAAGGTCATCAAGGAAAAGTATGGTCAGGATGCCACGAATGTTGGAGATGAAGGTGGATTTGCACCAAACATCCAGGACAGTGCTGAGGGCCTTGATCTCTTAGACTTGGCTATCCGTAATGCCGGATATAGGGGAAAAGTTAAGATCGGCATGGATGTAGCTGCCTCGGAGTTCTATGATAAGAGTGACTACAACCTGGACTTCAAGAGCGCTGATTCGGATCCTTCAAAAAAGCTGTCAGGTCAACAGCTTTCAGCCCTCTACAAGGAATTCACGGAGTACTATCCGATTGTATCGATTGAAGATCCCTTTGATCAGGACGATTGGGAAGCCTGGTCCCAGCTTGCAGAATCAACTGATATCCAGATTGTAGGCGATGACTTGACTGTTACCAACCCCAAGCGTATTACCACTGCTGTTGAGAAAAAGGCATGTAATGCCCTTTTGCTCAAGGTCAACCAGATCGGAACTATTACAGAATCTATTCAGGTACATTATAACTAAATGCCGAGGAGTTGCTTCATAGTCTTTACAGTATAATGCGTTCCTAACTAACTACCTCTTTAATTTTGTTTCTTTTCTTCCTCTTAAACAGGCGGCAACTCTTTCGCAGAAATCAGGATGGGGCGTAATGGTTTCTCATCGCTCTGGCGAGACAGAGGACACGACAATTGCGGACCTTGTCGTTGGTCTTCGTACAGGTCAGATCAAGACTGGTGCTCCCTGCCGGTAAGAGAAAAATTCTCATTCGTCTTTGCTGCTTTCACTCATTCCCAATTGTATATGGCGTATTGTGTCAATTGATGTCGGTCTATCTGACTTTTTCATTGACCATTTCCCTATTCTCTTTTCCTTTTTTTTTTTTTTTTTTTTCGTTGTTTTTCTTCTGACATTTAATAGCTCTGAACGTTTGGCCAAGTATAATCAACTTCTTCGAATTGAGGAAGAGTTGGCTGGCGATTCTATTTATGCGGGAGATAACTTCCGTAAAGCTCATCTTCTTCCGTAGAATATCTCACTCGTCCCTTAAAAAAAAAAAGCTTTTCACAGCCACTGTACATCCAATATCGAAATAGGACCTTGCTTTTTTTTAAAGACAATGATCTGCAAAGGAATAAACCAAAAAGAAAAATCAATAATAATAATAATATATATAGTAATATATATAACAAAGTATTCAGGATGAGTCTTTGTTTTTATGGTGATCGGAGCCCCAAGTGACATTCATTTTACCCCGCATTCCGTTGCATTAAAGAACCGTCTCCTCTTCTCTTACTTCATTTCCTTATTCTTCTTTTCTTCCTCTTCACTCTTCTTGCAGCAAATAAGAAAACCTTCATTTATAAGGTCCCTTTGTTCTTCATTTCCACCACCATCATTTACCATTAATTGAGACTTATACTTAACCTACACTAATCATGGCTATCAGCAAAGTCCATGCTAGACAGATCTTTGATTCTCGCGGTAACCCAACTGTTGAGGTCGAAGTGACCACTGCCCAAGGTAAGTGTATTTCTCTATAAAACAGCAGATCATTCGCTTACCGCTCGCTTGTAGTTACTTCTGTTCACCTTTTCCTGCCCTCCATGTACGCAATGACATATAAAAATAAACGCCTTTTTTTTTTTTTTTTTTTTTTTTTCTCCCATATAAACCTTTTATGAATAGGCGTTTTCCGTGCCGCTGTCCCCTCTGGTGCTTCTACTGGTGTTCACGAAGCCCTCGAGCTTCGTGATGGCGACAAGGATGCCTATGTAGGCAAAGGTAAGTTTTTTTTTTTTTCCCCCTCTTTTTTTCTCTTTTCTTTTTTTTTTTTTCCTTCTTTTCTTTACTTCATTGGTGCTCCAAAAGCCATTCAAAGCATCCCTCAAAGTATGCTCTGCGACATGTGTGATTTATCGGATTAAGGAAAAAAAAAAAAAAAAAAAAAAAAAAGGGTCCGGAATACATCGGGATTGAGTAAATGAGTAAATGAGTAAATGAGTAAATGATTATTACTTCTCCAATAATAATAATAATAATAATAATAATGGTAATAAAAAGAGGAGCACGGGAATGATCTCGAAAGGTTAAACAAATAATGACATGGCGAAGAAAGTTATCCAGCCCATGTTACAGGAACCAACCTTCGGAATGTGTTTTTTTTTAAAAAAAAAATACACAAAACCCTAATTAAGAGTGTAACAATGTTTATAAAAATACAAAGTATATATATATATATATAATCCGTGGACAAAAAAAAAAAAAAAAAAAAAAAAGCTCTGTAAATAGCGCGTGTTTTGTCGGGAGAAAAAAAAAAAAAAATAGATTTGTATAAATCGCGTCATGAAAAATAGTATTGAGAGAGGATATCCTTTTTAGGAGCTGCGGAGACATTGATGCATCGGATACCATCGGAAGTCGAAAAAATCGGCTCAGAAACAGGAGCAGGAGCAGGAGCAGGAGCAGGAGTAATAATTAGGCTATTGCCTTTTACCTCCGTCTTTTTCATTTAAATTAGACTTGGTGGCAAATTAGAGCCAAAGCCCATCTTTATCATATCCATTCACACTATTTATTTATTTATTTTCCTTCAGCCTGACCACCATCAATACACGACTTCTTCAAATCTTTTACTAACCCAATCTAACGTGGGGATTCTAACCCATCTTTGTTTATTGGCCTATGTAACTATAACAGGCGTTCTCAAGGCTGTAGAGAATGTCAACAAGGTCCTTGGCCCAAAGTTGATCGAAGCTAACATCGATGTCAAGGATCAAACTGCTGTCGATGAGTTTTTGATCAAGTTGGATGGAACCGACAACAAATCCAAGTATGGTGCAAATGCTATCCTCGGTGTCTCTTTGGCTGTTCTCAAGGCTGGTGCTGCTGATAAGGGTGTCCCTCTCTACCGCCATATCGCTGACTTGGCTGGACATAGTGGCAAGAAGTTTGTGCTCCCAGTCCCAGCTTTCAATGTCATCAATGGAGGATCGCATGCTGGTAACAAGCTCGCCATGCAAGAGTTCATGATCCTCCCCACTGGAGCCAGCTCATTCGCAGAGGCCATGAAGATTGGCTCTGAAGTCTATCACGCCCTCAAGAAGGTCATCAAGGAAAAGTATGGTCAGGATGCCACGAATGTTGGAGATGAGGGCGGATTTGCACCCAACATTCAGGATAATGCTGAGGGATTAAAGCTATTAATGGATGCCATTCATCTGGCTGGACATGACGGCAAAATCAAGATTGGTATGGATGTGGCTGCCTCAGAATTCTACAAGGGTGGCAAGTACGATCTCGACTTCAAGAGCGCTGATTCGGATGCCTCGAAGCACCTGCCTGGGGAGGACCTTGCCGCCCTTTACAAGGAGTTCATTGACAAGTACCCAATCGTCTCCATCGAAGATCCTTTTGACCAAGATGACTGGGAGGCTTGGACCCATGTTACTGGATCAACTGATATCCAGATTGTAGGTGATGATTTGACTGTTACTAATCCAAAGCGCATTACCACTGCTATTGAGAAAAAGGCATGCAATGCCCTTTTGCTCAAGGTCAATCAGATCGGAACCATCACTGAATCCATTCAGGTAAGGAAAAACAACAAAAAAAAAAAAAAAAAAAAAAAAAAAAAAGAGAACATCCTCCCCCCTGCTCTTCCTGGTGTGGTACATAAAAGATATTTGCCCTTCCATTGTATTGCCTCAAGTACATTTGTACTGTACCATAATATGAACTAGGGCTTTATTTAATTTTTCTCGACCAAACAAGGCGTCCAATGGTCTAATTGCCTGATGGGTGGCCCGTGATTTTTAATATATCCTCCAAAAGCCTATTTTTGCTATCGTTTTGGTTGACATATGATCTTGTTATCTCCCCATGTCCATGCACTGACCGTCTTTTTTTTTTTTTTTTTTTTTTTTTCTTTTTCTTTCTTGTTCATAGGCCGCTGTCCTCTCTCAAAACTCTGGATGGGGCGTCATGGTCTCACATCGCTCAGGTGAAACTGAGGACTTTACCATTGCCGACCTTGTTGTCGGTCTCCGTACTGGCCAGATCAAGACAGGTGCTCCATGCCGGTATGTGCTACAGGCTAATTAATAATAATACATATAACAACAACAGCTATTACTGCTAATACTGTAACAACGCCCAAAAAAAAAAAAAAAAAAAAACCAGCAGTAACAACCTTTATGATAAATCATATCATACTTGCAATGTGTAACAAAAAGAAAAGAAAGTCTTTTGAGATGACTAACACAATGGGTTGGACACAATTTTTTGCATTAAAAAAAAAAAAAAAAAAAAAAAAATAGCTCCGAACGTTTGGCCAAGTACAACCAATTGCTACGAATCGAAGAGGAGCTTAATGGTGATTCTATCTATGCTGGCGATAACTTCCGTAAAGCCCATCTCTTGTAAAAATTAGGTCCCCACTGTCACTTTCAACCAATTCTTATGGACAATATGATAGGAAATCATTTGTCTATCCCAACAATGTTTAACCAAAATGGTTGTTATTAATAATTTGATTATCATAATAAAGTTATAAAAAAAAAAAAAAAAGAAAGAAAAGGTCAGATTTTTTTTTTTTTTTTTTTTGTTTGCTCATTTAATACACATGTTCGTAGACTAAAAAAGAACTGTGCAAACAAGGATGGTTAAATAGATGCTAAAAGACTAGGAAAGTTGTGGGGAGGGGGCGTAGGTCATACTTAGGGCCAGTAGTACCCTGCAGAAAAAGTTGGCATGGAATTAGATTAATCGTGCCATTGCTGTTGCCTTCTACTGTCGAAGCGGCAACGGGCAGATGACGGAAGGCGGATAGTGGAAATGATGGTCTCCATTATAGTCGTAAATGTCATTGATTTTTCATTTAATCTCGCAGCTTCAGCCTCTCTCATTTCAGACTCGATTCTCTGTCTGCGTAAGTTTTTTTTCTTTTTTTTTTTTTTTTTTCATGATCTCATTATACATATAAATCTTTTTTCTTTTTTCTTTTTTCTTTTTTTCGTTTTTTTTGTTTTCTTTTTTGTTTTCGTTTTCTCATTTTGTGGTGTGCAGGTGGGGAGTGGTCGGTCGCTTATTAGATGGCTTGTTCTGTTGGATCTCTTTAAAGAATCGTGCATTTTGACTTCTTCTTTTTGAGATTAGCAGGGGCACCACCATCACGAGCTTGACGGATCATACGGACGACATTGTAGAAAGAGCGCTCGACATTAACACATGTTTTGGCAGATGTTTCTGTGAACTCGCAACGCAATGCCTTGGCCATCATTGCACCTTCATCGCGAGAGACCTCACGCTCGGTGAGCTTGTCACATTTGTTACCGACCAACATCAAAGGAACATTATCGGAATCCTTCACACGTGTGATCTGATCCCGGAATCGTTTTATCCTCTCGAATGTTGAGCGCGCAGCGATTGAGTACACCAAAAGGAATCCCTCGCCATCACTATTATTATTATTATTATTTTTTTTTTAAAAAAAAAAAAAAAAAAAAAAAAAAAAAAAAGTTGAGACATGTTATAATGAGTTTCATATTGCCACAAGTGAGATGACTGCATTTTGTCCCTGTTTGTGTTAAACATACCGAATCCATTGATCGCGCAAAGCAGTATATTCTTCTTGACCGGCTGTATCGAGAACTTCGAGAACACAGGATTGGTCATCGATTACAACTTGCTTTCTGTACGAGTCTTCGATAGTAGGATCATAAGTCTAATATTTTGTCATGGATTTAATTAGTATTGTTGAATATGTATATTTGATGCATGCAGAAGATATATAAAAAAAAAGCGCATGGGGCAAATAACTTACCTCTGTTGTAGATTGAAATAATTATTATCCATTGAAACATATTCAGTAGATTCACGAGGGAAAAGAAATGGAAAATGAAGAAAAGAGCATCAGATACTGTCGTTGTCATTTCTAATACCACATGGTGTAAACAAATGAAATGATGTTGTGCTGTTCCGGTCATCAAAAGTGGCAATCAGCTGTTGGGTGTGAAAAATCCATTGGGAGAAAGAGCCGGTGTGGACTCAATTGCCTATTCACGCGCACAAATTCTCTCACACCCATCGGAGTTTCAATTCTGTTGCTCTGAGAGCTTTTTTTTTGTTTTGCTCAGACCAAACGGACCAAATGATAAAAAAAAAAAAATCGACAAGGTGTTTGTTTGTCGAGAGAGAGAGAGAGAGAAAAAAAAAACAGTAATAAATAAACAGATTATAGGCAACTGTAATAGACCTTATGCACATACCAACAAAGTGATTTAAGCACAACTGTTTGAGCCGTAACGGAAAGATACCGAAAGATAACATGAAATGAAATATTAAAAAAAAAAACGTTAGTTTACATGTTCATATGCATCTCATGAGCAGTTGTGTTCAAATATCAAGGACAATTGCCCATTTATCTTCAGCACGATAAAAGATAATCCAAAGTGGAAAAAGCCTAGCCAATCGCTTTTTTTCTTTCTTTTTCTTTTTTTTTTTTTTCCTACTTTCGAAATGAAAGTAAGAGCGTGTAATGAAAAGATTAAACAAAAGACGATTTGGCTAATTATCTGTGATCAGATTAGCCCGTGGAACGTGTACGCGCGGAAGACACGCGAAATATACGGATGATGGGCTGACAGACTATGTAGCCTGCAAACAGGCAATTGTCCTTTCTTCAAATCATCATGAACATTTAGTCATTTTCAACTTGCCTGAATTGTCAATGCAGTCTATGAATTCCGAAATCCCGAGATACATCATTGACGTGGATCGTTTTTTTTTTTTTTTTTTTTTTTGCGATAGTCAACAGGAATAAATGGTGCAATGAATAGAGCGGATCCGAACAGATGAAAACGGCAAGGCATACACGAAAAACGGATAATGACAACAAGGCAAAACGGTTATCCAGGGCAGGAGAAAATACCGGAGAAGGAAAAAAAGAAAAAGTAATTGAGGACAAAGGTTAGAGGATGGATGTGGTTCCGATAAGATGGATTAGTAATAACGAGTCAACCCAAGGACTCTCTTTTTTTTTTTAATAGTGTAATAGACAGCCAAGTTCAAGATCTGAGAGGGGCGTATTGTTGTTAATCTGGGTTGTGCAAGTGATTCGGATTGTGTTGATGATTGACAATCAAGATGGACAGTGCAACTGCGAGGACACACGAGAAAAGGGGCTCATTCAAGTCTGAGCGAGTGGCCTTGTTTCGGTCCCGTTGAGACACTTTCGCCACTCAACCCGCCGAATTTCGATTCAAAAGAGGGAGTGGCGATGTTGAAAAGTAAAAGAAGTAATAATAGTAATTGGTGTAAAATGATGATATATACCTTGCCAACACCTCCATCCTAATAATAAAGTAAAAAAAAAAAAAAAGTAAAAAAAAAAAAAAAAAAGATTAGTAAACAATGAAACGTGTTTTTCTTTTTAATATTAATGATGATTATTATTTGACAGGTGGGTTCATGTGTCTTCATGTGTGTGTATGTATTAATCGATGATCGTTGTATGAAATTAGTTTTGGTGTTGCATGTAAAAAATGTTATTAAAATTAAAAAAGAGTTGTTGTTGTTATTGTTATTGTTATGCTATTGCTATTGCTATTGTGATTGTTATTGTTTTTGCTATTATTGTGCTGTGTATGCCAGATAACATGACTAGACATTAAAACGACGTTGTAAATGTGTATATGTGTATATGTGTATATCTGTTATATCTGCGCTATATCTGTATAGACATTTATATAGATATAGATATAGATATAAATATATATATATAAATATACAGTATAAATATGCATTGTTTCTTTTTTTGAGAGATGGTTGCTTTATTCTTAAAGTGCACTTACTCCAAGAACAACCAGTTTGTAGAGCATCATCTTGTTTAATGTGTTTTATGAATAGAACAGCAAAAGAGATGAGAAAGTCTGCAACTATATTATATGTAAAATGAATGTGCTGTAGAGAATAAAGGACAATGTAATATGCCGTTGTAGAAAGGGTTAAAAAATAAAATTAAAATAAAAAAAAAAAGGGCGGGGAAGAAGAAGAAGAAGAAGAGAGAGAGAGAGAGAGAAAGAGAGAGAGAGAGGGAGAGAGAGAGAGAGAGAGAGTAGTAAACTAAAAAGATGAAGTCAAGTGAATGTGAGGATGAAGAATGAAGGAACGGATGAAAGAGATGAAAGAGAGAGGAAGAAGGAGATAAAAAAAAAAATAAAGAAAAAGAGAAAAAGAAATAAAGTTCTATTCAAAAATACATTGAATAAAAATAATATTAAATAAGATAGAATAATAGAATACTATAAAAGTACTTTAAAGATTAAATAAAAGTAAACGACAAAATGTTGGTTCCCCAACTCCCGCCACAAGAACCAAAAAAAAAAAAAAAAAAAAAAAAAAAAAAAACGGACTGGGTGACAAACAAGAGAGCAATGGACGCAGGGCAATGCGGACAGCCTTTGCTTTACTCTGTACAACATGGGCAACAAAGTAACTGACCAAGCGCACCAAGAAGAGTTCGATTAAAAAATAAAAAAAAAATAAATAAAAAAACGCGCGATTGTACACAACAAGAGACGCGAACAATGGGAGAATACCCTATCCCTATTCAAAACATATTGGAAAGTAAAAAAAAAAAAAAAAAAAACCAAAATGGTCAGAGTTCTCTGCCCATCTGTTGTCTGTCTTTGAACCATCGATTTGAATAAATTTATGCATGTCTCTTTCGCTTTCGCTCGCGCGCATGCTGCAAACCAAAGATACATCCATTTAGTTTTCTTTTTTTTTTTTTTTTTTTACTTTTACTTTTACTTTTACTTTTACTTTTACTTTTACTTTTACTTTTACTTTCAGCCTCTGTTCACTCGCTGTGCCTTTGAACAAGTGGACTGAACCAAAAGCCGTTATGCTTACTACATAGGAGGTGTACACCGTTCCTGATGCTCATTCCCTGATCCGTTCTTCTGCTCTGTGTCCAATGCTGGACCACAGCACTTTCCTCTCTCGTCAACAACCATCATGTTGCATCTTTTTCATAATTCCTTCAGCCTCTTTTTTTTATTTTTTTTTTTTTATATACTTTATTTTATTTTATTTTTATTTTTATTTTTTTTTTTAAAGCGGAAACTTCCTAGTCAATGGTTAGCACGGCTCAATTGTACGTGCAGTATATAGGCAATGAAGTATATCTGGCAGGTTAGGATCCCTTTTGCAATGAAATGAACAGGCATTTATCGGATTAAATAAAAAAAAAAGAGCAGACCATTGTCTGCCTCTTTTTCCCTTTGTTTTCCTTTTTCTTCATTTAGGCTTCTCTTCTCTTTCACACTTCCTTAATGATGCTCTCAGCTCTCTATCAAAGGCAACCATAGAGAGAGACGGATGGACAGGGAAGCATTCTGTTCCCTTGGATTATTGGTACTGAATGCGGATACATTCGGTTGAATGTGAGGGTGCACCAGGCCTAAACTGTATATTGTTTTGTGTACAGTCGCCTGGAATATTATTCCATACACCATACGATCTATCCAGATGCAACTGTTTATAAAAATATGCTTATTGTCTATGCTCTGTACGTCTGTTGGTGTATCAATCGCGCGTTGTCTTGCTTTTTTGTCTCCTCTTTTTGTCAACCTCATTGGCCTTTCCCCCTCTTCCTAGTCTGTCTCTTCTTGATAGTCATCGCTCTCGCCGCCTTTTTTTTTTTTTTTTTTTTTTTTCCCCTCCTCTTCAACAAACTGCGGTCCAGCCTTTTTCAGCTGTATCGACTATCTATCGAATCCAGGTACTAGTGCATATCCCAAAGACCAAAAAAGACGAGCGGAACAAAATCCTTTGTTCGCGAAAGGATCATGTAAGCATTTTAAAATAATGCGTGCTCTCATAGAAAACTGGGATATTCAAAAATATCCAGGTCGGCAACAGCTGTTTAGAACCAACCTATGGGATGGCGGAGAAATAAACGAATTTTTTTATTTTTTATTTTATTTTAGAGCTGTTCCTGCGTATCCAAACTCCTTGATCTATTGGTTCGTTTATTTATCCTCACCAGCCAAAAAAATAAAAAAAAATAAAATAAAAAGTCCTTCGTCCTTCATCTGCCACTAACCAGAAATGATAATCCCAAGTGCTAGAACAGAATACTTTTGGATCGTTTAACGCCTTCTCCACAAACCCATTTTTCGTCCAAAAAGAAAAAGCTGCTGAAGCATATGATCAAGGATAAAATGTTGTTAATATCTCTGTATCTATTCCTTGTACTTTCTTTACTCGTCAAATTCCCCTAGACTTTTTTTTTTTTTTTTTTTTTTTTTTTATTTGACACTTTCCCCTTTTTTTTTACTTTTTTACTTTTTTACTTTTTTGTATGAACATTTATACTTTATTTACTTCAAAGTTACTCTCGTACAAGACGGAGCATGATTGTCACGAATCATGGGACCCATGGCGATCTCCTGAATAATGCGAGAACAAACACTGTTTGCAGGATTAAGTAATATGTCGCCGTCCATTATTCATGCAACCATAAAACACACAATAAGGAACCATTCTGTCTGGTCCGTCTCTTCTTCTTTTATGCTTTTTTACTTTTTTTTTTTTTTTTTTTTTTTTTTTTCTTCTCCACCCCTAATCTCTCGGCTCTTTTTTATGATCATGAGGAAAGCAGACAACAGTAGATAAACAGAATCCTCTCTTCTCATTATAAACATTCATCTGTATCCTCCATATCATTGTAAAAGACGAAATCATCTTTATCTGTACTAAAAAAAAAAAAAAAAAAAAAAAAAAAAAAGATAATAAAAACATGCAGATGGAAGAGGCCTTTGGACTCTATCAACGTCGTCAATACACATTATAAAAAGTATTTTGCATATTTAACGGTATAGAAAAGTATGCATTCTAAACACAGAAAGACTCTATCTATATAGATGCAATGCATGTAACCACAAAGAATGGCACGAGTATAAAAAATATATATATAAACATTAGCATCGTCAGAAGAGATGATGTCGCCACGTTGACGGTCCGATGCTTCCTTCGTTTCCATCATTGTCCACGCTTGCAGACTATCGATAGTGCATGCTATGCAGAGCGCGAGCCCATTTCTTCCCCCCCCCCCCTCTCTCTCTCTCTCTCTCTCTTTATTTTATTTTTTTTTTTTACAGATAAACTTTTTTGTTGTTGTTGTTGTTGAATTGTTTAGAATGGCGGGGGGAAGGAAGGAGAGTACCTTCCTTTCTGTTGGACAATGCAGGATAGATTCTGTCTGTGTTTTACTTTGCACTTCTGTCCGAAACACACAGCATTGTTTTTTTTTTTTCTTTTGGCATATAGCCAATCTCTGCATCAAAGTTTCTTTCTGGTGGAATTTCAGGGACGGACGAATGGTTGCACAAGGAAAAGAAAAAAGACCTTGGGCCTTGCACAAACATAAACAATACCATGCAAGTATACAAATTCAGCCAGTTGCTCTATCGCATCCTAAAAAGAAGACGAATTCCGGAAGCGAAAAAATAAAATTAAATAAAATAAAAGATAATTTGATGCACTTCATTACGCGTGCGGGAAAGAGAATGAGAGATAGACAATAAGAATAGAAGAAGAAAAAAAAAAAAAAAAAAAAAAATAAGAAAAAGGGAAAGAAAGAGAGAAAAAGGATGGGATCCCCAAACCATGCTTTTATCACCTGCAGATGTTTGCATATCTATATTGTTATTGCTTTCAACTGAATAGCAACTCTCCTTCCTTTTAATGTTCGTTGCACGGTGCATAAAAAAAGAGGATCGAGAACGTTTTCTTTTTCTTCTTCTTCATGCGATTATCTTGCCCTACCATGACGCATTTACGCCGCCAATTTTTTTTTTTTTTTTTTTTTTTTTTTGGGCTATGCGTTGCATCTGGACATTCTGTGAGGGGGACACCCTTAGGTTGATCACAAAAACTATTTCTGAGCCAGCGAAACCGACATCGGCAGGACACCCTTGCAGAACGCAGAACCATTGGTGCGACTTTATATTTGAGTAAGGCATATTTGACACGGGACATCTTGTGCAAACAAGAAAACAACAACAACAACAACAACAACACAATAACAAGAGCAAATCATCCTACACCATGATCGAATCGTTGTTTGTTCTCTCTTCAACAGGGTAATGCTCTTTTCAGACAGGAGTATAGCTCATTTGCTTAAAGTATGGACACAGACATGCAGACATGCACAAAACTGGGGCTGACATCTTCTTTGTTCATCTTGCAGGAAAGTCATCATTGAGAAACACTGGCATGAGCTTATTCCACGTCCTGTGGTTGATTACTTTAATGAACAGGTCTCCAAAGCCATGGCTGCAAGCGAGGATATCTCACGAGAGGACGTACTGCCCATCATCCCTTCGCCAAAATACCAACTTATCAATGTATACCGCGACGGACTTACATATCTTAGTCCTGTGACCAAAGAAGGTGTGTATTCTAAGCGTGTATTAATCAGGAAAAAAAAAAAAAAAAAAAAACTTTGACTTTGTTTGTTAACTTGTTAACCTGAGATTATTATTTTTTTTTTTTTTTTTTTTTTTTTTTGCTCCTCAAATAAAATAAAAAAAATAAAAAAAAAGTCGATCCGATGATGGTTTTTGAGTTCTTACACCGGATTTTGGATATTATGCAAGAGTATTTTGGCACGGTATCAGAAACAACTATTAAAGAGAACTTTGTCACTGTTTATCAACTGTTGGAGGAAATGATGGACGATGGATATCCGCTCACGACTGAACCCAATGCGCTTAAGGAAATCGTACCAGCACCCAACATCCTTGACAAAGTCATTAGTACCATGGGTGCCCCAACATCAGTCTCGACAAAAAAGATGCCCCATGGTATGTCCAATTTACCATGGAGAAAGGCTGGTGTAAAGTATGCAACCAATGAAATATACTTTGATATCATTGAGGAAATCGATGCCATTGTGGACTCCACTGGAAAAGCCGTATCATGTGAAGCTCATGGAACCATTCAAGCCAACTGTCGACTCTCAGGTACCGGAAAGAAAAAATACATAGCGAAGGAATGGAGCTTTGATCATATTTCCCTCTTATTTTGATGCAGGCTTCTCATGAAATACCTTTGTTCTTTCACTTTATATATAATTCACTTAGGCATGCCTGATTTGACTTTAAGCTTAGTGAACCCAAGACTAGTGGATGATTGTAGCTTCCATCCTTCAGTACGCTTCAACAAATGGGAGTCAGATAAAGTTCTTTCTTTCGTGCCGCCAGATGGTCACTTTCAACTCATGAGTTATCGGTAGGGGAGCGGGAAACAAGAGGACAATATTTGAGGAGGGAAAAAAAGTCACATTATATTTTTCTAACATGCAATTCATGTCATGTCTTTTACGTATAGTGTCAACCTCCCTAGTCAACAAAACTTACCAGTACAAGTCAAACCATCGATCAATATTGGAACCAATGGCGCCAAATTCGATATCACGGTCTGTCTCAGAAACACAGAAGGCAAGTCTCTAGAGGATGTTGTGCTGATTCTACCTCTCCACAAATCCACTACAAATTTGACAGCGCATTGTAATGTGGGCCAATACATGTTTGATCCTGTTGGGAAGGTCCTTCGGTGGGATATTGGCAAGATCGTACCGCGGGAGCGTGCACCTGTTATTTCTGGCTCTTTCGCATTCGGCTCAGCAAAGTAAGAAAAAGACTATCGTCAACAACAACAATAACAATAACAATAACAACAACTATTGATATTGTTCAGACTATTAATTCCTTTCTTTTTTTTTTATATGTCTTACTATTATTATTATTATTATTATTATTATTATTATTATTGTTGTTGTTACAATTAGTAGCGAAGCAGCTGCAAATGCAGGATATAATATTGGCTTGGAATTCATGATCAAACAACATTCTCTCTCAGGACTTATGCTCGAAGGAATGAAACTGTTTAATGAATCTAAACCCTTCAAGCTTAGACGCATTACTAAAGCTGGCAGATACCAAATTCGCGCGTAGCGTTGATGATTTAAAAATAAAAAATAAACTAAATAAAACTTTGTATAAAACAATAAAAGAGAAGAAGCAACCTTTCTATAATCGAGTGAGGCAACCAAAGGCTTTTTATTACTTTACTTTCTGCTAGAGCATTGCCTGTTGAATAGCTAAACCCTGCAAAACACTTAATCATTTTACTGCCTACTGCGATTTTTTTTATTTATTTTTTTATTTTTTTATTTTTATTTTTTTCTCGATACCAATGCTATTCCACTGCCCTTGGATCCTGATATTGCACTGGTGTTTGATTTTTCCGTTTTTTTAAAGCAATCTCATTCGTAGCATCCATAGCACTAGTGGCCGCGCCTGTGTCTTTTATATCACTGTCATCTTTTAAAAACTCTGCTTCATTCGTATCTGCAGAAGTATCCAATGCTTCCTGAGAAGCAGATTTCGGTAATGCCTGCGGGCCTTTTCGAACATACTCAGAGATAGCATTTGACTCTAGCTGTTCAGGATCCACATAGATCGTGGTCCTGTTACCGTCCCCCACCGTATCCGACCGCCCGCTTTCGGTACCACTGTCACCTCTGGTATGGCCTCTGATGGCCATCGAACCATCATGACTAACACGACATGATGAGCCAACCGAGAGGAGCTCATGATCTATACTGGGTTGTTGACTTTGCCTCTGTCCAAAACCATATCCATCCACGTAGTCCGAATTTTGAGATAGATGCTCCTGCTGAAGGGTGTTACTATCTGGTGACGAAGGAGATGGTGTGCCGCCAACCCTAGACCCGCTATCCGGGGAATGAATATGTCCTTGTTGAACTAACAGAGGTGATATCCGGGCTGGAGAGGATACAGGCAGCAGAGCGGAATACATCACCCCTGGACTTCGATCTGTCACATCTGGGTTTCCAAGGCGATCTTGTTGGCGTAGATAATGCGCATGACGAACTTCAGCCATGTCTGGGCCTTGGCCTGATGCAGCCCCTGCGGTCGCAAAGTAAGCTCCAGACCCATCACTGGAATAAGAAGCTTCGTTAAGGTGATGAACTGCGCCTGCTCCAGCAGCTGAATGGTCATTCTGGTATGAGACGGGATTCATGGCTGCCGCTACCGCCGCAGGACCTTCATAGCCTAGGTCATGATAATTGTCCTCCATAAGCCATAATCCACTAGGTCCTACACCTCCTGATGCTCCCACACCCAATTCCTGATCAAGCCCTCCAGGCTGTCGCTGAGAGAAGCCTTGTGAACCCCAAGACCTTCGGAATTTAAACATGTCGTTCCACCGACCTCGCCATCCTCCATTTCTTCCTGTCCCTGTACCCTTCGTTTGCGCGAATCCACCGGGAACGGCAGAAGTTACGAGCGCCCGATTAGACTTGCCTCCATTATCGGTATACTCGCTCTCGAGCACACTCTCTCCACCACCAGCGCTTCCTCCACCTCGGCCCCCTGATCCTGACAATCCATCTGGATCAAAGATGTTATTCCTCTGCATCATTTCCTTGCGTCGTCTCCTCTTCTTAATCCACCCTACTAACACGACCGCACCCACTGCAATACCAACAACCAAACATGCTACAATGATCAAGGTGATCTGCCAAGTCTTCAAGCCTGTTCCACGGCCGTTATTAGGATCTAGTAAAGTCCCTGGAGGTGGTTCTTGATTAGGGTCTGGAATAGTAGTCGGCACTGACGTTGTGGTCGTTTCTGTGATATAAATAGTAGTACCCCGTCCAGAAATGACTGTTGTCTTTGGAACGACCGTCGTAATAGTGACGACAGAAACTGTGGTGATATATCGAGTTGTATACGGCGTTGTGGTCTTTGAAGAATGGACAGAGGATGGAGGCCTTGTGATAGGAGGAATGGTCGGCTGCAACGTTGGCTGTGTGATAGGAGGGTCCGTGGTGACGGGAGGATCTCTAGTGATTGTCGGTGAGGGCATAGGTGGATCGGTTGTGGTCGTTGGATCAACCGTAGTCGTTGAGGGTTCTTCATCTGTGGCTGTAGTTGTAGGAGGAACTGGGTCTGTTGTAGCGACGTCGGTGCTCGTTGAAGGTGCAGGGTCAGTCGTGATGACTGGATCGGTGGTAATTTCTGTAGGCTCCATGATCGTGGTGGTTGTCGCAGTGGCTGTGATAGATGAAGATGTAGGCTCGACGACGTCTGATGTTAATGTAGTAGAAGGAATGGGCTCTGAAGGCTTCGTTGTTTCAACAGTAGGAAGAAGAGGGGATGAAGCAGCAGGTGGGTTCGATGACATGGAAGTGATGAACGTTTTTGTTGCAGTATCAGTCGTCGTCCCCGTTATCGAGGCTGAGGTCGCAACAGTATTTGGAGAGGGTAAGGATGGTACCGCCGATCGTGATGATGTTGGCACTGATGTTGACTTTGTTCGGGAGGGTGGAAGTGAAACAGTGTCAGATGGAGAATCAGGAGAAGAACTGGGCGGTAAGGCGACAGGTACGGATGATGGTTTTGCTATATTAACCTCCACCGTGGCCATATAATGATGAGAGGGCAAGTGCAGGAGGAGCAGAAAAGGTGACTTTAATACCTCGATCTATCGGGGCTCAACCTCAATTGTCAACACGATGTGAAGGGGGTGAAGGTCCTGGTCTGAAGATGTTTGGAGTTGTAGGTGTGTGCGTCTTTAAGCCTTGTGGAAGTGGAAATGGATGACAGTGCGTATCAATGGCTCGGATACTTATTATTTAGAAGAACAGAGGATCAATGAAGAATTTCGTTGTCCGAAAGGTGGTTTTGCACCCGCTTTCAATCACCAGAGAGAAAAGAAGTAGCCTGGGCTGCTGTAAGACGGGGAATAGAATGAGCGAGGATGAGGAAGAATAAAAATCAGCATGGCCCTATGAAAGCCCTTTTATAAAGCCTCTCCTTGTGATGTGAGACTAACTGATAATAATGTGGAAAACGCAGTTATGGAGGCAAGGAAGAAGCCAGAGTATCAAGAGCGGACCAAAGAAAAGGAAAAAGAAAAAAAAAAAAAATGCGTACAAAACTGAGGCCATTACATCGAACTAGCTCTGCATGATTCAACGCACCATGTCCTTATCCATGTACGTAGCATGAGTATGCAGGAAAGTCGACATGGGGATGACGAGAGAGGAGACGTGTAGAAGTATCAGTCATCGTCAACATTGCCTGTAAAAAGCTTTTTGAAAAAAAAGGAGTCGTACGACCTGGATAAATAAAAAAAGGCGTTGGGGTACATCATGGGCTATGCATCTATTGTCATGCACCCGCTTGGTTTCATAGAATTCAGGTCCCTTGGAAGAACCGATAATAATGAATCCGGTCTTTTTTTTTCCTTCCTCACAAGGTATGGCACATGCTAATATGCGCCCTGTGCCCTTCAAAAAAAAAAAAAAAAAAAAAAAAAAAAGGTCCACTTGGATGAATAACTACTGTACGCACATTCAGTCCAGCCAGATCAGAAAAGGGGAAGGGACCAACCCCAAAGTTGCGTTTTGCGGAAATAATGTCCAAAAATAACACGAGATAAAACCCTTTAGTATCTCCGCCAAAAAAAAAAAAAAAAAAAAAAACACCGCTGATCGCGTGTTTGTCATCAATCCGCTCTGTCTTTTATTAATACACATACATTGAGCCCACAGTCTCAAGATCGTTATTAACATTTGATAAAAGCACAGCCTTGCATTGTTATTGCGACGATTTGTAGTCCAGCTGAAGGAGAGGAAAATCACCCTTGCCAACCTGTCAATGCATAAGATGCATAAACGGCGTAATATTTTTATTCAAAAATAGATGCTATTCTTCAACATGGCAAATCTCTCACCGTATCTTTTTGACATACTTGTCACCATCTATGAACTGACTGATCTCATCCATCAAAGGCTTTCGGAAAGGTGCTACTCGACCAATACATTCCATTAATGCTAAAATTAGAGTGAAAATGATATCATAATTCACAAGTCAGTTTATATATTAACCCCTCGTATCCTTGTTTTTTTCTTTTTCTTTTAAAACAAAAATATATAAGGCTGATATTAAAACCTACCAACCACGGGCTCTTCGTGGCCCATACCATGCATAATGCGAAGCCTTGCAGCAGAACCTAATTGCATGGTTTTGAGCTCCATATGGAACTCAGATGATGACCTTGCAGGGACCGTTTGATCTAGGTCACCATGAATCACCAAGGTTTCGATTGGCAACAGCGATTTCAAGTGACGGAGAAGATTGTGGTGACGTGTTTGCGACTCTGTGGAGTAGTGGCGATCGATCCTAGTAGACACCTGAAGTAATTCCTGCAGGATATTGGTGGGTGAGTACTGGCGGAATGTGCTCTCGGACTTGCCCATGACACGCGCCATGGCCGAGATATGCTCTACACATCGCATAGACTCGTGTTTATAATGCTCTCCAATGTTATATACGCCAGAGAAGAGGATCATCCCACGGAGCCGCGGTAACACATCGTCTTTGCTTTCTCTCTCGTCGCACTCCTTCAAAAGTGTGGTTAGGATGGGTGATGTGGCAACAGCGGCCGGAGAAGATCCGTACATGGAAATTGGCACCCTCCGGATACAGTCATTTAGAACTGTAAGAGCACATAGATGTGCTCCTGCAGAATGTCCCATAATATAAAGCTTCTGTGGATCCCCTCCGTACCTCTTACAGTGTCTATGCGTCCATTGGATAGCCATTTTAACATCCTGCTCCATATGCGTTATGACCCCAAATGGATAAATAGTGTAGTCTGGTATTATGACTAGGTATCCCATGGACCTCAAACGAGCCCCAACAAGTGTGTATAATAACTTGGAGCCTGATGACCAAGCACCTCCATAAATAAACACAATAACGGGTCGGAGTGACTTTGGCTCGTGCTCACCAGGAAGAGTGCTTAAGCCTTGGCCATCGGGAATATAGATATCAAGCTTTTTACTAGGACGCTTTGGGTTGTATGGTACATCGATACTATTGAAATATAGGGACGATGGATGAATTCCAAGGAAGTGACTCTCACGTTAAACAGTGGCAAAGGCATGATTGCCCAAGCAAATAATAAAAATTTAGAGCAGATTTCAAAGTCCGTGATCGATCGAATTGACGTTTACATGTAATCGGCGGCTGAGCGCATTGTCCAAAAACGGTATTGAGCCAGGGAAATGCCAATGGGAATTAAGGTGAGATTTGAGACGATCACTCCAAAGACAGCCCTGTTAAGCTTCATCACTCTCCGAGGGTCTAGCGGAAGGTCTGCAAAGGATGCAGGTTCAGCCATGACCCAGTAAACGAACCATGCAGCAGAATACGAAAGGATGACTAAAAAAGAGGGAAGAGAAAATGGATTGTAAGTAAGAATCAAAAGATGTTTTCGTTGCAGATCCATTTGAAAGAAAGGAATAAAGAAAGAGGTCCTGTACCAGTGGTAAGTACAATAAAGGGTAATATGGCTAGGAGGAATATGGCTAGGAGGAATATGGCCATGGGTGGAAAAAAGATAATAGCGGCGAGGACAAGTCGTATGACCTTGCCTCGTTTCCCGGGGAGAATAAAATCGGACTTTAGACCTGGCTGGCCTTTTTGTGGGGAAGGGTCTAGAAGAACGGAGCGGAGCTGACGACGGGGAGAGGGGATATTGTCTACGGGTAAAGATGGGACATATGATGTTGATGTCTGGGAGGATGGCATGTGGAGAATGAAGTTGAGGAACAGGCTTGGAAATTGCTGTGTTCCTGAATGTATTTAAGAAAACAAAGTCATGTGAAAGATTGGTCCATGGAAATAAAGAAATGTATAGGATTTACTGAATCACAAGATTTACGGCGGTTTTACTTGATTAATAATTCCATTTCAAACTTAAATTTTATTCATTTCAATGCTATTCGAAAATAAATAAAAATGTCTTTCCTGAATGGGGGGTGCAGTGAAAAACTTAAGGATACCATTGTTGTGGAAATAGTTAATGCGAATCATATGGCAAACCAAATGAATAAGGAGAATATGGGATCGAAGTTTGTAAAATGTAATTCTTACAATAGCTGCGCTTTCACGCATTTTTATCATCAACAAATGACGATTACACTGAAGTATTCGAACATTAATTGTGGTAAAGTTCCTCAAACGAGAGCACTAACGCACTTCTTCGATATTATTGGTAAAGGATGTATTCTGTTCAGCCCTCTCTTTTATCACTATGAGCGGACTTGTACTCAAAAACGGTTTGTGATCTTTATCTTAAAAGGGAGCTCAAAATAGGGAAATGAGAGCGGATTTCAAGCACAGCCTGTAAGTGTTGGGCATCTGGCTAACTGGCTTTCAAGAGGCCAATAGCTTCATCATTCACACCTTCTCTCTAAAATCAATACTATATAGTACGTAGGGTTACCGGTAGGGGAGAGTGAGTTAGTATTCGAACCCGGAGAACTGGATAACCATAATTCAATTGTGATTCAAAGATAACAGACAGGGCAAATCGGATTTTGGAGAGAGGGCTCCCATGAAGTCCTTGATCAGTGTCAGTTAGAGTCAAGGCAAAGAGATACAAGCCATCCCAAGAATATAAAAATAATTTCATGCCTTGTTTGATCTTTCACTCTTTTTTCTCTTCCTCCAAGAAAAGACTGTCCATTCATCTCATCCCACTGGGTGTGCTACTTTATTCCGTTTCAAAGTCGCCTCTGTCGACTCCAGAAAAAGCTTAAAAAAAAAAAAAAAAAAAGATAGAGCATTTCCACTCTTTGCATTGCTGCTTTCCTCATCTATAAGCCCATACGCTTGACCATATTCAGTACAACATGAGTGAGAACCCTTACCTTTCTCTGATTGCCAACCTCAACTCAGAGTCACCAGTCATTTCCTCACCAGAGGACTATTCGGCTGAACTCTCGCTCTGGACCAACGCAGAGTTCACATTTGATGTGCCTCCTGGTCTAGGTGTCTTTGAACAGGATTCTGGATTTGAGACACTTTCCTCTTTAAACCATCCGTTGCTTCCGACATCAACCGCTGCTGCTACACCTGCAGCATCTACTTTGTCTACTCCTGTCACACCAACCAAGCCAGCACCTAAGGCAATTGGGCATAATCCCGATTCTGCTTTGGATCAGCAGCATTTGATGGAGTACTTGAATTTACCGCATGAAGGTAATTGAACGCCAATAAGTATCCTTTCCTCTTTGTGAGATATTTATGAAGAGTCACATTGTTCACATAGAAGAAGAACCTATTCTTGTGTATTATTAATACAGAAAAAAAAAACCTTCGTTTAAGGCCACAGACAATTTCTTTCCAATTTTATGTCCACGTGCTTACTCTTCTATTACTTTATTACAAATGCACTGTCGTCATCTGATGTAGAATCTTCACGGCCTTTGTCTCTCTTGGAGCGAACCCGCCAGCGCAACCCTGTTAATACTGACAAGGTTCAGACCTTGCCTGAGCTTCAGGAGCAAGCCGCTGCGATCAATGCCTTTCACTCCTTGTTAGCCGCCTACTCTGCTCAGGCTCAGGCTCAAGCGCAACAGCAACAGCAGCTTCAGCAACCGCAATCTGCGCAGTTGCAGCAGCAGGTCCAGCGTTCGTCTGGTCTGCCTTTGCTCCTGCCAAACATTGCCCCTGCCACGGCGCCCACTACGCCCGCAGCTGCTAAGCTTTTGCGCCAGTCTATGCCTCAGTACAAGGCAGCCTCGCCTTCGGCCAAGAAGCAGAAGACACAGATCCCAGCCGCAATTGCTCCCGCCGGTGCCTTAGTTACGCTTGCTCCAAAGAGCCCTACAACTCCTAACGCCACGACTATCGCTGCTGCTGCTGCCACTGTTGCCTCTACTCCGTTCAAAGAGGAGAAGGAGAAGGAGACTATTGATAAAGCCGAGAAGACAACTACTGACCTTCCTTCCAAGGATGATCCTGATTATCTTCAGAAACTTGCTGCCGAAGAGGATAAGAGACGTCGTAACACAGCTGCGTCTGCTCGCTTCCGTTTCAAGAAGAAGTTGAGAGAGCAAGCTCTTGAGCAGACTGCCAAAGAACAAACACTTCGTGCTGAGACATTAGAGGCCCGTGTCAAAGAATTAGAGATGGAGGTCAAGTGGTTGCGCGGGTTGATTGTAGAGAAGGACTCACGTCTTCATGAAGTTTCTGCAAGCCTTGATGAACAGACCAACAAGCGTGTGAAACTTGACACTTATTAAAATTCCAGCATGGACATTTGAAGCGAATGAAGAGAGCCATTTTGGATGTATTTTTTTGATGTATGAGTCCCTTGCCTGTTATAATAGCTTTTCTTTTTTCTTTTATTTTTTGGTTTGCATATTATCACTACATTATATTATCACTTCACTGCTTTGTTTGTTACCGTTGTGCCTTATTTATTTTTTTTTTGGTCATTACGGATGTAGATTTATTACCATTCTAGTTATCATACTTCATTTAAAATGGCAGCTGTAGATAAAGCTTTCTGTTTCATTCTACCAATTGCTCGTAATGAATTTTTGACTCGGAAGCCGGCCCCTTAAATGGACCGAAATGAACATTTGCAAAAGATCCTGACTCCTGCGTGAATCATTGATTTGGGGCAGTCAAAGATAAACACAAGTCCCTTTTAAAGTAAAGCCTAGGAGGGGAAATTCGTTTCTTGAACCCAATCCTCTCCATCTGTCATCTGCCATGCCAACCGTCAACGTCGACAAGGAGGAGCTCTACACCGCTCTCGGAAAAGAGTATAGTACGACAACATAATCCCATGGAGCAAAAAAAAAAAAAATAAAAATAAAAACTTTTTTTTGAACGAAGCAAATGTACAGCAATCAGGCCGTTGACCTCTTTTTTTTTTTTTTTTTTTTTTTTTTTTTTTTGGCTAGCTTTCGATGAGTTCCTGGACCTCTGCTTCAACTTTGGTATTGAACTCGAAGAGGATGTAAGCCAAAGTTTTTTTTACCGGAAGATCGTAATAATAGTAAATAATTACTGTGTCGTGGATATCAATTAATGTACATACTTGTTAATACTAATAAAAAAAAAATTAGACCTCTGCAAAAGAGATGGCTATCCGTGAGGTCGGTGCCCACAAAGTCGATGACAGTGTATCGGACAGGCCCATTCTGAAAATCGATATCCCTGCTAACCGGTAATAATTATGTTGTTGTTTTTTTTTTTTTGAGGCAGAACTTGTTCATAATGGAAAATGATATGAGACTTGTGTTTATTGACCCATACCTCTTTTTGCACTACGCTTAGTTATGACTTGCTATGCCACGAGGGCATTTCACGGTCCTTGTTAGTCTTCCAAGGCAAGTCCAGACCTCCAGTCTACAAGCTTGTTGATCCTCCTAACGGTCAGGCCCACCAAAAGCTGATTGTCAAGAAAGAGGTTCGTTGTGTATACCTGTTTTACTGAAGGATTGAATTTAAGATAATGAGCGTTGTACTAATGTTAAAGAATACTTAAGCAAGCAAAAAAAAAAAAAAAAAAAAAAAAAAAAAAGGGCTAATGTTTCAAATCCAATATTCTTTCTTTCCTCATTCTGTTGGGATCATAGACTGCACAAATTAGACCTTTCGCTGTCTGTGCTGTTCTCAGGGATATCAAATTCACAGATCTCAACTACAAAAACTTCATCGATCTACAGGATAAGCTTCACATGAACATCTGCAGGAAGCGTACACTGGTTTCAATGGGAACCCATGATCTCGACACGATCAAAGGTCCCTTCACTTATGAAGCACTGGCACCCAAGGATATTCAATTTGTGCCTCTGAATCAAGAGAAGAGCATGAATGGCGAGGAATTGATGTCTTTCTATGAATCTGATAAGCATTTGGGCAAGTTCTTGCATATCATCCGCGACTCGCCTGTTTACCCCATTATCTACGACTCAACCCGCCAGGTCTTGTCTTTGCCACCAATCATCAACAGCAACCACTCCAAGATTACGCTTGATACGAAGAATGTCTTCATTGAGGTCACAGCCACCGATCTTACCAAGGCCAAGATCGTCCTCAACACCATTGTTGCTATGTTCTCCGAGTATTGCGCCCAGCCTTTCACGTATGTGTGTACTTTTTTTTTTTTTTTTTTTTTTAAAGTGAAGACTTGTACAACCTGGTGTTAAGTGAGTGTGACTCATATTTCTAATCCCTCCGCATGCGGACACATGATCTTCATATTAAATTTAGTGTCGAGCCTGTTGAAGTGGTCTATGAGGATAACCGCCAGCCTCCTACTCTCACTCCCGATCTTTCATCTCGCACTACTTCTGCCAAGGTTGATTACATCAATAGCTGCACAGGATTGAAATTGAGCCCTGATGATATTTGTGATTTGCTCAACAAAATGTCCTTGGAAGCTACGCCTAGCAAGGAGGATGAAAATGAGATTGTAGTCCAGGTTCCAGTGACGCGCTCAGATATTCTTCATCAGTGCGACATTATGGAGGATGTTGCAATTGCCTATGGCTTTAACAACTTGCCTCACTCTGCACCTTCAGTCAGCACTGTTGGAAAGCCCTTTCCACTTAATAAGTTGGCAGATATTGCGCGTCTTGAATTGGCATTGGCTGGCTGGAGCGAGGTTAGCCCTTTGACGCTTTGCTCCCATGATGAGAATTTTGCTTTCTTGCGACAGAAGGATCCTGGTAATATCGCCGTGCGTTTGGCTCATCCCAAGACAATTGAATATCAGGTGGTGCGCACATCACTCTTGCCTGGTGTGTTGAAGACATTGAAAGAGAACAGGAAGCATTCATTGCCCATCAAAGTCTTTGAAGTTGGCGATACGGCTATTAAGGATGATAGCATGGAGCGTCGCTCACGTAACGTTCGTAAAGTCTGCGCTACTTACTCCAACACAACCAGCGGATTGGAGCAGATTCATGGACTGCTTGATCGTACTCTCCAGATGTTGCATGCTCAGCTCGTAGACAAGAACGGAACCGCCTCTGGTTATTGGGTCCAAGATTCTGACAGTAAGTATTTTTTTTTTTTTTTAATGTTATTTATTATTAATAATTAATTAATTAACAAAGCTGATTAACCACCTTCTCCTTACTTTATTTTTTTTATTTTTTTTCTTCCAGACCCAACGTACTTCCCTTCAAGATGTGCCGACATCTATCTCCGCCAGAAAGGAGAGACCAAAGTCATTGGAACACTTGGTATTCTCCATCCTGAAGTCTTGGAGAAGTTCGGTTTCAACTTCCCAACCTCTGCTTTTGAGTTTGAGCTCGAGCATTTCCTGTAAACTATCATAGAGGCAGCCTTGTAACATCGATCGATGTATAGAGTCTACCCACAGAGTGAAAGACAGATTTAAAATAAAGGATTTAAAAAGATAAAAATAAAAAATAAAAAGGCTATTGGATATTCAAGGAATTTAAGGATTGAATGATAAATACCAAAAAATAACCACAATAAAATGATGGGTTCATTGAATACACTAGAGCTTATTATTACGCGGCGGTAGTTGGTGCTGATATTATCAGACTGGCTTGAAGATCGCCAACATTAATTCTATCTATTCCAGCTGTCTGTCTTCACTTGTTGTTCGGCTTGATGGATTTGTTCAGCAGTTAATGAATAAAAAATTAGACGGGTGGCCCGTTGGCTTCGCTCACGATCGCACCAGTCTAGCGCTTTGCTCCATACGGCTCATTTACCTCGTTAGGTACCAACCCAACGCCTTTAAAGGCACTCATCTTAGATAGAATCACTGCAAGTAATAAAATTACACAACAACATCCCTTGATCTGTTGCAAGTCGAAGTTAGTTTAGATATTCATGGGCGGAGGAATGGTATTGCTCGAGCATACTATGATTGTTTCATTTACAAATTTGTGAAGGAAGAATCGGCACTGATAATATGGAAACCCCTCGCAGTCCTCGCTGCTATCATGATCGGCCTAAACTCCTCGGGCCGCATTTGAGATGACATATGCGCAAGGCACATCCCACCAATATTTCGGCACCAACTGTATCATGATCAAATACATCACGCATCTACGATAGTATTTTAACTGTGCTAGGACTGATTCCAGGAAATTGGTACGGTTGGTACGGTTGGTACGGTGGCAACGTGCACTAGTGGAAGATCTACGAATGCCAACAGCTCCATATCCTAACAATTTGACCTGATACTATTGTTGTTAGAGACAAAGACTTGAGTCCGCAATCGATTATTTAACAACCATTTTTAGATCAGTGTGGAGATTTGGCAACATTCCTCTAGCAAAATAGGAGCCTAATGGAAGTAATCACTTGGTGCTTTGTTTATCTTTGGAGGGAATGAAAATGGCAAAAACTGTCAGATGCGTAAAGGAGTAGAGGCAAGTGAATGGTGGTCATAGTGGTATCGTGATGATATAGCTTGAGGTGTGGGTTTTTGCTGATTTTTATTCTGCTAGTAGAAAATACAGGAAACCGGGTCTGGCCTGCACATGGGGTTGATGAAGGCTAAATAAGCAAATTTGCCCGTTTTATGCTCCGAGGGATAAACTTAGGGTAATAAAGCCCGAAAGAATGCCGAGATCTTTTAAAGAAGCCCCCTACTCACCATGTTTACCTTGGCCCTTTGCACCACTGGCTCGTGTCCCATACACTTCTTTTGGTTTTTTAATGCCCTGTTGGATATTCAGGTTATATGAACGATCTCGTTCGAAAGCCTGCGGGATATAGGATCGCTGCTGCTACCAGCCATCATCCCTTCACAAAAGGCTTCCGCCATGATACAGACGATACCCCTGGATTGACCCTGGCTCCACAGCAACATATCAATATATCAACTAAAGGCGTGCATTCGTGGTGGTAGAGAGAATGATTTTTTTATATTAATTTATTTTAAATAAAATCTTTGTCCTTTAGTGTCTAGCTCACATATTTCCAGTTTACTGCTTCGCCTTAAGCGCCTGCATGGTCTGGAACATGCCGTTGGAATATAGACTCCGCAGGACTCTCTCTTCTTTTATTCCCATCATCTCTTCGAAACTGGTCTGTGAAATCTGGATCCTGCCAGACATTTCACTTTCCAGTTGCCTCTGCAGTTGTTGCCGATGGGTGGGCTTTTGTATTTCTGGTCTTTGTCGTGGGACTAGACCTTTTTGTCGCGACCTTGGAGGCTGTTCAATTTCGCTATCGCTATCATCATCGTCAGAGGATAGCGATACTGAGGACAGGGTGCCTGTAAATGTTGCAGACGAATTGGAGGATATTGAAGATGCTCTTTTCCTCTTGATCCTAGGGCGGCTAGATTCAGACAAATTCTCGATGATATCATAGCTTTTAGCGGAGGCGATGTGCTGAAGTTTCCAGTCCACTTCAGATCTTGACCGCGAACTGGCGCGAGCCCTTTTTTCAGGGCGTCTAAGCTCGTCATCTGACCCTGTAATAGCGGCCGCTTTTGAACGTGGTCTTGGCCTCCTTCCGCCACGAGGTTCATCTTCACTAACCGCTTTTAGCCGCGGACGGCCTCGTCTCTCAATCCTTTCACCCATTGTTGGCTTTGAGCGCAGCCGACTTCCCCTATCTCCATTTGACTCGTCCTTAGTCGAGCGCTGTCGGCTCCTTTTTTTCCTGGAGGCATTCGCGTCCTCCTTTGAATTGCTTTCGTTATCATCCTGGCGAATCTTTTGCTGCAATTGCCGAGATGCCTTTCTGGCTCCACTGTTGTCTTCAATATTGAGATTTGACTCATATTCTTGATCTTCCATTGCAAATGATTTAATAATGTTGTCACAGATGCCCCCACGGTTGCGATCATCATCATCCGGTTGGGTAAACATTAAAGGGAATCGTTTGCGCGTCACTTCTACAGGCATTGACGCTATGTTTGGTGTCACTGCTCCTAAATCGACTGCAGTTGAAGAATGCACAGTAGTATTCTTTTTTTCACACCAATGACAATGGCAGTTGCCAGTACAGCGCGGACAGACCCAAGGCTCCTTCTTTGAGACTACATCGGCCCACAAAACATTGTCTCGCCTATACAGACATTTCTCGCATATAGGGGTATTACAGTCTGAACAATATGTATTTACAAATTTGGCGTTCCTGTTTCTACAGCGGTGACATATCTTAATAGAGAGACCATAAAGAATAATAATAAAAAATAAAATAAAAAAATAAAAAAATAAAAAAAAGATTTAGAGATTAGTAACTCGATGTAAAAAAAAAAAAAAAAAAAAAAAAAAAAAGAATAGAACTATGAATACCTTGAGTGCTTGCCTCAGCCGCTGCTGCCTCAAATATGCTACGGTAGTGAAGGAACAGCTCTTGTCCAGTGCTGGATTTATTCTAAACAAGCAGTCGGATGTCAGTATTATTAAATTGCTTCGTATCTCTTTTCAAAAAATAAAATAAAATAAAATAAAAAAACATCTCTGTACCATTCACTACATACCCATTGGCCCAAGCATCTATAATAGGGTCATGCCCAGAGCAGCCAGCTAGAACCTGTGACTGATTCCAGGCCTTAATCGCCTCGGTGTTAAGACGTTGGCAGGAAGATATCGAAAATGCCTCCACAAACTCCATCGATGTCGCTCTATGAATACATCCGCGTCCGAGGCTGTAACATCGTGTACAGATATCGTAGGCATCGCTATTATGTGTGCACTTCGAGCAATGAAACTGGCGATTCCATATATCCGTATTACAGAAATCGCATACTGCAGGCGCAGGATTTTGAAGTCTCCTTGGCTTTTTAAATTTGATGTCGATTGAGTGTTTTTTCGCCAAAAAGAACATGTCAACCCATTCATCTTCGACAATAGTTTGAAAAAGTTGCACAATATCCTTGAAAGATTGGCAGAACTGCTCTTTAGGCAACGGTAATTGGGTAGATTGGGATTTGAGTAGATCAGTCCAAGCTTCCAATGCGCCTTTGATGATAGTCCGAATCCTATATCCTTCCGGACGCCCTATCCTAATAGTGGGGAATAGAAGATGTCAAGATAAAGTTTAGACAAGGAAAGATGCACATGAACTGCGAATGAGTTTTTTTTTATAGCAACATTCCATACTCTCTGTATCGAGGTAAGACAACATTGACCGCGGCTTTTAGGCAGTTTGCAGTGAGTCTGTTCCATGACACCTTGATGGTAGCTTTACCCTATGGGCGAAACATTCAAAAGAAGTGCCACATTCAGTTCCATGGTATATGAGCATGATTCATTTATAAAACTAGAGCGATGGTAGAACAAGGGACGTACTAGGTTGACAACTTGATGGTAACCGAGTGAAGGAACCATAACAAAATCTCCTGCCTTTTGCTCGACTACAAAAATTGGGAAAGTTGCCTGGCGCAGTTGTTCCACGGATGCAAAGTAACTTTCATATTCCATCGTGTACCCAAAAGATCGCCATAGTTCCTCTGCTTTTTCCTTATCTTCTGCTCTAATCATGAACCATATAGCAGAAGAATCTAAAAAGTATAACAAAGCCACCGTTAATATACAGGGTCAAGTCCATCGTGTTTAGCAACAATATAGTGACAACTGCGAAGGCGATCTAATACCATCGTCTGCCCATGTCATGATGTTATGCCCAATGGCGCCGCACTGATCGATATGACAAGGTGTCCATGTCCCAGCTTGTCCAATGTAAATCATTAAATTCTCTGCTGCAACTTCCGGATTTAGCGTGTTCAAATCATTTTCGCGTAAATAACCTAGATGCTGCGGTAGGATATCTGCCATCAGAAATAAACGCCAGTCCTCAGGACAAGTCACATCCTTGGCGTACAAAAGGGAATTTTCTTTGGACTGTAATGATTTGGTGCCTTTGCTTGTTCTTTCATTTGTGGATGTGGCGCTAGCCATATTCAATCCAACGGATTTTGCTAAATTGGTGGCAACCGATACGTCACTCGTAGCGCATAATTTTGTCGATAGTGTCGTTGTCTTTGATGAAACAAATGATAAAAGCGAATCTATGCTCATATCGCCATTGACAACCGCCTCAGTCTGATCTGATTTATGTGTCTCCATGTCAGTATCCTTGTCAGATAACAACCCGATATCGCCACCAATCGATGTCTCATCCATATGCATAGGCTTTGGGAAGTTTGAGTTGCTTACACTCGAATTCAAACTCTCAGCGTGGACTGTTTGTATATACTCCAGCATGGACATTGAAACATCCTGTGCACAGTAAAGGTCACGACAAAGAATCACTATAAATATGCAAGACAATAACACTGTCTGGTTATTTTGATGCATGCATATGAGACAAGCAGCGAAAAAATATAAATCGTACGACTAGCGAGATATATTACCATTTTTGCCATAGGTGTCAGCAAGGTATGGAAACGTGAACAACTCTGCCCTCCACTTCGAGTGTTTGTGCCAATTCTCAAGAACAACTGGAGTGCCGCTTTCAACGACAATGGTTTCAACCTCATGTCTGATATCCACTCCTTCGTCTCTGACATCAACACGTTTAACAGGCACAAAAGGGAAACCTAAGGACATGATTTGCTGATAATCCATTGATTCTAAATCAATGCCGGACTGCATCTGGATGTCATTGTTGACTGCTTGTTGCATCATTCTTAAAAAAAAAAAGGGGGCAGCCTCTATATTAAAATGTTGTTGCTATTGTTGTTTTTATTGATATTCCAATGCTGAGAATACTAAGTATTTTTTTGACCAAGGCAAGTCCTCCACGTGTGTCGCAATGTCGAAGGAATAAGTGTGAAATGTGAAAGAGAATGAATTTAAAAGTAAGAGCGGTGGCAAATTTGTGAAATGTGAAAGAGAATGAATTTAAAAGCAAGAGCGGTGGCAAATTTAAACGTTTGACAGTTGACTTGTGACAGCTGTTCTGAAATCTAAATCCGCTTTTAACCCCTTAAGGTGTCTCACGTCGTAACTCGTAGGCCAAGCAAATCAATTTGTGCTTTTCATTTCATTCTTCAAGGCCACCATCATGAACAATAACAAACGAGGCATCAACATAAGTCTTGGAAGTGGATCCAACATTGGCAACAAGCCCAATCCTTTCGCTCGTGCTCAAGCTTCTTCCCAGCCACAGCCGCCTTCTGCTAAGGCGGCTTTAGGGTTCGAGGAAGACGGAGGCGACAGCGACGGCTCTGGACCTCCTAAACGGAAGCTAGTAAAATTGGATCACAATGTGGAAGATGAAAGGCACGGTTATCAATCTATCGCTCAGAGTAGACGGGGCGATGACGATGATGATGACGCATTTACAAAGTTAGCTACAAAAGTACATCCGACAGCACCTCCTAAAAAGATTCTCATAAATGAGGATGATGAAGACGATGCTTTTTCACGCCTCGAAGCAAAGAAGGGTACCCTTTTCTTTTGTTCCCAACCTTTTAAAAAAACATAATAATTGATTTATTTTATAAACTGAGGTTCTGATATCAACTACATTGTCGTTATTCCTAAGAAGTTGAAAAGAAGGAGCAGGAAATACAAGCCGAAGACGAAGAGGATGATCCATTAGATGCTTTCATGGCGGATATCGACACAAAGGTCAAGGAAGAAGCGGAAAAGCCTTCTGAAGAAAAGGTATCGTACGCCGCTCTTTCGATATCGGTGCATCTAGTTTAATTACCCTTGTATCTACACGAAACATGTTCTAAAGATCTCTTTGTCCCTCTCCATGTTCACTCAATTGTTTTTTAATCTGATTAAAAAAAAAAAAAAAAAAAAAAAAAAAAAAAGGTTCGTCGTGATGATATTGAAGACGAAGATTATATGGAAAGCTATATGAACCACTTGAAAAAGAAGGGAATTACCATAGGACAAGGTGGGCCTGTAATGGAACGAAACGAGGTGAGTCATTAAAAAGACCACTCTATTAATTTGCATTTGGTTACATGACTTGGTGGAACTAATGCATGACCATTCTTCGATCTAGGACGTCGACTCGGATGAAGAGGTCTATGCCACAGCCAGGGCAATCGACAATGCAGCAGAAGCACAGTATGTCTGGGAAACGACGTTAACGAGAGTGGTGACTGCAGGAGGGAGTCCATGGCAAACAGTTCAATTGATCTCGCTTCACACGCTTTAGATATGATCCAGACGATATGTCATATGATCCACAAGCCAAGAAAGAGATTACTCCTTTACCAAGAATGGATCACTCGAAACAGAACTACATCGAAATTGAAAAATGTTTTTACGAGGAACACGAGGACATTGCTAAGCTCTCTGAAGATCAAGTGAGACAAATTAGATTAGACCTCGGTAAGCGGATGGTTTGAAGGGTGGGGGGCTAGTCTTTTTTTTTTTTTTTTTTTTTTTAAATAATTATTTGACTTGGTACAAAGGCGTCGACTAAAACTGTTTCGATAATATTTAAAAAGATATGAGAGTATCCGGGGCTGATGTAGCCAAACCATGCATATCCTTTGCACACTTCGGGTTTGAGGAAGAACTTATGGAAACTATTCGACGAGCTGGATATTCAGAACCCAGTGGGATCCAGCGTCAAGCTATTCCTGTTGCTTTATCTGGACGCGACATTATTGGTATTGCAAAGACTGGATCTGGGAAGACTGCGGCATTTTTACTGCCTATGATTGTGCATATTATGGATCAAGCAGAGCTTGAAAAGGGAGATGGGCCAATTGGAGTCGTACTTGCGCCTACAAGAGAGCTTGCTGATCAAATTTATAGCGAAGCAAAGCGATTTGCCAAGGCTTATGGGCTACGCGTTGCGGTGGTCTACGGAGGTGCGAGTAAGCAGGACCAGTTCAAGACTCTACGATCTGGAGTTGAAATCGTGGTTGCAACGCCAGGCCGACTGATTGACATGATCAAAATCAAGGCGACAAATTTTAGGCGTACATCCTATTTGGTGCTGGATGAGGCTGATCGCGTTTTTGATCTTGGATTTGGTACGCTCGAGGGCTTTTCAAAAAGTGTAAGCTGATGACACCCTTCACCTAATTACTAACCAAAACTATGGGGGAATTTGGTTTTTATTTCCTCCTTGCAGAGCCTCAGGTCCGGTCCATCTGTGATAACATTCGTCCCGACCGCCAAACCCTACTTTTCAGCGCGACATTTCAAAAGCGTGTTGAGAAGTTGGCAAGAGAAGTAATGACTGATCCTGTGCGAATATCCATTGGGAATGTGGGCCAGGTACGAAAACACTGTGCTATTTGGAGGCACTACAACTTGATATTTCAACCATGTCTCTTTCTGACGTCTTATTTCGCAATTACATAGATCAATTCGGATGTTACTCAAGTAATTCAGATTCTAAAGGATGACACTCTCAAATGGAACTGGCTGATGGAACGTCTTCAGAATTTTGAAGCTTGTAAGTCGTCTACGGTCTGAATTGGATTCGGGTGATTATTGCATAGGCTAATTAAATGATTTCTCTTCAATGGACTAGCGGGAAGCGTCCTCATCTTTGTCTCAAGAAAGAATGGTGTGGTTGAGCTTACAGAGAACCTCAAGAAAGAAGGCGTCAAGTGTAAGTTCTTTGTAATTTTAGTCTTTGACCTAGCCGAAGGGGATTCACTCATGATGTACTTATTTTGTGCATCATTATAATCTCGGTAATCTTTTAGGCGAGTGCTTGCATGGTGATATGCTGCAACATGAACGTGACAAGGCTGTTCATGACTATAAAAACAAGCTTTTCCCAACCCTCATTGCTACTGATGTAGCTGCGCGTGGTTTGGATATTAAATCAATTCGCACGGTTATCAACTTTGATGTTGCAAGAGACATTGACTCCCATGTTCATCGAGTTGGTAGAACGGGGCGAGCAGGAGAAAAGGGAACAGCATATACACTCATTACAGAAAAAGATGACCGCTTTGCTGGAGATTTGGTCCGTAACCTGGAGGAGTTTGGCCAGACTGTTTCTCCTGATCTGATGAAGATTGCGATGCAGAACTCAAGATTCAGGAAATCTAGGCAGTTTATGGGAGGCCAGAGGGGTGAAAGAGGAAGTCGTGGGAGCCATGGTGGCAGAGGCCGTGGAGGCCATGGTGGGCGTGGGGGACGCGGAGGCGGACAAGGTGGACGATTCCATTCGTCCGACCAAAGCCAAGAGTACTCATACTCGTCATCTTCGAATACCACTCCACTCGGAGTCGATCGGCGTCACCAAAGCCACTCGTCAAGTGGAGCGCGACGTGAGTTTGCCTCTGGTGGCTCAGGCTATCGTATCTCTGGATTTCACAAGGCATCACGACCAGAGACAGGTGCCCAGGAGCCCGAACACACTACCGCAACTTTAAGTCCAGCGGTTAAAAGCGATCCATCTAGATTGTCGCCCAATATTTCGTCATACAACGTTAGGCCATCTCAGTCCCCTCCTGCACCACAGCGCTCAACGCAGCAAGGGCGGCAACTGCCTCAACAACCTCCACCTCCCCCACAACAAATACCTGGCTATGGACACCCGCCGCCACATCATCGACCACCGTACGGGCAGCATTCTACTCAAAATCAGCACCCTCCTCCTCCTCGACCTCCAGGATTTCCATATCAAGGTCATCCTCCACCCCCGCCTCCTCCAGGATATCCTTTCCATCCCCCGCCCCAGAATAATTTTAACAATCATCATAATCAACAACAACCACCTTTCCCTCCACCATCACATCTTTACCGCCCATCTCCACCACAATCTCATCCCCCACAGAACACTACACGACCTCCTCCAAATTATGACCGCAACAGACGGTATTAGGCTATGTATTTTTTTTTTTTTTTAAAAAAAAAAAAAAAAAAAAAAAAAAAAAGCTAATGAAAATATACGCTCATGGACTGTTTGATTTACTCTGTCCACTACTGTGGATTGCGCTTGAGCAATGCAGCTAAATTGATGATATGAAAGATTAGTAATAAAAGAAGTTTGGAACTAAGAGCATGAGAGAAGAGAAGCAAAGAAACAGATGACAAAGCAAGATGAAGATGAAAGAATCATCTATTAGAATGTTTGCTTATTTGTTTTGGACAATAGAAGGACGGTTAAGCACCACAAGTGTTTATTGACAGAAAGACTCGGAGCAGACAAAGAACTGTTTACATTTGATAAAAAAGAAAGATCGAAATGCAGGGGCACACGCAAATCGCATGGCGCGCGATAACGCCATTAGTGACTTGCAATCTTGTTTTGGAAAAATATGAACCCGCTCATTGGCAGTGAAGCGGGGCGCGGTATCTGAAGGTTACGGAGATGCATGTCCCTTCTATGAATTTTCACTGCGCGTTGTCACACAGACAAACAATACAATTCCCAATAGACTTGCCAAATCCATTTATGACATTCTCTCCACATTTCCTACACACGAACAAATATACTATACTCACTCATATACGTCTTCATCCAGACCCTCTATCCTCTCCCTTCCTCTACTTTTTTTTTTTTTTTTCTCCTTTTTTTTTCTTTACAACCTTCTTTCTCTCAATAGGACCCTCAAGCTCTTTTTTCTTTTTTTACTCTCCCTCTCTTTCTTTGGATTCATTTGCCATTTCGAGCACATCATGTCTGGTAAGAAGTTGTCCTTCTCGGAATGGGAATGTAATCTTTAGGACATGCATTTGGTTTGAATGCATACGGCTGACACAAGGAACTCAGTAGAAAGTTGGCAATATACCTTTTTATTTATATTTTCGGGATCCACCTTCTTTATACTGCATGATCAATCGATCAACAAAACATTGATCTGCTTCTAAAAATCCTTCAATGTTGTGGGATCCCCCACTTCTTGATCTGATCTTCCATTTCCGGTCCTTAGCACTCAAATTCGCCGCAGAGAGAGCTGTCGCTATTCACGCTGTCTTGACCGCAAGTAAGGTTTGTCAACGTGTCTTCACAAAGCTTGTCAATGGCGAAACCATCACCAAGAAGGATAAGTCTCCTGTTACTAGTAAGTTGTTCTTTCTATTTCTTTTTACCAGCAAGTCTTTTTTTTTTTTTTTTTTTTTTTTTTTTTTTCTTTTTCTACCGTTTACTGATCTAACTGATATTTTTATATTCATCCTACAATATGTAGTCGCGGATTTTAGTGCACAGGCAGTCATCAACACTTTCCTGCACAACTCCTTCCCAGCAGATCCAATCGTTGGTGAGGAGGATTCGAAAGATCTTAGGGGTGAAGAGGGTCGTCCAATGCGGGAAAAAGTCTTGGAACTTGCCAATTCTGGTCTTGATTCACCATTGACGGAAGAAACGGTATGTTGGACCGATCATCTTTATTTATTTTTATTTCTATTTGCTTCCGCGATCTGCATCATCCTTCCCATTCAGATCAATTCACAAAACTGGACCGACACATATGTCTGCTGGGCCTGATTTTTTGATGAACGTGATTGAGGCAAAGGCGAAGGATCCTACATACGAATAGACAGAACTTGTAGAGAACAGGACCTACCCTGTTGGTTGCAGGTTGGCAAAAAAAAAAAAAAAAAAAAAAAAAAAAAAGAGAGAGAGAAGGGGGAAACAAAGGAAGACTGCGACTGTTTAGTAATAATCTATTCCGACAATCAAGGTTAAAGTCATATCTAATTTCACCATTTGATTTGAGAATGATGAACTTTATGACAAAAAAAAAAAAAAAAGAAAGAAACACATTGATGAGGGTGAAGAAAAACATTGGTCAGGTTGTGCATACTTTAACGAAATACTTAGTAGATCGCTTGCAGTATGAACCATTATCCTGATCCACATGAATGTTTTTTTTTTTTTCTTTGTTTGTTCCTCGCGAAATTTCTTTGATTATAGCTCATCGAGGCGATAGATCGTGGCATGTATGCAGGTGGCGCTCATGGACGTATGTGGGCTTTGGATCCGATCGATGGCACAAAAGGATTTCTAAGAGGTGAACAATTCGCAGTATGCTTGGCGCTGATTGTTGATGGTCAAGTCGAACTTGGAGTGATGGGTTGCCCCAACCTTCCTGTCGATGTCAAAGATCAGAACGGTGAGAAGGGATGTCTCTTTATTACTGTGAAAGGGCAGGGTGCCTTCCAGGTATGTAGCCTTTGCTTCTATATTCTCACCCATTATTTTTTTGTTTGTTTGTTTTATCTGGTGTAGGACCTTCGTCCAAAGAACAATACGTTTTCTAATTTTTTTTTTTTTTTTTTTCGATTTTACAACTTTGTATCACTATTATGGGTTTTCTAGCGCAACTTTTCATCATTAACAGAGACCCCAATCTCCATGAGTGCGATTCAAAGCCTGAATGATGCCAGCTTCTGTGAAAGTGTTGAGAGTGGACATTCGAACCAGAGTGACTCTGCTCGGATTGCACATCTCCTCGGTATTACGAAACCTCCTGTACGCATGGACAGCCAGTGCAAGTACTCTACCTTAGCTCGTGGCGATGCTGAGGTCTACTTGAGGCTTCCTGTGAATGCAACATACGAAGAAAAGATTTGGGATCATGCTACAGGAAGTTTATTGGTTTCCGAGGCAGGTGGCATCGTATCAGACATTCATGGCAAGCCTTTGGATTTCTCAAAAGGCAGGACCTTGGCGACTAATTCGGGCGTAGTTGCTGCACATGCAAAGATCCATAACAAAGTCATTGAAGCCGTTCAAAAGGTGCTCTTTCCAGATGGAAAATTGTAATGCTCTTTCATGATGATAGGAAGCTGTTTTGATGATTAGGATGCAGGACGTTTAAAAACGAATGCGGCGCTGAATCCAGAGGACTGAGTGTGTTTAAGATTACTTTTTGCTTTTATACTACTTTTCACCACGATAATTGCTTTTGACTCCAATATAGAGTTGTTTTTTTTCTTATTTGTTCTATTGTTTGCATTAAAAAAAATATTAAAAAAAAAAAAATTGCCCTTAATTTAGGGCGGCATCAAAGGAAGCAAAAAAATAAAATTCAGAACGCGAGATCACGCGGGTGGAATGAAGGGTACACAAAGTCCCTTTTTTCTTCCTTTTGCAATGGCTTTTTTACTCACGCTTCCAAGCTGACATTTGAGAGCTGAGAATGGTGAACCACTTCCCTAACTTGTGTAAGGATGGAGTTACTCATTCTCATTTAGATACATCACATCAACCACATCAATTGTTGAGTTGGGGGAAACCATCTTTTTACTTTATAATGACTAAAATATAAAGACTAGGAGGAAGGATATGAATATAAAACTTGAAGCTTCATAAACTTGTTTAAAAAAAAAAAAAAAAAAAAAAAAAAAAAACGTTATAATGGTTTGGTTCTTTATTGTTGAACAGCAGCGCCAGACTTGGTGTGATTGTGAAGAACTGGCTGATGGACTTGGATGTTTTGGGTCTGCTTAAAGTTATTGTTCGGCTGGTGTTTAGGTTGGTTTTCCTGCATCCGGGCAAGACGCTCACCAGCCGCAAGACGAGTTTGCTTCTCGTATTCGAACCGCTCTAACTTCTCAAGCTCGCGCTCGTCCTCATTTGGGTGTTTCTTATCGGCATCCTTATCATTAGGTTTCCTCTCGTGTTCCCTAATAACCAACAAGAAACAAGAGGATAAGCAAATTAAAAATAAAAAAAAATAAAAAAAAAAATTTGGCAACAAAGACCTACTTCTTAACGACAGGAACAGTGTGGTCGTGTGCAGGGACTCGCATGCCTCCAACCTTGGCTGTTAAAAAAAAAATAATCATAATTGAATACCTTTACTCGTGAGCAAGGATGATTGTGTAAATATGCTTCAAACGACTGGAGAACAATATCAGGAAATTTTGTTAGGACTTTCTTGGTAATATCTTACTAGCAGCCTGGCGCCCAGCCTTGCTCTCGATTTCAACGTTCATAACGGTGTATTGTCTATATCAAATGTAGCTGGTTAAGTAAGTGAAAAAATCGATGAAGATAAAGGAAAAATGAAAAATGACTTTCAGGAGAGAAAAGAAATAAAAAAAAAAAAAAAAAAAAAAAAAAAAAGAGACTCTTTTAAGGGAAATGGGTGTTTCAAGTCATGAAAACCCAGTAATGTGAACTGAGGGCCTGATACAGCACAAAGATGTACATGTTGTATGATAAAATGCCTTGAAGTCACACGCACAACGCGACCTTTATGCTTGGACACTTGATGGATTTTGGAGTGGTCAAGGCGCAGGGGAAAACCTTATTATGTCACGTGAATTGCAGTCAGTTTCAGTGTGACATTTCTTCTAGATTTCTAGATTAAATATATTCATGTCATTAGTGCCTCCACGGTGCAGCTATTCACTAATGCTGGATTGTGTAACGGTAATATTAATGTAGTTTACAGAACATGAGGTTCAGTCATGTCTCCTGTAGAATGAAAATGCGTCATGGTTGTGAGAATACTGTGTTTCCCTTGTTTCAAGAAGAACTCCCCCTGCACAATGGAGAGATAAAATATATATATATTTGATGATGAGAATGAACAGATCTATGCTACCCGTTCAAACAATCTTTTGTGTCGGAAGCAAAACCATTATCTAGACATGGACCAGTGCCCTGTTCAATGAATTTTGATGTCTGGTCATCTCGAGCATGTGAGAAACAACGGACGATATACTCCTTCCTCCCTTGTAATAAACTACAATATAAACTAATATAAGTACATGTACTTTGTCAGGTAGACGCAAAAAAATGACGACTGTGTCTCTTCCTCACAAGTCAATTGCTTTATATTTCATTTATTTGTACACACAACGTAACGAACGATACAATAAATATGTTATACAGATTATAAAATAATAAAGGGGCTCTCAGCTGCGAAGAAGAACGAAAAGTGAGTGTAAAATCTAAAGAACAATTTCTATCTTTTGGAAACAGGGTGCAAGATCCGTCTGTAATAGACTACAAGGAATAACATTCACCAAAGGGATGAAAAATAGGTTAGCGCTAATCGTCAATAGCGCAATTGATAAGGGTATGCATCTCAGTTTGGTCTGGAACCCCGCTTCTTTGGCCTTTCCCTTTCGTTAAAAAAAGTCTGTTATTATTATTAGCCTAACTTTGCTGATTTGTTTTATTTCATATTTTACTTTGCTAACGTTGTTTGCATTTCCTATTTCATCATTCATTCATCATACTCCTTCTCTCCTTCTTCTCTCCTTCATCACCTCAGGCCAACACTTTTCATTCCTTTCATCATCATACTCCACCACATTCACACCATCCTCAATAAGAACAAAAAAAAAAAAGCAGTAGGAGATTAGTAAAAAAAAAAAAAAACTCCCCTCTACTTTTATTGTTTCCTAAAGGATGGCCTCTCCAAAACTCAGGCCAGCGTTGTTGCCACGTTATTCCTCTGGCACAGGGACAAACACAGCAGCAGCAGCAAGGCGGTACACTCAACGGCAGTTGATCATCTTGATATCGTTCGTACTCTTAATCACTTCAGGAACCATGCTCATCTTCCATGTCGTCACTGGCCCAATGTCTTCGTCCAAAAAGGCTGTCGGCTGCAGTACGGATGCAGAATTCTCCATTATTCGCTGGAGGCAGCCCATCAGGAGTACCGAGCACACCAATGACTTAAGCAGTGGTGTCAAGCTAGAGATGGAAGGCAACGTGTACAGTAACGGTAGAGACGCTGGCCGTCTCTCGAATAATGAAATGAATAATCAATCCTCCAATGACAACACACATGAACCCCCATCAAATCAAGGAACTAACCCAGACTCTAACAACGGCAGCTTGGAGAAACTTGCGCCTGAAGAAGGAGAGGATGATATAGAAGTTCCAGAAGAGGAAGAGGAAGTGGAGCCTCTGGTTCCTTTCCATGAGACGTTGGATCAAGACGACGGCGTTAAATACGTCACTTATCTCCCTTATGCTGGCATCACCAACCAATTTTATGGCATGCTCCGTGGTATGGAGGTCGCTAAGGCCTTGGGTAGAACGTTGATTATTCCGCCAATTACAGCATCCTCTCATGACAAGTCAAAGCAGAATCAGCCGTGGTCCAAGTTCCTTGATCTTGAGCGGTTTCAGGAGCTTACAGGGGCTAAAGTGATTGAGTTTCATAAACTCCGCGATGCAGAACAGACAAAGTATAATGAGATGGAATGCAAAATCACCTGTGGTTTTGGTTCGAAGCGCACAATTGATTTCACGGCTAAAGGCTTTTTAAAGCAGTGGAGCCTTAATGTCACTTTGACTCCACTCTCAATTGACGCCAACAAACTAGACACGATCACTCGGATTCTGGGAGCTTATCGCGATGACAAGTTTATTTGTATTTCCAACACCTACAAAATCAGTGTTGCTGACAAATCAGAGTGGGATCGCTTTGGTCAGCACTTGCACTTCACTAAGGAGCTAGAGGACTTTGTACAAAATTTCTTGGACACACATTTGGTCAAGCCTGAGCCTGTGTATGATCCAAAATCAAGGCAGGAGATTGTACCGACCCAAAAGTATATTGCAATCCATATACGTCGCGGAGATTTCGCTCAGTACTGCCGCGACAATTTTGCAGGGCCCAAGATGGTTCATTGCTTCCCAACAACCGAGGAGATTGCTCAGCGTGTAGACAAGATTCAGTCCAAATATAGCTCTACTGGATCATTGACGAACGTCATGCCTGTCTTCGTAGCAACGAATGAACGCCGACCCGAGGAATTGAAGAAGTTTGCAGATCTGGGTTGGACATACTTGGATCATGATCAGATGGGTACAGCTGAGAAATTGGGTGTCTTTGGTCCTATGATGGTTGATCAGGTCTTTATGGCGCATGCACAAGCATTGATTGGTATTCAAATGAGTACGTTTTCAAGAGTAGGAGCCTTACGACAGCGCGACTGGCACAATCGACAGGTCGAATATATGTAACTAGAAAAAAAAAAAAAAAAAGCCTCATTTATTTTACCCTCCGCCTTTTATTCTATTTTATCTACTTTCATACTTAAAAAAGCAACCATGTCAACTTTTGCTCTTAAAGGATAATGTAATAAATGTATACCATTTAAACAGAAGCAAATACTAGAAACATAGCATTAAAATTAAAGAAAACTAAATGCAGTTTGGGTACAATTACATCGACTTTTACATGGCGCCCTGCTGCGGGCACTGGAGTTATTGGACATGGAGGCCCTTAACTATCTTCCAGGAATGAGTTAGAAATACAAAAAGATATAAATGTATAGCTTTCTTCTCTCTTTTTCTTTCTCTTTCTCTTTCTCTTTCTCTTTCTCTCTCATATTTTTTTTTTTTTTTTTTTTTTTTTTTTTGTTAACCGAACTCACTTTATCCCACAATAAGCGATGTCTAACCAGACCAATACTACCAATGTCCCAGCGGCTCCCACGAATGCAAAGGCACCAAAGTGCCCTTTGCCTTATCGCCACGAAGACTTGATCCTCATCCATGCTACCGTTCCAGAGGTCATTCAACGGACCTGGACTAATAATATGGAGGAATGGGCTAAAGGTGTCCCAATGTCACAGTATCATGCTCGTGAACGACATCTCGCCAGCACTGCGTTCTCAAGCGATAATCGGCTGAAGACCTGGGTCCTAGTTCCCAAACCGGATACGGAGGTGACGACCGAGTATAAAGAATGGGCTGCGACTGAAGACCCTGAAAAGGGTGTTCGAGGTGGATTTGATCCTCAGGATGTGTCAGAAGCTAATTTGGATCGCATCATGGCTGCAGTTGAGACATATGAACGCCCAGGCATTATGGCAACTGTTGGTGAGACTGAAGATGGAGTGCTGAGGGATGTTAATTCTGTGAGTGTAGCTTCTGTGTATGGACCATCAAAGTTCCGCAATCATGGATATGGCAAGCTCATGATGAAGTAAGTTATCGAGTTGTCAGCGTATAGAGAGAGCAACAGAAACTGTATAGTATTAGGTGCAAAAGTAGAAGTGGAAAGATGAAAAGGCTTGTGAAATAGGAAAAGGCGATCAATGCTTTTCAAATATGGCAATCATCCCGGTTTCTATCTGTTTAAGCTTGCAGACTGAACGCCCACTGGTTTTTTTTTTTTTTTTTTTTTTTATGTACCACATAGGCTCCTCTGGAAGAAAATTGAGAATATGGGCGCAGGTTTCTCGTTCCTGTACTCGGATCTTGGCAAGCAGTTCTATACCAACTTTGGTTGGACAGCTCGCCTCTCCTCAGAGATTGTTATCCCGCCTTCATTAACACTTCCAGAGTCTGCCCCCGCCTCTCAGTCTCAGGTAGCGCTTGAGCCTATTGTAACTGAGGAAGAGCTCCTTCCATTCACCGAAAATGACACCCGTCTGCTGCGCCAGACTCTCAAGGAAAAAGTCCAACAGAAGCAGAAAGAGATTGAACAAAATACCTCCAATGGCAATACAACGTTTGTGGCCATCCTCCCGGAAATTCGCTGTATCGAGTGGCTTCATGCACGTGCATGGTTTTATGCGAAGGAGATCAGGAAGTTTGAAGAGAAGAATCCTAAAATTTCAATCAACAAAGAATTGACATATGGTATCCATGTCTCTGGTAAAAACGATCAGTTCGTGTTATGGCATCATGATTTCACAGACGATAATTTGTTTATCCTACGCTGGCGCATTGATGGTGCGTCCAGCAAAGAAGAGTCAGATGCGATTGCTCTAGCATTTGTTGCAGCGGCTCAGAAGGAGGCCAAAAAGTGGAACATTTCCAAGATTGTTTACTGGAACGGAGATGTTGCTCTAGCAGAACTGCTGGGTCTAGAAGTCCAGCATCGTAATCACTCGATCTGTAGCTTAGGTTTGGTTAATTCTGATCAGGACGAATCGAGCATTGAATGGATTTTGAACGAGAAGTATTCCTGGTAAGATTTAGTTTTTTTGCTACTGTGCTTTTTCAGATAGCCTTCCGCTCTCTTAGATAAATCCCTTGAGTCTGTTGCTGAATGAATACTTCACTCCTTTACCTCTGCATAGGTGTTGAAATGGGTCCAAAGCCATACGACTGCTTTTTTTTTAGTGATACTATGATCCTGAAGAAATAATAATTGTTGAGACTAGGAAAAGAATAAACTATTAAATCAGTCGCGTTTTATTTCAAATTAAGCATTGAAGCAATATGATGCACGGAATAGATGAGTTAAAAAAAAAAAAAAAAAAAAAAAAAGTAAGTGATCAAAGTTGGCTAGTTTCAACTACTTTTTTTTTTTTTTTTTCTGTTTCTATATACTTCATTAGCTCTAACAGCATCCTCCGGCGGCAGCACCATCTCCTGAATGAGGTGTAACATTGATAGTCTCGCCTCCAGTAGGCCTGATCACATCCCCAGAGTTCTCCAGTGCCTTGTTGGAAACAATGCGGTAAATTTCTAGAAGAGAAATTATTAGAGTTACATGGTCAGATATGACGCAACTTTGGAATGTAAGAATATACATGATGGTTATCATGATTTTTTTTTATTCTTACCTGTCAAAATCCGCTGGAAGGACAACTCAACGTTACTAGCATCCAAGGCCGAGGTTTCAATGAACGAGAGGCCATTATCAGCTGCAAATTGCTTTGCTTCATCCGTAGGGACTGCGCGCAAGTGTCTCAAATCACTCTTGTTACCCACTAGCATGATTACAATGTTAGTATCGGCATGATCGCGCAGTTCCTTTAGCCAACGACCCACATTCTCGTATGTAGTATGCTTGGCAATATCATACACTAACAAGGCACCAACTGCACCGCGGTAGTATGCAGATGTGATAGCTCGGTAACGCTCCTGCCCAGCTATGAAGTGATTGTTTAAGCATAGAATAGAGAGCACATTAGCTTAAATACTCCAATCTCCAAAAAGCGGAGCAAGTAACAAGCTTTTTTTAAAAAATAAAATGAAATAAAATAAAATAAAAATAAAAAATAAAAAATAAAAAAGCTTTGGGACTGGGGAATCTCATGCACCCTGTCCACTCCTTGATTTCAACAACGTTGTATGGAAAAAAACGATGGAAGAAAACTCTATTTTTCCCCCTTCCCCCCCAAACAAGAGCTCCATTGTGGACGAAGGCCTGTATTGTTTGCTGACGAACGTCTCAATACTCCGTTGATAAGTGCAAAAATAAGGCAGATTCACGATGCTAGAAGGGTGGAATCACCAAACACTGTGCAAACTTTCTTTCTTGACTCGCCACCCCCTACACCCAATATGATTCTAACGTCCCATTTTCTGTCCAGTAGACATCCAAGAATAGATTCCACACTCTATGGGATGAAAGACTTACCAGTATCCCAAATCTGTGCCTTGATCGTCTTTGAGTCAACTTGGATACTTCTTGTTGTGAACTCAACTCCAATGGTTGACTTTGATTCCAGGTTGAACTCGTTCCTTGTGAAACGCGAGACCAGGTTAGACTTTCCGACTCCAGAATCACCAATCAAGACAACTATTCATTATGAATGATAGAAATATGGATGTCAAAACTTGATTTATACAAGGGGAACTGTAGGTCTAACTTTTTTTAATGAAGGATCCATGAGATGGAGTCTTTCATCTGAGCTCCAGGCGATGATTTATTTTCTACATCTCGCGTGGCAGCACAGCTCATCATCTAGTACATGGTACAAGATCCAAGTGCTCAGAGAAAGAGAAAGGAGAAAGATGTGAGCCTTACCTTTGAAGAGGTAATCGTATTCGTCATCTTTGCTCATGATGATGGTTGTGCTGCTGAAAAGTGTGAGTAATTTGGTATATGTCTGGGATATAATATGCGGAAAGTGAAGTGCAGAAGATAGAAGACGGAATAAAATGGGATAAAAGGAAAGAAGAAGAAAAAAAAAAAAAAAAAAAAAAAAAGTAGTGGAGGCGAGTAATAAAAAACTGTATGACGGCAAAGCAAGGGGGGATAGAGAACAGAGAAACATGCCTTTCTTGCTCGCTCGGTATGACGGGATCCCGTACTATAGCCATGAATGGACGGAAACAGGAATTTTTTTAACTCCCATACATCTCTCTCTTAATCTGCTAATCTTTTTTCAAACTTCACCTCCTTTCTGAAAGACACTCATACGCATGGAATATCCATGCCTGTGGAACCATCAACTGTTTTCGTTATTTGCACGCGTCCTCAGTTATGCTGTGCCTGTATTGTTGTTTGCAAAAGCATGAACCCCATTTCATTCAAATACAATACTTCATGAGTTATTTGGAGCGCATAATTTCACAGGATATTTACAATGCCCTTTTTAAAACGTAGAAACTTGATAGAACATGGCTGTGGGTATCTAAATGCTAAAGTCTAGTCTGAAAACTTTGGGATGATTGATGAAGCGAAAGAACAGTTGCAACCGAGTGGCGTAAAATAAATAAAAATCACGTTCCAAGAGACAATGGGAATGGACCGCCCGCCACCAATTTTACTCAGGACAGACAGGAATATCACACGGCATACAATAACATGTGCTCATTTGATCAACCCCTTTTAAATATTTTCAGGTCCCTTTCATACAATTGACATAGGATTTTGTCTTCAACCACTTTTACCTTCATCTCCACACCACATCCTTCTTCCCCGGCCTAAAGAATCCCGCAAAGCGGATTCAAGGTTTTAAGCGCATGTGCGTTTGTATTTGTTAATAATATTTGTGTGCACAGAATAATATTCGGATCATTTCCTTGAAAAATATTTACAGATCCTCTTGAATATAGTAGAGAGAAAAATATATGCATGGTTAGTTCAAGAGTTGCAAACAGATAAGCTCCTACTGTGGTATTTGGTAGCTGATCAAATGTGGTTTCTTTTTTTTTTTTTTTTTTTTTTTTTTGAAAACCCATGGCGTTATTGTCGGTATAAAAAAAAAGCTAAGGTGGAGAGTAACAAAAACAAGGGAAATTTTACTTCGACGCATTCGACCTTTGCAGAACCTTCGGCACTGTTAGTCAACGCTATCCCTATTCATTTCTCGCTTTTGTTCCTCTGCACCTCATTGCCGATCTGGGAGAAGGAGAAAATAAGAAGGGCGGATGAATGTGTCAAACGGAAAACAAACCATTAGCATTGAATACGCCATAAAATTACAGTGAGCATGAGGATGCATTGCATCCCTTTGTAGTGTGAATAGCGTCCGTTGCCTTTACCCAACATGTAAAACCCATTTTGGCGCTTTTTTTCGTCTGTCTTTATCTGTGGAAGATGTGGTCAGGCCATACTAGGCCTTTGATGTATTGTTTTGGATGCATGCATACATTTACGCGCCTATTTTTTTTTCCTTCTCTCTTGCAATCTTTCTATTTTCACGACCAAACACACCAAAAAAAAAAAAAAAAAAAAAAAAACGGAGTATGATGTGAATATCATGCAAAAAACCACGATTACATCCACATCTGTTTATGTATTTCAAATGTCGCAAAAACAATCGATTTTCCAGCTCTGGTTACCGATCCTCCCGACATCTCTGTGATGAATGAAATGATCATTGGTCATACGTGCTTTTGTCTGTGTGTTTGTGCGTATGTTTTTTTTTTTTTTTTTTTTTTTTTTTTTTGCTTCTGCCAACTTTAACATGTATTAAACCTCTTGTTTTCATAAGACCTGAACGCCATTTTACTGTGAACTTTGGGCTCCGGTCATTTTGAAGTGGGGAGATGGTACTACGGATAATTTGCTTTTTTTTTTTTTTTTTTTTTGGAGCCTCCTGCAACAGATTTCGTCGAGACGCAATGAAGAATGAGCAGAAATCTCAGAATGAGAATTAGAATCCACATGGCGGAATTACCATTCTGTCCTACATCTATGCTTGCTGTGTGTATAGTTTATTTGTGGGTGTTAACATCTCAAAATACCCCCTTGTTTGTTCATCCTGAGTCCCTGCTTTGTACGTCCACCCTTTTTTGTCTTGCAATAACCATTCATAACTCTAAATGTCTCTCATCAGACGCGTATGCTCACAGTAGAAAGTAATATGTGTTTGCACGCTTGTTACATTTGGACTTTGACAAACATAAAAGCATGCATCGCTGAATCAATAAACAAAAATACTGGCGCTTAAGAAAATGGAATATAAAAAGCACAGGTTCTGTTCGCGTCATGAAGCATTTAATAACCTTCCATGCAACTCAAGATGGAATACAAAGTACGATTCCTCCTAAACATCTTGCCTACATTACATGCATTACACACTTGTCAAATATAACAAATACACACCTTAAAAAATAAAAACCACCTCCCTGTTTCGATTGATCCCTGCTATGTCTTTTTCACAAACTTGTCTAATTTTTTTTTTGTTTTTTGTGCGTGTGTCTGTGTGTTGTCTTCATCCTTGATTTGATTCGACATTTGCTTAATAACTCCTGTGTGTCCATTACCGCCACCGCACCACATTGCTCTTGTTGCTCTCGCTACTTCCCTATACCTGCGTCTTTATTGACAATCTATCCCTTCCCTACCCTTCTCTTGCCTTTGTCCTTCCTTTCCTCCTTTTCTCTTTCTCTCATTCTTACTTTCTGTGCACAAGTGCAGAGAAGCCCACTGCATGCATGCAGTAACACCACCTGCTTGCATCCACTCTGTCCGCAATCCTATTACTACTTCTGCGACTGTTTCATCATTGTGTTTTCTTCAATTTTGCTTGATTTACTTCTTTATCCCTACCCATCCTCCTATTTTCGCCCATTGTTCATTCTTTTTTACCCCTCACTCTCTCGCGCATCCTCTTTTCTCTTTTCCTTTTTTTATATTTTTTAATTTTTATTTGTTCACCTCACTCGTCCTCATCTCTTTTTCCCTATCGTTCTCATTCTTCTAGTCATCAGGGTAACATCTATAATACACTATTCTTAGCCAAATAACTGTTAAAACAACCATCGCCTCGTACCCCATCTTTCCTCTTCTAGTCTCTCTTTTTTTTTCTTTTGTTTACTGCATCTCATTTTCATTAAACTTCATCCAAAGCACACATCGGTCGCCCCTTCCTAAGCATCATGTCAGTAACACCAAAGCCAAAACCGAAACTTTCGTACAAAGCACAAAGTTATCCATCTATCGATAAGCCTTTTGAGTGCACGGTAAATCACCATTTACACCAATGAGTCTTATTAGCAAACCCTTGTCTCGCGGCGTGATAGTTTACTCATCTTTTTTTGCTTCTCTCCCTCGCGACTTTACATTCATTCGCAATATATGGATCCTTGGTCTACGTAGGCCTGCCAGTTGTATTTTAGGCGTCTTCATGATCTGAAACGCCATGAGCGTCTGCATACTGGTGAAAGGCCGTATTGCTGTAACAATGTAAGTCTTTTCTATTCCCAGTTTGCTGTTGTTGAATAAAAGAAAGAAACAAATAAAAAAAGTCTGCTCATCATTGTGTATTTACTTGCTCAAAAAAAAAAAAAAAAAAAAGTGCCGTAGGACTTTTGCTCGGCTTGACGCGCTCAAACGACATCTGAGTGCAGAATCCAACGTCCATTGCTCAGAATGGACTTACCAACCGGGGCTTATATCTACTGTCAGCAGGCCTGCAGCGCGACATCATAGGAGTGTCTCACTCCCACATGTGCAGGGATCAGACGTTCAGACCGCCTTTCATGACCAGTTTGATAGTGTGGAACGAACACTCACCACACCTACTCTTAAGGACCGTCCACCGTCTCATTATCATTACCACCACCATGAGCACTCTTCGCCCGAGTCAACTATCCATGGCCACCATCCTGAGGACAAGCCTAATGATTATTATCAGGAAAATGCTACTCCTCACGCCTTCGCTGTTACTGAAGAGCAACGCCGTCAATGCCTATCAGTGTGGGAAATTCACTCAAAAAGATCATCTCCGGAGCATGGCGGACGACTATCGCCCTCAGACGCGACCATTGACGAAGATACAACAGTGATTGATCAGCCCAGACCGCGCGCACATACTTCCTCATTCGACTCAATGCAGCTCTCGTCCGCACATCAGCCGTATCCACACGCTTATTCCCGCCAGCATACACGTTCATATTCACATCAACAAAATTCATACTTAGATCCACACCCTCAACACCCCCTCTCCCTCTTTGATAGATCACAACCTCAACAGCGTCACGAGAGCTACCCTGTCTCTCCTTCCAGATCAACTCTCTCTCCATCCCCTCCTCCAGGACTATCACCATCAATGTCTGCATCGTCTTTGTCCAGTCCCACAAATGTATGGTCATATTCAAGAGGCTATGATGGCAATGAAACGACTGCGCCCAAAAGAATAGGCAGTAATGCCTTCAGCCATTATGATAGTCGTTCACAATTCAAGTCAGAGCCCACATCGATCTCAGCACGGATGAGCAGTAGCGCTTATCGGGAGCCTTCGCCATACCAAGAGGATGATACCAGTCAGGGGTGTCGTTCACCACGGGAGCTCGAGCATCGTCAAGGTCCGTCTTCGTTAGCCTTAATTTTGAACAATCCACCCGTCAGTAATTTTACTATTACTGCTAATCAGGCCTCTTCTCCGCCTCCCGTCCCAGCATTATCATCGCGGCCAGTGCAGCCTCACTCTTCACACTCGCAATCTCACCCATATTCGCTTCCACAACAGCCACAGCAGCCTCACCATCGCTATGTCCAACAATGTTCATCTCAACAGGAGCATGAACACAGTTGTGATGCGATGGCTGAGATCCAAAAATTGCGCCAGGAACTTCGCTTGGTGACTATGCGATGTCATTCACTTGAAAAGGAAAGAACTCGCCAGACGAATATTAACGGTATTAGCGGCAATAGCACTGGAATGAATGGTGGCGACAGCCGAGATGATAGATCGGTTATGTCTGTTTGAAATAGGTATTTTAGCACTAAATCAAAAGGAATAAAATGAAAATAGAGAGCACTCAACTTGATTGCGCGTCGCGCTCAAATAATTCCTCTTTTAATTATTACTTTGTTTGATGGGATTGGAGCAATTGGGCAATTGGACAATCCCAAGCATGAGAGTGTGATAAGCAAGTGTTCTCTTCTTTCTTTTCTTCTGTTCCTGTTTCTTTATCTCTTTTTTTTCTTTTTATTTTTGTTTTTGCTTCTCATATCTCCTCATCACTTATTTCTCATTATTGTTGTCGATCCCTTACCCCTTCTTACCCCCTCTCTCCCTTCCTCCTTATCCCTTAGTTCACGCTTTTCATTTCTTTCATCCACCTGCAGCCAGCAGCAATTATGATGCTGAGAAAGTTAAACTTAATCACCATTTTATTCTGGTGCCTGAATTTCCTCAAATATATCGAAGCATCGCCTTTGAGCAAGACCAATTCGTCACTCGCACTTACCGCCAGAGACACACACCGTTTACAAGCTAGGGGCACACTCCAGAAGCGTTATGACGCCTGTGACAGTTATTACGGTACCAAGTAAGGTTAATTGTCTCTCATACTCCACCATTCTATAATTCAGGTCCAGATTTATTCTTTTACATTTCTTCATCTCTCATCACTTTCATTCCACCCAGTTCTCAAATATTGGAGACTTTTTTTTTTTTTTTTTTTTTTTTGTTGTTGTTAATTGAAAAGAGGACTGGAATGTAATATTCTGTGCTCAGACCTTGACAAATTCTCCTTCGCCAAACTTTAAGAAATGACATGTCTTCGCCACTGCTCACAAAAATGAATGAATGCATACTTTCATTTTATTTTTTTGTCCAACGTATAGTTTTTTTTGCTACTATACCAAATACATCCTGATCATGTTCGGTATCGGCCTCATCGCAACCTTGACCTACTATTGGTTTTGTTGCCGCGCTATTACCTCCATAAGAACCAGCGATGATTATAGCATCAGAACTGCTACGACCACGACTATGGCCATGACTCGAGTATACCCCATTACAACCCCGAGCGACTCCCATATACTCTTAAACGAGACCATTTCCAATGTCCATAGCCCAGAGTCACGGTCAACTCGGGTGCCGCAAGTAGTAATAACATCGCATGACCAACGGCGGCCACAAAGACCACAAGGACAGCAACACTCAGTGGATCCGCCTCCTTACTTATCTGTCTCTGATTTTACTCCTTATACTCAAGAGAGAGACACTCAAGAGGAAAGAGACATTCTAGCAGCAGCAGTAGTAGTAGTAGTAGCGGAAGCATTAGAGATAGTGGAGGCGCTAGAAACAATGGAGGCAACAGAGGCACAAGAAGCACTAGAAGCAGTGAGAGCACTAGAGGCAGCAGAAGCAGCAGAAACAGCAGAAACAGCAGAAACAGCAGAAACATTAGAAAATGATCTTAACCTGCAGGGGAAGGCATATCAGCTATATCGGCAGAAACACAACTTTGGGCGGAAACAACAGGAGCAATTAAAGGCAACACATGATGGGGACAACACAGATTTATCGTCCAGAAGTTCATCAGCCTCAGCCTCCGCCTCTTCATCTCGAACCCTTCAGGACAAAGATATTACCACGTTTCATCCACTAAAGTAATAGCATAAATATTAGTAGGATTAATCTAATTGGCAACTCAGGTGCCAAATATCATTTGGCAGCTCATACTAAATGTAGTAAATTTTGCTATTATTTGGGAGTCTATTTTTTGGGGTTGCCACTTAACCTCTCACACTTGGGTAGCAACTGGGCTGCCAAATAATGAAGTTACTTGCACAGGTTATTATTTCAGTCTTTCAATTAAAACTCGCCTCTAATTGGTGGGCTTCCTCAATAAAAATACCATTAGGTAGGAAACATGAAGAAACATTGTTTTTATCAACTTCATCACATTCCGCAAAAAAAATAAAAAAGTACAAAACAATACACCCTTTGCCGAATCTTTTTCTTCCATCTTAATCGCATCAAAATGCCTAAACAGCAACCAAAGTGCACTCTTTCGTCGTGTGAATATGGACATAATCACCGCCTCAGATGACAGAAGTATCCAAGACCATATTAGAAATTACCATAAAAGTTCCTATAAATGTCATGTTGGAGACGCCATTGTCAAGTATATTCGAACCAATGAAGGACTGTTTGTGTGCGAATGCCGACCGAAATGGACGTGTAAACGGGGAGATACATTGCGCTACCATGCCAACAAATGTGAGGTTATTAGAATATTGGTCGACGCCGTCGTCAGGACTTTGGAGCCTTTAGTAGATGCCCACCTAAAAATCTTAGTACCCAAAGAGCTGCGGTCCAGTAAAAAAGATAGAAAACGAAATGAGGAAGAGGCGAATGAAAAAAACAGCTATTGTGGTAACAATCACCATCTTAGCAACAACTACTACCTTGACAACAAACCAAGCTTGATCCTACAGCAGTACAATAGGCTCGTACAACATGCCTACCCAACAAAAAGAGGATGGGTTCCAAGAAAGGGGAAAGAGGTAGTTGAAGAGGATGGCAGTTCAGAGTCAAATGAGAGTGAAGACTATAAGAGTCAGGAGGAGGAGATGAATGTTAGCTACAACAAGGTTCACCTACAGCAGCTACCGCGCCTACAGCATTTAGAGGACAACAGTAAGACGGAAGAGACCATATTGGCAAGATTACAACAGCTCTTAGAGGAAAGGGACAAACGTTTAGAAGAAAGGGGCAAACTTTTGGAAAAACATTCAGGGGAAAAGGAAAAACGCTCGAGGAAAGGGAAAAACGCTCGAGGAAAGGGAAATGCGTGCAGAGCAAAGAGTAATTCAGATGGAAGAGGTGGTCAGAGCCATATCAAACAAGACAGCCGTCTTGGAAGACGAGATGAAGAAGAATAGCGCAGATGCCGAAAAAAAGGCGGCCGCCTGGCAAGGCAAGATTGAGAAGCTTAACGCAATTGTCGAAAGTATGTAAAGAATGTCAAAGCAAAAACAAAAGAAAATGTAAAACAAAAAAAAAAAAAAAAAAAAAAAAAACTAATCTGGATTTAATCAATAATAGAGGAAGTGGTTCGGGTAGATCATTTGCAGGAGCTTCTGGCATCATTATTAATGTCAAAAGCACAGCTTCCATCATCATCATCATCATCCAAGAAGCCGTACAACCCTTATCAAAAAAGGAAGATAAACGCAAGCATAAACCAATCGATTTCGACCTATTTCAAGCGTCGTAGACCAGAGAATAATAAGGACAGTAAGTTAGAGGACGATAACTCAGAGGACGGCAGCCCAGAGGATGACAGCCCAGAGAAAGACAACCCAGAGAACGGCAACCGAGAGAACAAGAAAGATAACCCAGAGAACGATAACCCAAGTTCCGAATAACACTGTGTTCTGTTGCGGTTTTTATGGTCTAAGCATAATTTAGTCTCCATGAATAGTTTATGACCATGTTCGTTCTCTTTTTCTCTAAAATACTAAATAAAACGAAGAGGATGTCCAATGCCTTTCTAAATGAAATTGGGAACATAGGGTTATACGTTAGGGCAAGTAGATAAAGTATAGATAACAGCGCAAAACTCACCCGTAACGAGTAAGGTCACTACTTTCGTTACCATTTACCTTCATTAGTTAATAGTTTTACTGAAAAGACTATCATGTTTTCTCGTGCTTCCACGACATGGCATTTTGAGGTGTATGCCTAGGAGAAATAGCTGTTCTTCTGTAAAGCGAAAGTTACCAGGATCATAATATGAAAAGAAGATGTGCGTATGGCGCTATGATTCAGAATCTTTCCTTCAATAGAAATAGTATAAATATCTTGGCTTTAGTGAAAACCCATACGAAATGACCGCTCAGCGCAGCATCTGGCTCAGGAAGCGGTAAAAAATGACAGTTCTCAGTAAACTTGGTCGAAATGGGGTTTCAATCTACTCACAAATGGTTTGATAAAAAGAAAGAGGAGTCTGACTTCTTTATTCATGATGAGAGACAATACGATATATGCTCATGTACAAAAGATTACGATTGGTTCCTTCTCGCTGAAAAAAAAATGGTGACAAAATTGAAGAATGGACGAGAATACATGCGTAATGGAAATAGTACTTTGCTGTCCATTAGTGCTTCACTCTCACATTCCTCTTTATTTTAACCAGTTCGTTTGCACTATTTTAATTTTCTTTGTCAACATTTTCCGTATACAATGACTTTGTAATAAGACAAACTGTCGAAATAGGATTCCTGTAGATAGTGACAGGCAATGGAGCCAAAAAATGGTTTATTTAGCTGTAACTTAGTGAACTAGAACTATTTATTCTAATAATTAATGCTAGGTTTGGGCTCCGGTGTCTTGTCACCTGGGATATGCGTGATAGTTGAGCCATCAGAGATTTGGGCTCCAGTGTCGCATGACATTTTTAAAATTCCATACGCTCCGTAGGAGGCAAAGGAGGCATAATCTGGCAGTGTTTTGAGGCAACAAGGGCCCCACGAGCAATAACAGGGCTTTAGAGATAACCATTCTAATATGTTGACAATTTCAAATACTTATATACCCCATGGGGGGGTGGACCTACATCTTATTCTCACTTACTTGACTACTTACCAACTTATCTGCCATATCTGTCGCATAACTTTTCATACTTTCCAACATGTCAAACAAAGCTTTACACATCTCATTGGTCGATTCTCCTACCATGCCACCTAATGCACCTATTGATACCTCCTTCTGTTTTGGTAGAGACTGGTGTGATCAGAAGACTTGCGAAGTGGCGACCTCAAATTCTGAAATTCAGTGCCGAACCGTTGCTTCTGATCGACAAGGAGTCTGAAACAATCCTGTCGCCCTCAAAGTTCTATCTCCTCCCTACATCCCAACCCAGGCTGAATTTGACAGAGCCAAAAAAAGCATGGATATGAGAAAGGCTCCGTGCTGGGCCTTAATTGACAATGCTGGACTCGATTGCTCCACGTTCATGCTAATATCACAAGTCATTGGAGCTGCGGAATTTGTCGACAAGCTCCACCTAATGGAAGAATGGCTAGAAAGAGAAGTACCCATATGTAATCCTAAATTTGGGACATCATTCAAGCCCGACTTAGCTCATATACATGGACGCATCATTTCACTTCCTACGGAGCATCGGTCCCCATACATGACGTTCTCCCATTGGCTGGTACCCAATGGCTAAATGATGGAACCTTAGATGGTATCTTGATGATATTTCGGTCCCGCTTCAAGGAGTTCCTTTTTATTCCGCAACATCAAATATTATGCTGGGGAATCTCAAATCTCAGAGCAAGTGACGACTGCGGTGAAGGCTGGAAGCAAGCGGAAACTATGTCGGGCCGGTATAGAAAAGCGTATGCCTTTATACACATTGGAAACCACTGGGGTGCGCTTTCTATCGACTTCAAACGTTATGAGATACACTATCATGCAAAACTGATTCAATAATTCATTCCCATGTGCATTTCTTTTTTTCATTCCTAGAAGCCGTATATGCATACACCACTCATACTTTGGTTTAATAAAGCTCCCGTCTTCTTCTACATCATAGTGATGCGTTGTGACATTAGCTTGTCTCATTTGAATAGCTAATGACTTTTTTTGTTCATGCAGGTCATTGAATCAGTTTCACATGTGCCCATTCGGTGGCCAAAGATCTTTATTCTTTTGTGAGGCATAACCTTACATCAATAGATAGTATTCCAACCATGGGCATCACTGACAGCTTGGAGTCTCTTATGGATACCTATGACGAGTTTGCGGCAGAAGTCCACTGGGATCCTGTACCATTCAACCGATATTCGCTCCCATAGTTCATCACAACTCTTAGCTCGCTCCGGATACCTAGAGAGCCGCCTATCCAATTCTGCCCACATGTGTTCAATAGGGTTGAGGTCAGGGGATTGTGCTGGCCACTCTAGAAGTGTACCTTCCTCTTCTGTCAGATGTACTGACTCCAAATACTTCCTAACAATCTTCGCCGTGTGCTTCGAGTCATTGTCGTGGTGAAAGACGATATCGCTTTTAGTTAGGCCCCAGTCATCAAGCGACATCTGTAGATCCTCCTGCAGTAGTTTGATGTAAAGTTGTGCGTCCATATTATTGTCAATCTTTGCAATGTATCCAGGTCCGTACCATGAGAAGCATGACCACACTTTAACATTACCACCCCCAAACTTGACAGTGCCTTGCACCGACCTGCGAGTGAGGCGTCCCGGATTGTCGTCCCAGATCCACTGCACGCCATCAGAGCAGATTCGGTTTATTTTCGATTCATCTGACCAAATAACCTTTTTCCAATCCTCCACAGTCCATTCCTTATACTTATTGATAAAATGCAAACGAGCTTTAATATGTTGTCGACGTAAAGCTGGCTTATGTACACGCCTCTTTGCTGTCAATCCTAACTCCTTGAGCCGTCGTCTAACGGTGGTCTCAGAAACAGCCGCTGGTATGAGCTGGTTGGCTCTGACGGTGGCCTCAACTGCAGACTTGAGTGTACCTCGTTTCATGTTCACCTTAAGATACTGCATGACACCTCTAGGTACTTTCCTTGGTCGACCCCCTTTATTGACAGGCATGTACTCCTTATTATGTGCATAGATCCTGGTGGCCGTCGCTATTGATATACCAACACTGGCAGCAGTTTCTCTAGTAGACATGCCTCCCATCATTAACCTCCTGGCTTCGTTGACTTTCCTTTGTGGAGTGGGTCTCGTATTCTGTGAAGGTATAGTTAAGAGAGAGTTAAGCAAGTGTTCATAAAGGAAAGAGAGAAAAGTCCTTTTTTTACTGGCATTAAATGACGTCCAAAAGTTGTCATGGGCAACATTTTAGACCACATGTGAAACTGATTCAATGACCTGCATGAACAAAAAAAGTCATTAGCTATTCAAATGAGACAAGCTAATGTCACAACGCATCACTATGATGTAGAAGAAGACGGGAGCTTTATTAAACCAAAGTATGAGTGGTGTATGCATATACGGTTTCTAGGAATGAAAAAAAGAAATGCACATGGGAATGAATTATTGAATCAGTTTTGCATGATAGTGTAAGTTTTGGGGATTCCTTGAACTATGCCACGCCTCTTGAAGCAATCGATGGCGTCCACCGATGGCTAATGATGTGCTTCGATAGCGAGGGTGCGTAAGAATGGGACAAACCTGTTGCAAAGATGTTTGTACACCCACAAATAGATCAAGGTTCATGTGGCATCTATGCAGCGCACGCGATCGAGTACGATATTCTCAAGACTCTCAACATTGAAGACAAATTATTCAACCGTTGGGACCTCATGCAAGCGACAATGCTAGGAATCAATTGTTACACCAACAATGATAAATTTATCAACTATACCTTAAACCGACAACCTGGCAAATTTGCCATTATAAATGGGCTTAAAATCCAGCAATTCATGGGCATTGCCTTGAAATTTTATTTCGATGTCGAAATAAATGACCGAAAACTAAACTGTCATGGAGCTATCCTGGCTTCTTTATCTGTGCCAATAAAAAACTCTTGAAGGCTTTCGCATGACACTAGCATCCTCTTGTGGGCCCATTGTGTTGTTTATTTATTGACTGGTGTAATAGAAGTGATAATATTCGCTGAGATGTTTTTCAGATGTTAGAAGTCAAGGAGATCAAAAGTTGTTTTTATTATTGTCAAACGAGAGCCTTTTATCAAGGACTCTCTATGACCGTCACATGATATTCTGACCTTATGAATAAAAATGGAAGTGCACCTGAGGTGCACTCCCAAGCCTCGGTACGTAACAACTCCCCCCCAGATTTTAAGGTAAGGTTATTGCCGTTATAACTCGAGGTAAGAGGAAAAAATAGAAAAACCTCTGAATGCTAGAGAAAACTATGAGGAAAAATGGACTAAAAACCTCTCTATGAGCTACACTGTAATTGATTGGAGGAAAAAATAAACCTCTTAGAGGGTAAAAAAATTTAAACCTCACGTGAGACCTACTAAGGTCTGCTATAACAACCTGTCTTTCTTTTTCTCTTGTAAAGATTAAAGAGACAAATACATCATGGAAACCATAGTCAGCGAATGAGTCATGGAGCCTCTACAACGTTGTGTAATTTAGAGCAGCCATTGGATAAGGATATGTTTTGCGGGGAATGCAGGCGGTTAATTGTATAGCATGTCAAAATGTAGAAATCTCATTGGACCTTTTTGTCAAACAGAGATCACAAAAGATCACGCCATCTGCCTCCCCCAGAAGGACGAATGAGGTTTCTCAAAGCGAATGATGAGGAGCAAGGAAATGAAATTAGAAATCGTCAAACGATTGCTCATTCCTTCATTCCTCATTTCAACTTTAGACACTCTCAAACGCCTTCTTACACAAACAAATATACCT